TTCAATTTCTGACCTACTTCACAACAAACCATCAGGCATGGAATGTGTCCCTGTGCTTGTTCATGGAGGGGCAGGATACTGTTTTATAAAAACACGAGAGTGAATTCCCTGGTTGCTTTGAGAAAACAGAACTACAGATTGGAAGATAAATGTATTTTTCTTTCTTTCTCCTATGGGTTGCTTTAAGGTGCAACACTTGCTTGCAGACACTTCATTGGTTTCATCCTATGATGATTTTTCTTTTCTTTTTATTATTCCATGCATGATACATTTCCATAAGCTCTGGAATTTCCCATTCCTTCCACATCCCCACCCCCACTTATTTCCCCATATCATTACAATAGTATAGACTTCACAATCAGTCATAAATTGATCATTCTGCTATTTAAATGTATCCTCACATCGCAGGCACAGACAATGGCAGAGTGTCCAACCTCTTATTATGAGGATACAGCCAACAGTTTCATTGGGAGTCCATCTTTCATTTGGAGTAGAGATTCACACTGCATTGCATTTTCACGTCTGTATGTGATAGTCTCCACTACACAGTTACTATACATCCCCTTAAATAAAATGCCATGAAACAAAATCAATAACAGAGAAAAACAGAACATTTGCAATAACATAAAGCGAAAGAACATGCTACTTAATGACCAATGTATTGCTGAAGAATTGAAAAAGAAAATCAAAGACTTTCCTGAAGTAAATGATGCTATTGTATGACCTTTTGTCAATAAGGGAATTAATAAGTCAGACAAAACTTTTCTGAATGCATGAAAATAAGAACAAAAATATGAAACCTTCTGAGATGTAGCAAAAACAGTACCGAACAGGCTATTGGTCCTGTATTTTGGATGAAGGCTGCTTTATATCAGAAAGAACATATAATATTTATCCTTTGGGGATTGACTTGTTTTACCAAATGTAATGGTCTCTAGTTGGGATCATGTGGTTGCAAATGCTAGAATTTAGTTCTTTTTAATGGCTGAGTAGTATGATGTGTTTTCAAAAGATAAATACACAGAGGATAAAGTTCTCTGTGTCCTGTATGAACAAGGTACAGAATCTGTAAATAGACAAGCAGACACTACAATTCATGTTCAGACTCCAGGACAATTTTGTGTTTGTAGCTAATACGTACTACCAGATAAGGAGTCAGAGTAAAGACTGTTTTTCCATGTGAAGAGATGAGTCTGCCTCAACATTAACCTTTCCTTGCAATGCACTCAAAAAGCTTTTTTTTTTTTTCCTGCTAAAACTGGTGGAGAGCTGCCATTCGGAAGAGAGACTTCATGCTGTTTTCACCAGCCTTCGTCACAGGCTCTGCGGATGCCACACACAGTTTGTTGAGGTCTTCATTTTCCCTCACATAAATAATTTACAGACTCTTGAGGCCGGTGCTCTCCAAAAGACATCAAGAGAGGCACGGACTTAATGCAAAAGTTATTCCACTGTCCAATTATTATTGATCAGAAACAACTGCCTTTGCTCATGGACTAGATTTGGTCTGAGCAAACAAGCTTTTCATAGGTTGACTCAGTGCTCTCAAGAGAAGAAATAAACATTAAAGTGATACACTGCCATGAATTTGCATCTTGGTAAACTGGGCCTTGACGTGACAAGGTTATTTAGCAGCTGGTCTAATAAATCTGGTCTCGACAGGCTTGTTTAGCAGTTGGTCTAAAGAATACATGGATCTCAGTGCAATGGGGGTGACTTGGGAAATGCCTGGATGTGTTTTGAATTGTCACACTGAGGCCGGGAGTGCCACTGACACCTACAAGGTAAAGGCTTGGTATTCTGCAGCATACAGCACAGTGTTTCCTTGCCACTGTTTCAAAGACTAACATTTATTTTATGGAAGAAAAAAGCACACCTAATATCAGTAAAATTATTTACAATTGTTTTAACGTTTTCTTTTGTGAAACCCACAGAATAAACCACCCTTACCATCAAATACTCCAAAAATTTCACTCAGTATAACTTTGTATATTCAAGTTGGGGTATTTTTGTTAGATGAGAGGGAGACCCGTGTTGTGCTGTCCTGTTAAACCTCCTGCTACAGTGCCAGCATGGCATTAGGGCACCGGTTTGAGTCCCAGCTGCTCCACTTTGGATCCAACTCCTAATGAGGTTGGGCAGAAGGTGAGCTCAAATCCCTGGGCCCTGCATCCACATGGAGGAACTGGAGAAGCTTCAGGCTCTTTGGTTTAGACTAGCTCAGCTCCAGCCATGGTGGCCATTTGGGCAGTGAAGCAGCAGATGGAAGATTTCTCCCTCTCTCTCTCTTGCTGAAACTCTGACTTCCACATAAAAAGTAAATATTTATGAGAAAGGATAGACTCATTCTAAGACATAGTATTCTGGATTGGATTGTGATCAAAGACAGGACTGAGGATACAGTGAAAAATGTACACTGCGCCTGGTGCAGTAGCCCAAGGCTAAAGTCCTCGCCCTCAAAGTGCTAGGATCCCACATGGGTGCCAGTTCTGATCCCAGTGGCCCTGCTTCCCACCCAGCTCCCTGCTTGTGGCCAGGGGGAGCAACTGAGGATGGCCCCAAACCTTGGGATTCAGAAGAGGCTCTGGGCTCCTGGCTTTAGATCAGCTCAGCTCCAACCACTGTGGCTGCTTGAGGAGTGAGTCAATGGACAGAAGATCTTCCTCTCTGTCTCTCCTCCTTTCCGTCTATCTGACTTTGAATAAAAATAAATAAATCTTTAGAAACATTTTATACCAACTTCTTCACTGTATAACTTTAAGTTTCTATGTATATATCTCAATAAATCAAAATGAAAAAAAAACATTTATAACAAGAAAGTTACTACTTGCCTAGGCTTTTGATTCAGTAGAGCCAATAATAACACATATCATTTTTAAAAAATATTAATTTGTTGTTACTTGAAAGACAGAGTTACAGAGAGACTAAGAGAGACAAAGAGAAAGATTTTTCTTCTGCTGGTTTGCTCCCCAAATAGCCTCAACAACTTGAAGTGGGCTGAGTTGAAGCCAGGAGCCGGCTTCTGAGGCTCCATGTGGATGCGGGGGCCCAAGGACTTATTCTGCTGAGGCTTTTCTATGCCCTTAGCAGAGCAGCCTGATCACAAATCTGGTGGTCAAATGGAATGCTGGCACTATAGGCTGAGGATTATTGTGCTATGCCACCACACTTCCTTTTCAAAAATGAGAAATCTAAGGTTTGTTGCCCAAGGTCTCAGATTAGTCTTCTCACAGGTTTAAGGCTATGTCTAATTTTTCTAAAAACTTTACAGCAAAGTAAAGGTCTTTATGCAGCCTCCTTTGAATTTGTGCTCAATTAGTTAGTCACAATAATAGTAGTAATAACAACAAAACTCACCTAAATAACAGTGTGCAGGATATTGTGTTGATTTTAAGTTATTTACAGGGATACCACTTAGGACACTGAACTTACAACCTGTGAAGTTGACTGCTTTAAATAAGAGTAGAATCTTGCAGCATAAGATAATGTATGAATCAGAAATATGCTTCCAACTTGCATGTAATATACCTGATTTCAATGTTCATCAACATGATAATTCAAATTGTTAATGCATTTTTTAAACAGGTTGCAAAGTTCCTTTATCATCACAACACACAAAACTTGAACTCTACATTGTAAAGTCTAAAAAGTGACAGGAAAGTAAATTCAGTGAAGGTGGACCAGATCCTAAAATATGCACTTGAAAAAAAAAATCAAGGAATGCCAATTAAACTCACAGGAGATTTCTCACAGGAAACCCTACAGGCCAGAAGAGAATGGAGTGGCATATTCCGGATTCTAAAAGCAAAAAATTGTTGGCCCAGGATAACGTACCCAGCAATATTTTCCTTTGTCCTTGGAAGTGAAATAAAATTCTTCTACAGTAAAGAAAAGTTCAAAGAATATGCCTCTTTCAAACCTGCCCTACAAATGATCCTTAAGATATTCTCTTGAGAGAGAAAAGGAGTAGCACCCACCAAAAAAAAAGGCAAATGTGAAGAACATCCCAGTAAAATAAAAGCAGAAGACTAAACCAAAGAACAACCTATTCCTAAAATGACGGGACCAAATTACCACCCATTCATATCAACTCTGAAAGTAAATGGCTTAAACTCATCAATCAAACATCACAGATTAGTAGACTGGATTAAAAAATGAAACCCATCTATTTGTTGCCTATAGGAGACACATTTCACTAACAAAGTCCAGTAGAAACTGTATCGCATGGGTTTTGATTTTTTTTATTAGTTTCACCTCTTCAAAAACACGTTTTTCTCATTAAATTTTTCAATGACTCATAGATTATACAGTGGCATCATTTTCTTTAAGAAGATTCTTTATTTTCTTTTTCATTTCTGCAGTAACACATTAGTCATTTAGTGGCATGCCATTTAGCTTCATGGCATTGTAAGTTTCTTATTTTTCTTTCTGTTGTTGGTTTTGTTTTGTGGCTTTTCACTTAAGGGGATGTATAGTAACTGTGTAATGGAGACTATCATATCCAGATGTGAGGATACAATGCAGTATACATCTCTACTTCCAGACAAAGATAAACTCCCAATGAAACTGTTTACTGTATCTTAACAACAGGATGCTGGACTCCCTGCCATTGTCCATGCCCTCAGTGATGGACATACGACTGTGTATGAAGAACTATACTATAATAATGATATGTGGAACTCAGTGAAAGGGTAGGGAATTGGGGAGGAGATAAGGGAAACCCCAGGGTCTATGGAACTGTATCATAAAACGATAATAATAAAAAGAAATACAATTTAAAAAAATTACAAGAAACAAATACTGTGTTAAGGTAGAATCAACTAACTCCATTTTCTCAAAAAATTAATATTCTATCTTAGTTCCTACTTGATAGATTTTCAAAGATTCAATGATTTGATGTTCAGAGAAGGAAAACAAAGCAATCCTGGCATCATCCTAAGATACATAAGTAGTTCTTTAATAAAAGAATCTTTAAACCAACTAGTGTATAAGCCATGAGATTTTAAAAAATTTTTATTTTGAATTTTGAATTTTGTGGTATGCACATCTATGGCCGGGCTTTCTGGTCAGGCCCCTGCAACACTGCTCTCTTTGCTTTTACCCTGTGGTCTCACTATAAGCAAACTCAAGACTGAAAATTTGCACATGAGTTTGAAAAGCATTGTTCATCAGAAACAGATAAAACACATTCATGCTATAAAATAGTGCCTTAAAGAGTCACAAACTTTAATAGATGCACGGAGTATTTGTGGTTTTAAGGTTCTTCCTGGGGGAGGAGCTTCCAAGTCACTGAGGGATCAAGCTCTTCGTCGAAGGCTTCCAACTCCTGCTCCTTGGAGAGCTCCAGGAAAACCTGCAAGCAAGGAAGCAGATGGACAGGGGTGGGGCACTGCCTCCTGTGGTTCCAAACCAGTGCAACGAGTGTGCCTGAGTCCTGCACACTGGCTGGGACCCACCTGCTCCAGGGTAGACTGCGAGAGGCTGTACTCCTCCAGGTCGAAGCTCTGTTTAACTGCAAAAAGGTGAAGAACTCATTTTTTATTTTTAATTCTTGGAGTTTTACTACATCATGTTCAAAAAGTACATGCAAGTAGGTTTCAAATATAAGACATTGTAATAATGATTCTTGGGCTACGTATGGGGAAGCAAATATACCATAGAGTCACATCACAAAACGGAAACACAGTTTAGCTTTCTCAGTGTTTCGGCAGAGATGCCAGAAGACCCAGACACATTAGAGTTTCCTGGAGATCCATGTGAGAAGGGCTAAGAGATGGTTCCCCCAGTGCTGAAAATGACCAAATGCCCCTCTGCATATGCCTGAGTTCTTCCCTGCCTTACCCTCTACGCAAGAAGCTAACTAATGGGATGTCTCGTTGTGATTTGCACCAACGGCAGGCAGAGCGGAAGGGACAGAGGAAGCATGGCAGCCTCCTCCTCTCACTGCTTCTTTTTTTTTTTTTTCGCCTCTTTGGACTCTAGAATGATTTAAAAAGTGCATTTCTAACCTTGGGTTATCGCTCTGTGCTTTGTCCGCTCATAAATAATCGCTTGGTAGATAAAAATTTCTTGAACTACTCAATATTAAGCACTATATCTAATGAATTTGGAAATAATTGAGACTGTAAACATGTGGATACATGAAGACAATAATGAACAGAAATGAAAGACCTGGAGAGCAATTATCAGACAGCTGAGGCATCCTCTCCATGATGGGGGTGTTACTACTGAGGGCCACAGCTTCTGGACTGGCTGCTAGTTTCTAGCCATGTGAGAAAGATGGACTTCTGAATTTGAAGAAGTGAGGCTGCCTTAGGACTTTCTCATGAACTGTGAAGAGGAATGTCCTGAGAGGATCACCTGGAAGTCTCTGTGAACAGCCACTCTTACCCGTCTCTAACTTGAAGAAAGCCTGGGACAGAGGTTGCACATCCTCAACAGGCAACTTATAGACCAGGAGGGAGGAGTATCTGTGAAGAGAAGTGGGTAAGGCTGAATACCAGGTGTCAAAGTCACAGTCCCTGATGGGTACATGTCCACAAAGACCAACAGTCTGGTCAACAGTGGAAGTATACCATGTCCATAAAGTGATGGAGCCAGCCACAGTGTCAACATGCCTTACCAACATGAAGTCAATTTACCGAGAGGATTGGGAGGCACAGGGGTGGAAATCAGTAGTTCCCAAAACTCTAGCACGGAAGAAGCCTAATACATATCTTTCTTATTGGAAAGGGAAATAAACATAATGTAAATGATAAAACCTTGGCTTAGTTTCTGTTCCATTTCCAGTTATTTGGTTTTATCTAATCTACGTGAGCCCCAACTGCTGTTTCTAATAATGATAAAAATGCCAAGAGGCACCATCCACTGCTCTGTGAGTGATGCCCAATAGTTGGATTGCAGCCTGGACTTCATGCAGGAGAGGTCCATGAGTAGGGCCGGCTTCCCTCTCTGGAAAGACACTGGGACATGCCTATGTCAGTGTCTGACCCACTGCAGATCACCCACGCTTGAGCTTTTACAAGCAGCTCCCAAATCAGCATTTTGCTTTCTTCTTTTTCTTCAGGAGTAACTCTTGGGACCAAACCCTCTTCCAGTAATTATTCATAATTGCCAAAGTTAAAAAAAAAACCAACGAAAATAATGTGAAGATGAAGTTTAATTTTCCTTTATAACCATAGCAGAGGAACAAACCAAACACCAAGATAACACCAAACAGCATCTGTATTTACCTTTCCTGACGAGCAGCCTGGGGGAAAAGCCTCAGAATTTCTTCATGCAGGTGTTCCACTTGGGTGAGGGTTTTCACTTTCATTTCTAGTAGATAATCTTTGCCAAATTTGCTTTTCAGGTGTTGGATTGAGCCAATGCATCTGGAGAAAGGAGGGGAATGAACAAGTGGTACAAGTCTAATGCCAGCAGCATTTAGTTTGGGGAGCTCAAGAGAAGAGCCAGGGGAAGTTCTCATAGAATTTAACTTTGTAGGGGAAATGTCCTTTGTATGGGGAATAGAAGCTAGAGCCCGCGACACTCACCTCAGCCTGCCAGACACCATGATGGCCACTCGGTCACACACGGCCTCGGCCTCTGCCATGTAGTGGGTGGTCAGGAGAGCGCCTCCCTCTGTGTTTCTAAAGGTGGCTTGGATCGCCTGCCTAAAGTTAGGTCAAAGGAACTTGCTAACTACAGGGCAAAAGGGCCAGTGGGGATTTTAGAGGAAGTTCTCTTTGAAACATTGGAAGCAAGTAGTGAATTCAGCTTATGTAAAGAAATAAATTTGTAGGAATGACAGAAATGGAAATAACTAAACATGGACTGAACACAGAGAATTACACTGGGTAAAATTTTGCTTAGATAAGTGTCAGGTTTCAGAAAGAAAGAATGCATTAAAATGTTGATAATTACAATTTCTAACAAAAAAGTACAAAATAGCATTTCAGAAAAGAAATTTAAATACCCAAAGAATATTTTAAGGACTTGGGAGTATCCTTTTTCCTACAGAGAAACTGAATATCAGGTGATTTTCAGATTTGAAGCTTGCTAACAGATTTCTTTGAATATGTGCCATGAATACTCAGAACTTCTAAGAAGAAAACAAATCATTCTTTAAAATGGGTATTTTGTTGGAAGAATATCTTTCTCTCTTCAATAAAACAATGGTTGGCTATGAAATAAAAATTATATTACCTTCTGCTTTACTGTTGCTACTCCTGTCAAGAGGTGATCTCTTTCTAAATAAAAAATAATTGAGAGATCAGCTGTCACAGATCAATAAAATCAGAGGTATTTGCCAGGATGTTTCCTCACCACATCTGCTGCTGCCCCTCGGGGTCCATGCCGGTTGAGGGCTCATCCAGAAGTACTACTGATGGGCCCCCAAGGATGCTCAACAGGAAGCACAGCTGCAACAAGAGGAACAGTGCATCATGCACCTGCCTGGGGGCTGCACGGAGTAGCACCAGGTGCTGCCCCTACCTTTCTCTTTGCTCCCTCGGGTAAGGTTTTGACAGGAGCCTTCTGCTGGTCCTGCAGCTTGAGCGCAACCACCAACCTGAAGGGAACAGAGTCAATCCACCTTACCACGTTACCCCTGGATAATGCGTGAGACAAAGCAAATCAGAGTAGAACAGCTTCTACGTGAGAATCTTCACAACAGCCAAGTGGTCATAAATTGCAGACTACCTATGACACTTCATGAACTGTATTGTTCATCACGTATTTATTTTCACTTTTTTTTTCGTAGTAAGAATAATCAACAAACTTCTTTTTCTTGGGCTTAAAGTAAGAGAAACAACCACACTCATCTGAGCTTTAGACCAGTCTTCTCCCACCAGCACATCACCGTTACCTGGAAGCCCGTGCAGAGCATGCATGTTTCCCTAGGCCGTACCGTGTCATGCTGAGTGCCATGTCTCTTTTCTTCAGTCCTTTCACAGCAGCGTACACCTCCAGGTGCTCCTGAACTGTCAAGCTGGGCCAGAGTGCATTCTCCTGTGGGCAGTACCCCAGGAACCCCAGGGGCTCCCCTCTGCTGCTCCCTTTCAAAATCACCTGCACAAAAGAATTCATTCTCAGAATGTGTCCAAGATGACATGTGTATATATATATATATATATATGAATATGCCTACACACTTAAGTGGTATTATTTTCTTCATGTATTGCAATAAATAATATAAAATTAAATGAGTAATCAGCTCTGGGTACAAGATGATGAAAACATAACAATTTAAGAGGCAAATATTTTACATTGTTATATGCCTGCATTGTGATTTTGATTTTATTACCAATTCCATCACCCTAGTTGAGTTTAAGCTTATTCATTTCATTGTCTTCTGTTCAACTCCATCCCCAGATCTGATGTTCGAAGAGACAGACACTTGCTAAGAATCCTATTTCTTTCATGATAAATTGTTATCATTTGAAGGTCTATTCACAGGGTTGGTGTTGTGGTGCTGTGGTGCTGCTGGCAGCCTACAGCAGAGTGCCAGCTTGAATCCCAGCCACTCTACTTCCCATCCAGGTTTCTATCTGGTCATGTATCAGGGCTGGCCTCTGAGTTTCTGCTACCCAAACACGAGAACAGGATGGAGTTCCTGAGAGCCACTGAGGGGAGGGAATGAATAGATGCATGGTCTCTTTCTGTCTCTCCTTCTCTCTCTGTGATTCTGACGTTTGAGTAACTGAGCATCTAAGAAATAAATCTTTGAAAGAGAGAGGTCTGTTTAAAAATATCGTAGTGATTTTCAGAAAAACATAATCCTGCCAGGACACATTTAGCAATGCCCAGAGATACACTTGCTTGTCACAATTTGTGTGTCTATCTGAAGGGGTGGATGCTAGAGGCAACAAATTGATAGCCCTCAGGAACAATGATAATATTGTCCCATATACAGTATAACTTCTAGCCAGCCCCAAACATCTTAATACCAAGATTGGAAAGTGTTGGATTATGTAATAAAAACTGCTATGCCTCGCAAAGTACTCAATATATGATAAAGATGAGCAAATGTGCCATGTACTAGCCTCTGTGCTCCTGTATACTCAGACATTATTCTGGTTTTGCTTTGAAGTTTAGGTAATTGTTACTTTTTTTCATTTCTGTAATCTTTATTGTTTTTTTTTTAAACAAGTCCTGAATCTTTCACCAGTAGCCTAGCATCTTGTGACACAAGAATACCAAGAATACTAGCACAGGATATATCTGAATAATTATAAAACTAGTAAGTATATCTTGACACTAGAATGTTGGCCTTCATACCATTCTCTATACCTACAATGTCAGGATACAATTACATAGAAGAATGATGAATTTGTGACCATAGTTGAGGGACTAAAATATTGTTATAATATAGGGGAAAACAGCGCTAGGGGAAGGATTAGAAAGGAGTGGAAAGGGAAATCTCTGTGCCTAAAGAGCTGTATCATGAAAAAACAGAGAGTTTTAAAAAAGAAGAGAGAAAGTTTGTATCACATATATTCTCTGGAAAGACATACGAAGTTTGTTTACTAATGACTTATTGTTCTACAGGTAATACATGACCTTCAATGACAACACACAAACAGAGAGCAGCTGTTGAACATGAAGGCTTGCAGCTCTGCAGTTACAGACATTAATTTCTGTTTTGATGCTGCAGGAAGCCGAATAAGTTTTTGAGATATATAAGTCAACAAAGAAAAAAAAAACACCTGGCTTCGAGGTATACATATGTCCTTTTGGTGTCTCCGCTTTTCATTCAATAAGAGGCTTAATCTGTATAAGACGTATAGATAATATTGAACTAAGGGTAGAAAAAACATTTAGCTAATTCTCTTCATTCAGTGCATAAATGCTAACGATTGAGGGTCAACAATTTAAGATTGCTGTCAGTATTCATGACCAGCTTCCCTCCTGGCAGTGTCAGTGATGGTATCCTGTGGTTTACTCACCTGGCCCGCAGTCGGTTTTGTGTCTCCAGTCATCATCTTTATAGTTGTACTTTTACCTGCGCCGTTATGACCTAATAGCCCTATAATTTCACCTGGAAGAAACAGGCTTGCTCAGAGATGCATGAATAATTACCACAAGAATAAAGGAAGAATGATAAAAATTGTCAGGTACCATATGAAATATGCTCTGCACATTATTTCCATTGTTCTTCACACAAAAACCCAAGTGTTACATCTACCTTTAGTTTATAGATGAGGAAGCTGAATTTTTAAAGGACAAATTATTTGCCCAAAGTCCTGCAGTCGCTAAATGACTTAGGCAGAATTTGAGATAAATTTTGATTTCAAAACCTGACACACTTCCTCAAAACACGCTATTTGTTAGGCATGAAGAAAGGGGCATCTACGCTTCAGGCAGTTCCCGTGAGGGCAGTCCTTGTCTGTTGTGAAATTATGTTACTAAACCTCACCGTCCTGCCCAGCAAAAAGACAGCCTCTTCTGCCACCCTATTCCTGCATTTGCTTTAACAGAAAATGAGTTCACTCCTCCATAAAGAGAAGACCTTGTCATAAGAATAGGGGAGTCTCCTCTGGGCAGGTGCAGGCTTGGCCTTGTTGCCTTTTTTTTTTAACCAATAGCATCAGATTCAGATATTCCTGTACACTTGGAAACATCTCAGTTTCTGGAGTCAAGATTTCTCTGCTAAGGAACAATTGTTTCTGACCTCTCTTGACACAGAAAGAGACATTTCTTGTGGCAACTGTTTTCTTCTTTCTGGAAAGGCAGTGTTTCTTTCCGCCTGCATATTCCTTCCGCAGGCAGCTGGCAGCAATGACTAGTGTCTGTAAGGACAAGCAAATGGTGACAGGGTATTAGCCTTGCTTGAGAGAGTGTCCCATATTTATTTCTGAATACACTTTTCTCTACACAAACACATGACTCAACCAATCCTACCCCGAGAACTTCCATTTTCAGGCAAGCTCTCCCACTTTATATTCCTGCTCAGAAGGGGCGTGTGCACCACAGGCCTTTACTTGTGCACCTGTGCTGCCCTTTGTCAAAGAGTATTAGAGACAGGCATTGAACCAACAGATCTGCTAAGACACAACCACACATTCATATTCATACACATGAGTGAAAATCACATATGCCTTAGAGGAGCTGTCCTCTCTGAAGTGTATGAAGTAAGCCTTGAGTTATGAAACTCAAAAGATTATTTAGCCTTTGTAATGTTTAGTTGCATGTACCAAATCTGACCGTGGTTAAATAAGTTAACTAGTTAGTTCCTATAGTGGTGTGTGTGTGTGTGTGTGTGTGTGTGTGTGTGTATGCTCTGTGGATATGGTATATTCATTGAGTCAAGTAATAAACTATATGGGTATGGATGAAAGACCCTAACCCGGTTTTCTAAGTTCAACTTAGACATTTGTTCACTTACATGACAGACACAACTATCTGATGAATGTTTTTGGTAATTCCTACCTCGTCAGCATCTGGCAGAGTCACAGCATTTGCTGCTCTCATTCTTTCCAGCTGAACAGCTTCATCCTCCCCTTCAGGGTCTTCTGGGTTTGGAAGAACTTTGTTTCTTTGCGGAGAAATTCTAAAACCAAAGCAGAATAGCAATGTGGGGTTTCCTGTTTCACTCCTCCCTCACTGTTACCCATCTTGTCCTTTCCTTCATCCTCTTACCATTGATCACTGTTCATTCCTATTTTTCTCACTCTTGCCACAACGGATTAGCACCTTTAAGTTGGTTTCCTAAAACATGGGTGCCACCTTATCACTCTCATATGCTACCATCAATATTAGATTTCGGCTTGATGCATTTTTTTTTGTGCTCTAGACCAGCTGTTCAAGGCACAATTTGGTCTTGATTTCCCTATGTGTAATATATAAAAGCCTCCTAGTGTTTCTCTATTTCAAGACCTTCCAATGTCTAGCTCCAATTTCATTTTCCTTAGTGTGGTGTAAGCCTTCAGATTTATTCTAGCTGCCTCTCATGTCTACAGGAAAAGGGCATTTCACTCAACATCTGTCCTGTTGTTCAGGCTGTATACTTCCTGGACTGGCTACCTTTACCCAATTGCTTATCTGCCTTTACCTATTATTTTAAAGAACCTACTTACTGCATATTACTTTCTTTAAGTATGTCAGTGAAATTTTATCCTGTCCTGATTTTTCAGTGTCATGTATGCAAAACTGGTTTTGTTGCACTAGACTGTAACCCCGGTAAATTACCCAATGTTGTCATTTTGTATAATAAGCAGTCTCTTAAAATAATCATGTGTAGCACTTTCTATGTATTAATTTAAGAACTTATAAATTCTATAAGCAATGCACATCAACATGAAATTCTATTTGGCATCTCTCAACCTGAACACAGGATCCATTCTCATTGATTTCTTCCTAAAGTTCTTTTCCAGGTATCGCAGAACAAACACAAAAATGAAGAAATGAAGGTATGGCTAAGAAAAAAGAAAGAATCAAAATTAACATTACCACAAAAACGCTTTCAGTGTTGCAACTGATTTAAAGAGTTTCATCTTCTATAAAACTACACTTGACAAAACATTCAAGGCTTAAAAGACAATTTATTTAATGGTATATGAAACTCTCAAAGTTAGCTTCATTGGCATACAGAGAACGCATAACATAAATACAGTGATAGTTAAGTTGATGCCAGCACTTCTGAAAGATCTTAGAGTTTACATTTGGAACCAAATGATTACTGTAGCCAGTAGGAACTCAAATTGAAAAGTCACTGTGCATGTTTTTAAGTTGATTCAGTTGCCCCAGATTTCCAACCCTCTTAATTTCATGCATTTCAAAGAATCTTGAACCACATAAATGTGTCTCTGTATGCAGCAACATTGAAAAAGAAATGTTTTCTTACTATTAGCAATGCCAGAAAAACAATCTGAGACTCTGAGGCTCCTAGGTAATCCATGGAGTCATGAGAAATCTGTAAAACGAGGAGAATCTCTGTTTAAATGAATCCTCATCTGTTCTTGGATTTCATTTCACTTATGATAATTTTGTCTGCATTATGTGGCCTTCTACCATTTTTCCTTGTGCTTCAGGTAAAAGTCAATTTCTGAGCATGCACTATGTCTTTGCTTCCAAGATACACCAGTGAATTATCAACCCGTGCCTGCCCACATGCTGAGAGCCATTTGTCTACAACACCGTGAGCCAGCGCAGAAGTTCAGGCGGTGCCTGCAGGATACACAGAAACCACTGACCAGCTTGTCTTACAGCTACACTTCTTTTAAAAATGTATATTTATTTGAAAGGCAAAGTTATAGAGAGGGAGATATAGGAGTGGAGTGGGAAGAAAGAGGGATGGAGGAAAGGGGAGAGAGAGAGACAGACAGAGACAGAGCTGCAATGTCTGGGGTTGGGTCAGCTAAAAGCCAGGGGCCAGGAGTTTCCAACAGGTCTGCTGTGTTCCCATCCAGCACCCATAGATGATGCCAGCAGCACAGGTGGCAGCTTTACCCACTCTGTCATGGTACTAACTCCTTACAACAACCCTCTGCCCATCACTTCACTTTCCATTTTCTGGTCTTCCCCCAGTAACACCCGAATATTGCATTGCTTCTCTTTCATTCTTTTGCTTTTGAGAATAATCATGACAAAAACATGAAGACAAGATCTGTCAACTAGAGATTGACATGTATACGTGGAAATACTTCCTCCAGCCTTTCAGTGAAAAAAAAAAGAGGGGGAGGCCATGCTTGTATCTTTGAGCTATATTTACCAAGTCTTTGTGTGCTTTTTTGCTGGGAAATTTTAAATCCTTTGCTTAGCACCACAGCCAGATACTATCTGGAAGAGATGCTTTTGTTTCCACACTGGAGGATTTTTAAAGGCCCTGACTTCATTCTAAATCATCTTGTTTCACTAAATGCCTCCATTTCCCACTTCTAAAATTACATCCCATTCAATACGAACTTCAAAATCCCTGGACTCTGCTCCCTCCGTCATCATATTTTCTTTTTCAGTTTTCCTACTCCTTTGTTTCTACTTCATAGTTTGGAGTTTGTATAGAATATCCTCATGTCTTTAATTTGTTTGTTCTTCTGTTTTGAACGTATGGACCATTATTTAATGCTTCCTTATATAAAACTATTGTCACCTTCTTTTATTTTTTTCTGAGAAAGTTCCTGGGAAAATTTGTAACCTGGACTAAATCCAATTCTATAAGAGCATTTTTTCAGCTTTGGTGACTTAATTTGAAAAGTAGAATAGAGGTTGTTTGGAATTGTTTGTCATTCTTAATGGCCTAGGTGCTGAAATAATTTTCTGGGTCTTTTCTTCTACTTCAACATTCCAATTTTCCTTGATCATGTCACTCTAAGCTGATGGCTTCACTTCTTATTTAAGAAAGGAGAGTCACTCAGAGAAGAAGCCACTAAGCTACCTGCCGGTATTCACGATTTCTGGGTGTGATCTTGCTTAATAGATGGAATGTTGCAGCATTTATAGACTGCAATTTCTGCATTGTGTGCTGTACTGGGTTATTTCCCTGTTTGTTTTTTTTAAGGGCTTTCTGCTTTCAGTAGGCTCATGTCTTTTTTTTATCATAAATTTTCCTCACAGGAAAGTACAAATCTAGCCACTTAGAATAAAAAAGAAGTACACAAAAATCTATCTATTTTCCTCATTCATCTCAAGTCTGCTACCCTTTTTAGCAAAACTCCTGGAAGCACTTAGCTAAACAGATTGTCACGAGCTCTTCATCTCGTGGTCTCTAGCACCTTCGCTCTTGCTAGACTTTTGGATTAATGCTGTAATGGAAATAATTTTGTTATTATCACCAGTTTCTTCTATGTAGTCAACGGTACCTTTTCAGGCATCACCTTTCAAGATCTCTGAATTGTATTTGATGATTTAATCACTGCTTCCTCAAGCTAATGTATACTGTTGAAGTATAACATCTGAGAAGAGATTTTGGCACTCATGTCTGCCTTTGTTTTTATCCCCCTGACTCTTTCTCAAACGCATTTGATGACTTTTCCTCTTCTCCAAGCTACATTTGGAATTCCGTTCTTGTCTCCTTACTTTCCCTATAATCCTTACATTTCATCAAGTCAGTCTCATTCTGCACATATACTTATTTTGTAGGTTATAGTAACCAGTTCCATGGCTTTTAACGTCACTGATAAACAGATTAATCTTAATTATTTGTTTTTGGTCCTAATCCCTCATATCCTGACACATTGGGTTCTAGGCTTACATATCCAACTGACTAGATATTTCTCTTTGGGTGTCTATTAGTATCCAAATAGGAAACAGGCATCTCTTTGGTCTCCCAATAGGAGTCCAGTAATTGAGGATTACAGTGGCAGCCATCAATTGACATTTTCTTGGAATTGCCTTTGACCCTCCTAAACCAAGGCAGGACTTCTTACTGAATGGTAACATTCCAACTTTCTTGTGGTAAGATATTTTATATGTTCAAGGCTTTCTTCAATGGCCATGCACTTAATGATCCAAATCAGGAGCAGAAGTACTTACTTCTGAGAAAATGAACAGAGACCCAATAAGCGTGAAGGGTGGTATTAATAAGGTGCTGAAAAGTAGTCCTAAAAATCTATATTCATTCAGATCTGTAGCAACGATTGAGAAGATGGTAATCTGAAATAAAACACAGTATAATGTTATTACAATAATCTGAATGATAGGATACTTTCCAAGAGGGTGACAGATCTCACCTCACCACAGTTCTCATGCTAAATTTCCATCCCTCCCTCTAAGTCAATATTTTCTTGTTCTCCACCCTCTCCCTTCCTGTTGTTGTTGTATACTCTGCAGGACACAGATGCTCTCTCTCTCTCTCTCTCTCTCACACACACACACACACACACACAAAGTGGGTAAGATGAAGAGCGGAACAGAGACAGCAGGAAAGAGATGGCCACAACAGCTAGAGTTGAATTAGGCCAAAGACAGGATCCTGGAATGCCATCTGGGTCTCCCACATGGTTGCGGGAACCCAAGAGCTTGAAGCATATTCTGCTGCATTCTGAGGGGCATTAGCAAGGAACTGGGGCTCAAATGAGCCCCTATTTGGGATGCTGGTGATGCAGGTGGTAGCTTCATCTGATGTGCCCCAATACCAACCCCTGCCCACCATTTTTATAGCATCACATAGAGTAGTTTCCCATTAGTGTCCATCCTAGTTGCTCCATAAGAGAGATCTGGATGGAATTCTGAGCTGCTGGTTTTGGCCTGGCCTAGTACCCCTTGTAAACATTGCAACACGAGAGTGAATCAGGGGATGGAAGAGACTCTCTCTCCCTTTCTCTCTCCTTTGTTTTCTCCACAACTCCCTCTCCTTCTTTTTTTTTTCTCTCTTGTAATAGACTCACAGATAAGAACATGAACAGATTGTATTTTAAAAGAAGAAAAAAAAAACCCGATGCATTCTGCGTGATTCCATTTTCATTAAGTTCCAAAGTAGCTATGCCAATTGATGGATTCATAACTAAGAATTGTGATGTTGTATTCTCTATTCCGTAGTCATGTTCTATTCTCTGTTGGCTTTATGAAGGTGTCCACTTAAAATTTTGCTGCATTTAAAATGTATGTGCATGTTTCTGTATAAGTCGTATCTTTCGTTAAGATTTATTTCTAAAAGATCACATTTGTTATTGCACAGATTAGCTTACAAGACAAGAGTAGGAACAGAGCAACCGATTATAGAGCCCTGGCAATGCTTCAGGTGGAGAAGATGAACACTTGAATAATGATGCAGCCGTAAAGCTGAAACACACAAAACAAGGAAATGTTCAGTCTAAAGAACAATCATAGGAGTTGGATGTGGGCAGAGACAACGAGACAGGAAGGAAGGACAATTCTATATTTTTGGTATGTGGAATTAGCTGGGTGAATTTTGCAAAAATAATTTAATAACCTATTAACAGAAGAAGAAGAACAGGATTAAGGAGGGAGTTATGAGAGTCCTTTTTAAATATGCAAGGGACACTACAGGTGACTTTTAGAGGTAGACTCCCGGCTCAAGGGACTCTCCAACTCTGGAGAACACCGAATCGGTCATAGTTTACAGATGATATACACTCAAATATGAACACATTCTATGGATGTCTACCTTACAGTGATTAGAATTTTCCAAAGAGAAATAGTATCTTCTCTTATATCTAGTGCAAAGATTGAAAGAAATCCTTTTAGATAAAAAATATTGTTGAAAGAATGTAAACCATATGTATACTCACAATTAAGAATAAAAACGACCAAGCACCACTATTTTTTCTACCTTTGCGACAAATGAATGAAATCACGTATGTCAAGAAAACAAGAGATGAGACATATCCAATACTACAGAGGATCTGAAAATGCAAATATTACAATTAGATATAGTAAATTCTATTTATGAAAGTATTCACATTTACCCTGTCAATATGCCATATGATACAGCACAAATAATTTGAAATTCTTTGGCATAGAATTAGTGTTCATGCATCCATGAAAAAGTAGTCTAATCACACATTTTGTGGACTGATCACTTACCTGAATTAACAAGTTTTGAATTATATATATAATATCATCTGGGTTGAAGACATAATCCATGATTTGCATTAGGAGGAGGATAAGGAAGTACAAGGGAATATCCACCAGTGCCTGTCCAAACCAGTAAGCAGAAGGGTAGAGGCCTGACACCCATAGCAGGGATTGTGTGTTTTGCTGTTAAAGAAATAGAAGAGGACACATTCTTACAAGGTGATTTTGGGAATTGCAAATATCTAGTCACAAAACATTCATTCTGTCTTCTATTCATATACTATTTCCACTCATCACATGATGATGTCACTTGCCACATGTTGGCTTTGAGGTATTGATAATTCCAGGGGTCTTCAACAATTCAAGAAAAACTATGCCTGGATTTTGGTGTTAGCCTTTGCAAATTTCAAAAAGATTCTACAGGAGTGTACAAATTTCCTATAAGCACTGTGGGTAGAGAGAATAACAGAACAAGGCCCCCATACCAGGGAAAGTTGAACGTATGGGGAGGACTGGAAACATGCGAGGTGTGGCTGGACACATCTTCAAGATGATAGTGACATCAGGTCGAAGTGGAATGATACACCCAGGTTGGGATCACTCTTGAGTTCCTAATGCATGGCAACAGTTTAGATCTTGTACCTTTTATCCTGATGTTATCATCGAAGGTATTTAGCTGTGGCATGAACATGGTACTGCTCTGTCATGTTGAGGGAAAATCTTAGACTGTTAGACCCTCAGGAGCAGTTGGGGAGGCAGTTGTACACAGAGAGAAAAGGGCAATGGCAGCTCTGAGAGAGCTAGAAGAGAGTGTTCTAGAAGAGAGGGAGCAGAGCAGAAGGATGCCGAGCAGAGCAGAAGGATGCCGAGCAGTAGCAATATTATAAAGTTATTTTGATAAGATGATCTAATAGAAAGCTATGAAAAGTCACAGTGGCTATGTGGAAAGAACTAAATACAAATAAGACAAAGGAGTAGCTATCATCATAATCTGGAAAGGGGTGATGATGAATTATGCCAATATGAAAGTAGTGGACATAAAAATAAATGAATAGATTTGATACATTTTAAGTACAGCTTAAAGGAATTACTCATGGATTAGATAAAAGATAAAAACAAATTTAACTCCCAAACGTCACATTAGAGCAACTGTGGATGACAGTGGCATTTGTTGGGATGGGAAAGCTGGCAGATAATATTTGGCCAGAAAATAAAAAAAGATTGATTTTGCTCCTGTTTGTAGTATGTTACTTATCTAAATGAAAATATCAAATAGGCTGTTTTATATGTAGGACAAGAATCCTGGAAATAGCTGGATAGGCCTCTAGAAGTTAGCATTGGGTTTCTGGATATCCAGCACTCACAGTTATGGGAATGTTAGAAGAATTGTTCTAAGGGATTTGTGGGTATTCATCACATCCTCACAGAAACTCACTTCAAATAGATCTAACCATGATGAAAAGTGAAGAGTAACCAAGACATTTTTGACAGTCATGCAACTTGATAAAAGAATCTTCAGGATTTAAACAAATGGGATTTAATTAGAAAGAAAGAAAAAGGCGCAGAGCCTTGTGGCCCAATAGGTGAAGCCACGGACTGAAATACTAGCGCCCCAAATGAGCACTGGTGCAGGTCTTGAACTAGCTCTACTGGTTGAGGACAGATGTCTCTCTGTCTCTCCCTCTGTCTTTGAAATTCTGTATTTTAAACAAATAAATGGCTTTCTTATAAATAAGTAAATAAATGATGTGATGAAGAGTGACAAGAACAACAGGAAAATACCAGAGACGGTAGGCTCGCTTTTGTGTTTCTCACGGAAGAAGTTGCTAATGATAGGGTTAACTTCAGAGCAGACTCACGGAAAAGTAATTCAAATCCATCGAAGATATCTGCTGAACTTTCACACAGAGCAAGAAACAGCTGATGATATTAAATACATGAAGACATGTGAAAAAGCCTTTTGGTTGCATTAGGAATGTGATAGAAAGATAGACAGCATAAAGTTATGCTTGGATTTTATATAAAGCCTTGAAAAAATTAAGCATTAAAGGGATAATTCTTTCTACAATATTTAGAAGTGCTCCAGTGGGCTAGTCAAGGCTATTTATATTGTTTACATGACTGACTGTCACCATCTAGAGAGTGTAACTATCATAGAGATGTGAATATTTCAGTGGAAAACTCTAAGGGTGATAAGCATTTAAAAGTTGCTATTCACTGGTGGTTGACATTACCTACCAAGGCCTCCTTCTTGAGGTCTCACATTTAAGAAAAAAAAGCATATTCTTAATACTTGGCAATCTGTCATTGTGATGTTTGATTATTCATTATGTCAAGGACATAAGTTGGGTGCGTTCCCTGCACATAAATTTATGACCATATGGGGCCAAAGGTGAGTTTTCTAGATAGTAGACACATTTGAGTTCTTACTCTGTAGTCACTGATGCTGCTCATTGCAAGGTAGGGAGTGAAGCAGGCTGCCACTGGTATCCAGAAGAAGGCGTTACTCAGGTACCCATATTCGTAGGATGTGTCCTAAAATCGTTCAGAACATGGTGAGCTGATTGTAATCTGGCATCTGGTTCATTTGTGCTGTCTTAACTGAATCACTCACACGATTTGACACAACCACTCAGAACTCTGCCAAAGCTGCTGTTCATATTTGCAGTTTCTTACGTTCATGTTTAATCTGGTAGTTTAGCAACTTTGGCATTTTGAACATGTATTTTGATTTACTTCCGAAAAAGCAAGTGTAATCGAGAAAGATGACCTGGCCATGTTCCCATGGTTAATAACCCAAGAGGGAAAGCGTAGCATAGCACCTTGCTGACTTCCAAAGTACAGCATTCCATATAATGCTTATATACATCCAGGCGGATTGTCGGAAGAGACCACAGAGATTGTGTGCTGCCATTGGAGGAGCTATTTTGTGGCTCTCAGAAATTGGTGCCAAATCCATTAAATGCAACATCTATGATGACTTACTTTCTTGGTTCAAAATGATGCAGAAGGTGAGACTTCTTTAAAAAGCTTGTAGAAAGGGAAAACTAAAAGGCAAGTTTATTTGAGTGCAAAAAATTGAATTCAAAGCAGCACTGTTTCAACAGACATATTTCCATGAACTAGCAAGAAGTAGATGTTAGAAAATAAGAATGATGAGACATGAAGGAAATTAGTACACATTTTACATAAAGACACAGAATGTAAAAAAAAAAAACCTAGAAAGCTTTATACAGGTTTTGAAATGAACCTCAACAATATGTAGGATCGGTTGTTTTACTAAAATACAAGTCAAGTTTGGAAGTTTGGAAGTTTTCTCTCTTCTGACTCCTGTCAACAAGTTTATACCCCTCTAAGAACTCCACAATATGAAAAGTGTTTACATAAAGATGCTCCTATAGAGACGAGGTTCTGCAAGGTTACAAAGTGACACCAGGAACGGTGTTGCTCACTTCCTATCCTTTGCAAATGGACACTGTTGTTGACATCTTGATCTGGAGGATTTTCAGGGATGGAAAATTCACACTAGTATTAACACCCAGACCCTTTTACCACAATTTGGTTCACAGACAACTTGCTGTTTCCATGTGAGATCGTGCCCATCCACTGTCAGGATTTGGAGAGACCCATCATACCAACTGGGCAGTGAGGTCAGGTCATGACATGGCAAAGAGACTGCTGGGAAGCATGGCAGGCTCTGGTTGTGGGAAGTTAACGAGTGGAGTCAGGTACAAGTCTGATCTACAATGAGACCTGTGCTTCAGAAAGAAAGAGAGGCCAAGAACTGGCTGGGGATCTTGGGGTGTCAATTCAAAGAAAGAACTTATCTACATAGGAACTGAGCACCAGCTGTAAACAATACAAAGTAAAACTTATTTGTAAATCCTTTCTGTTGCAACAGATATTGTAAGTAAGCTAGAGATGTTTAAAAAGTTGGTGGGAGAGAGTGCAGAGGTTAGATGTAAAGATTATAATATTTCAAACAAGAATCTTGAGCATTTGGGGATTTGGCATTTGGTGGTTTTGAAATCAGTCCCCTGTGGACACTGACGGACAACTGTAGATACAAAATATAATTCTTTAAGAATAGAAGCATGACAAGTTCTTTGATATAATTTCAACATTTCAACAATTTTCTTAAAATTTCCAATGACTCAGTAAAAGTGAGATCACAACATACTTACTTCGAAAAACGTGCTTCTGTCAGTTTGAATGTGTTCAGAAGAGTTAAGCATCCCAAGGAGCGCATTGCTGATGACATCCACGAGGACCGGAAAGCAGTTCAGCCTTTTGGTATTACATGCTATCGAAAATCTGTAATCCTTCAATACAGTCAACATTTATAAATCCTCAGAAAGCAATACAAAATTCATTGGTTACTCTAGAAAATAATTCAAATTTGTGACAATAAAGCTGAGGAAGGGAAGCACAAAGTCTCATAAGTCCCGGTGTGTGTGAATAATCTCTTTACAAAGGACACACAGTATAATACATACAAACACAGAGAATGATATAGTTTTCATTTGTATAAAAATGTATTACCTATGTTCTTAAAAATGTAGAACCTTTAAGAATGCAGTTTTATAGTGATAAATAAATCAAACATTTTATATATCTAACTTAACTAAAAAGAGTGTATCTTAAAAAAGAAGCACCCCCCCCCCCTTTTTTTAAGTAGAGCTGCAGAAGGAGGAGAGCCAGAGAATCTGTCATCCACTGGATCACTCCCCTAATGGCTATAACAGCAAAAGTGGGGGCAGTCCAAAGCCAAGAGCCAGGAGTTTCTTCCAGATGTTTTATCTGGATGCAGGGGTCCAAACACTTGGGGGGCATTCTCTGCTGCTTTCCCAGGCACAGTAGCACAGACCTGGATTGGAAGTGGAGTAACTGGGACTCAAACTGGTTCCCATGTGAGATACTGACACCCAAGGCAGTGGTTTGCCAGCTGTGGCACAGCACTAGCCTGGAAAGGTGTCATTTTCCTAAAGATTGATTTATATTTATTTAAAAGGCAGAGTTACAGAGAGAGGGGGGCTAAGATAGAGAGGCCTTCCATTTGTTGGGTCACTGTTCTAATCATGGCCATACCTGTGTCAGACCAAGACAAGAAGGCACAACTCCAACTAGATCTCCCACATGGATTGCAGAGGACATCTGCTGCTTTCCCACACACATTAGCAGGAAGATGGAGTAGAAATGGAACCAGGACTTGATCCGGTGCTCATAGGCCAGCGTCATAGGCCACAACTTAATCTACTTCTTCAACAATACTGGCTCCCAGAGTGTTCTTTTTAAAAACAAATTTTCTGAACTTACTCTATTAAGCGTGATCAAAAACTAGTTGGATCAAAGGTGGTATCATTTTTATTGATGACATAGAAAGCATTCCTGAAAATTAACTTGAATAAGCTAACTTCACGCATTATGATGCTGAACAGCTATGGTTTCTACTTTTAGTGTAATCATGCAATATATGTACATTGTCTACCAGAGGGGTCACCAACCCAAACTCCCATGGATTCTGGACTGGCAACATAAATCAGTGGAGATACAATAAGAGGATGAGGATACAGCAACCTGAAGAGTAAAGGCCAAATTAAAATTGGGTATCACTTTTCTGAGTGTATCTTGGTATGAAATTTAGTAATAACTTTTAAATAAACTATGAATGAGAGCAGTTCACATAACTTCATCTGAAATTAAATAAAACGGCATTTTTGATACTGCAGGAAATTGTAGCCCCACACCTATTGTAAAAATGAGAACCATCCCAATTGTTTATCTCAACATGGCTTTGTATGTCAATTGATATGAATGATCAGGCGTTGCACGTTCCTACCTATCTTCAGGAAAATGCAGCTGTTGGAACCCAATGTACCTTTGCATCGCCAGAGACAGTGATAGCCCCATTGTATGCTGACTCGTCTGCACCATTTCTGACTCCAAAGGCATCCACTTCTAAAGCTATGTTCTGCCGCCACAGGGAATGGATGAAGTTATCAATGCTCGATCCTGCCATGTAATACGAAACAAAGCACTCAAAAATCTGTGTCCAGACATAAAATAAAAACTCTAAATACCATCACTCCAATCATATACCATAAAAATTACCTAAGAATTTCCTTTTAAAGGGGGGGAGTTGCAGGTTTGAAGCTAAAATGGATTCTCACATCACAAGAATGACAGCATTCCTTTATCTAGACCTGAATATTTCCTTGTAATTTCTGCTAGCATAAAAGTATTAAAGGCTGTTAATATTGTACTACCTAAGCTATTAATCTACCTTCCTACAAATCTGAAACAGATTTCTTTTCTTCCCAGAGTCCAGAAATACACTGACTTACAAAATAAAACAAGACCTCACAAGTCAGTTAACAATCTCCTTTCTGAAAACCTCTTTGGATGCCTTGGGGATTTGTGCTTCAACCTTTTATTCTTCCGTTTTTAAATAGACTTTCATTTGGTCCCATAAGTGTTTTCTAAAACAGGTAGAGTGTATTTTTTTTTTCATATTTTACATTTCCCAGGGAATCTGAGCAAGAACACGGCCGGGTTCTACATCACCCGCATATTTACCTGTTCTGTTGATGATCAGTAAACGGGTCAGAGGAGCTTGCACTTGCTGTCCAGGTGAGAGGAAGTACATTTGTGGAGACAATCCCCAAGAGTAACTTCTTTGATATAATTCATAGAAGAGATGTTCCAAAAGTTGAGGGAAAAAACTAACTACAAATAGCAGAAACCTATGCAAAATAAAATATTAAATAAATAACTCATGGCAACTCTAGACTTTAAGCTTGACCAGACACTGGAGATAATTATAGAAATTAATCTTAAGAACTGATTAAACATTTCCATCATGCTTCTCTCCTCCTTTCTAAAATGAAATAGTTCCTATGCGTTTGCCTTTGGTCTTCCTCTCTCCCCATTCACTGTCTGCTCCTGTCAGGGACATCTGATTTGTATTTAATGGAATCAGTAGCTTCTGGTTTTTGATTTTAGTCAGACCTATCCATGGACAGTGTAGCCATTTGTGTGTGAGAACCAGGGGATGGAAGACCTCTCGTTTCTCTCTTTAAAAAGAAAACAATCTTCCCCATCTCTTCAAATACTGTCCTAACAGATTGTTTTGCTTCCAGTGCTTACTATTTCCAAAGTTTTGTACGATTGCCCAATTTTCTTGACATGCTGATCTATCAGTTGCCTGTTTAAAATAAAAATGTAAACCCTTACTGTTCCTTATTATGCACATCATACATTTTAGGTATATTTAATATGTTCTGTAAATTATTTTTATTTTTCACATCATTTTCCACTATTAATAATAGCTCTTTAGATTTCTCATATATTCTCAGAGTTAATACTGCTCTTTATGAATTTATATTTTCCTTTTTATCCTTGCCTTGTGGGAAATCCAAATTCTCCCACAAGATTTTTTCTCTGAAGCTTCTATTTCCACATTATGCCTTTCCTCCAGAACATGATGGTTTTCAGGCTTGTTTATCTTGTGAGTTATTTGGTAAGTATGTGCTTAATCATCCTCAAGTGCAGATTCTCATGTTTGATTTTTTTGAGCTACATTACAAACACTTATCCATATAGGATTCCACAGAAGTACTCTTTTAATTTTATTTAACTATCTGAATGGGAGAGGGAAGAAGAGAGGAAGGGAACGTGCATGTGTGAGAATGGTAGAAACAGATGGAGAACTGCCATCTTTGGTTTACTTCCCCAAATGCTGACAACAGACTGATCCAGTGTTGAAGCAAGAACATGAGAACTCAATCGTATCTCCCACTCAAGTGGAAGGAATCCATATTCCTTGAGCATCACTGCCATGGCCCCAAAGTTTGCACGAGTGGAAAGAGCCAGCCTATGATGTAACACCCAGAGCCAGCCTGTGATGTAACACCCAGAGCCAGCCTGTGATGTAACACCAGGTACCCTGCTGCACAGCACAAGCTCTCACTTCTTGGCTGCGCTGTCCTTCCTGCTCAAGGTGATTTCACTTGTGCTTGCAAAGCCAGCTGGCACAGAGCCTCACGATGGTGACATAGAAATTCTGGCCGTGTTGCCAACCATCAGGTGGTAACACTAACTCTCACCTGAATTTTTAAGACTGCTGGTCTGCCCTTTGGATTGCAGACTTCTCAGTTCCCACAACAATAGGAAACAGTTTCTTACAATAAATTCCTACATATCTACTGTAAGAATAAAATCTGTGTAAAATTAGAAGAATCCGAAACTTAATGTTTTAATTCTACACGCACACAAAGAGTAAAAAAATGGCTTCCTTGTTTCAAAGACGCTGTTCTGATGCTGGAATTCATTGAGACTTTTGCTTTATTCTCTTATTTTGAGTGAACAAACCCAGGAAAACTTGAAACACTCAGGTACTCACATTGCCAACAGGCTTTTTCTTTCATTCTTCAACTTTAGAAAGCGAACTTTTGCTATTGCGCAGAGCTGCTGTCTCCAGAGAGCCATGCCGTTGGCTATTTTCCTGGTTTCTCTTAAGGAAGACAAAACTTGTTCCAGCTCTGTGAGGCTTCCCATGTCTTCCACTCCGTCGTTTGGTAATCGGTCCCAAACCCCACCATCTAAAGCAGAAGATCAGGACCTTATAAAGTTTCATTCTAGCTGTGTATTTTTTATATTTACTGTGATTCTCTTTTCAACCAAAGCTGTTCTTGTTAATATCTAAAAAAGATACAAGTAATCTAATCCATGTCATTATGATAATAACTTTTAAAGAACTGGAAAAGAAGAAAAAAGCATAGATGCCATAACATAAAATCTTGTGCTTTCTGAAAGTTATCTGCCTTTAGACTCAGGATTAATTTTGTTCTAAGGAAATCAACGGGAAAAGTTCGTAAACAAATCTGTACACTGCAAGAAGGAGACGATCTTAGTGTTTTTGAGCAAGGTAGGAGACTTAGTACGTACGAGTCTCTCTCCTCCAGGAACATAAAAGTAGCAAGCATAAGTTATAATTAGAGAAGTTACCTTCTTGAAGAGAAGCATAAAGTTAACAATTAACTCCAGTCATCAAGAACACTAGATCACTGTATGCTAAAAATTAAAACAAGCCCTAAAAGTGTAAGAAGTATACAACTTCAAAAACAGATAAAAGAAGAAAAAGGGGGGAAAAAACCCCATGTGACCCATTAAAAAGCAAAATTAATCAAAGTGAAAATAGAGAGTACAGTAAAGAGTATACACAGCACAAGGAGAGTAAGCCAGAAGCAAAGAAGCGTGTTAAAGTCATCAAAAAGTAGAGACAATGCTTTCCAAGAGGTCACAGTTGTGGGGACAGCACGGCTTGAGCAGCCTGGGCTGAGTGCTGAAGAACATTGCCAGAAAAGCAATCACCGATGTGAACTCTGCCCTTCTCTGTTATAGCACGTGTCCGCACGTGACATTGTACAGATGCTCCATGGGAACCCAGTTGCACATTGCTTTCTTACAAAGAGATATATTTCCTCTCTGCTTTATTTTCCCCAAACCACCCTAACAGCAACAATAAAAAGGAAAAATTTCAAAGCGTATTTTCAAGATAAAATACGACACAGAAAAGTGAAGTTCAATTTTATTTTCTCTTACTTTTCTGTTTTACCTGATTCATCAATAGCTGGTTTTCCTTCTAATTTCAGGAACACTTCATTAAGAGTTGCCATGGAAACACCATAATTCTCAATGCCTTGATGACAACATTGATCAAGATCTCTATAAAGTTCTAAAAGGACACAAAAGACAGATCAAAAATATATAATTTATAACAAAATTTATAATGATTATATCTTGCAAAAATAGAAAATATTGGTAATAGGTCAATGAATTCGTAAGAAACAAAACCGCATACCAGTTTTTCCTTATTTCTAACATGATCTATATCACATGCTAGTTTCCATATCCTCTTGAATATCAAGCTCTAAATGCTTTTTAATTATTTAAAAAACTGAGCAGATTTGTTCAAAAATATAATTTATTTCATGTATGTTTAAAAATTAGTTGTTTCATTTCAAGGAAGATTTAGTATTAAATATTGATATACATAGGACTATTTTTCCAAAGAACTGAAGTTTGTGGTTTATGATAGCATTGATTCTTAGGGAACTTTAATAACAAATGAAAAAGAAATTAACAGTTGTAGAATAAAATGCCACAGAAACTTTCCCAATTAAAAAAAAAAACATGAAGGACAAAGTCTGCACGCAGTGTGGCGGACTCCTCTCACTTTTATTCCGTGTCTCTCTCCGTGAATCTTGTAAGAGGGTAGGTCCTTAAGGAGCATGAGCAAATGCTCTTAAGAGAAATGTTTCCTTTTAAGATGTTAGGAATGATCTTTGAGCACTTCAGGAAAAATGAGAGTTGAGTAAAGGATAAACCAGCTCACTTGTTGGGATAAATAAATGACTTCTATCTTAATTAAGTGTATTCATGAGTTCTAAGGAGTTCTGAAATGCACCAAAGTATTGATTCTCTCTCCGTCTTTCTCTAAATTACACAGCCCCTTTGAAACACATTGAACAGCAATCAGATATAATTGCTATGCGGTCTTTGCAATCATCTCTGTTTTCATCTCAGGATATGTCTTAAAGACATTGTGTTTATATATCTAGCTCTCGCCTTTCCACCAATTCTAGCATGAGTGCACCTTATCACCTTTTAACATATCTGGATTGAGAATGAATATAAATGACTGCCGATCATACGTCTGAGGGGAGTATTTAATGTGTCCCTGGCACATCTCACAGTTGAGGGCATCTTAGACCCGGTGAAATAGTATATTATTATTTCAAGACAAACTAGCTAAAAAAAAAAAAAAGGCACAGATGAGATTTCAGTCTAGGCCATCTGGCTTGAGTGTTGGAATTTAAATCACTATGCTCAATTATCTGCGTGATTTCTTTATAGATCAGAATCACAGCAGGTTTATCAAATTAATCATGCAGTTATGACATCATTCCTTGAAGTTGATAAGGCCAGCACATTGTACAAACTGCACTTTAAAAAGAAATGCAATCCACCTCAAAACTTGTAGGAGGTTCAACAGAAAAGATTAAAGCACTGGTCTCCCAGGATTTTGTATTTACATCAATACTGTGACTCTAGAATGTGTGGCAGCATGCAGGTCTATTTTAATTATGTTTGATAACTTAGATGACATAATTTTGTTACAATGTTTATGAAACAATCTATATGTTGTGTGTGATTCCCTTGCCTGTTTGAATAATCTGCCACTGTTTGCACAGATCTTCTCCTATCCTTATCAGTTTCTCAGTCACTACTGAAATACACTTTACAAACTTTTCATCCACCAATTTCCATTCAGATGGCCACAACCCCAGCTGGGCCAACCTGAAGTTTAGCAGCCAGGAGCTTCTCAAGGGTCTTCTGTGTGGGTGCAGGATTCCAAGCACTTAGGTCATCCTTAGTTGCTATTCCCCGGCCTTCAACAAGGAGCTGCATTGGAAGTGAAGCAGCAAGGACACAGACACCCATATGGGATATAGGATCACAGGCAGTGACATTGCGTGCTATGCCACAACACCGGCCCAGTTCTGGCAGTCCTGAAGTGGCCTTGTGGTGATGAACACTGGATGAGTTAATGCATGGTACTAGGTACCAGCAAGCATTAAGACAAGCTGTCAGTGGCTGGCATTGTGGTACAACATGATAAGCTACTGTCTGTAGTACCAGAATCCCCATAACGAGAATTGGTTGGACTCCTGGATGCTCCGCTTTGCTTCATCTCCCTGCCGATGTGTCTGGGAAACCACTGGAAGATGGTCCAAGTGGTTGGGCCTCTGTACTCGTGTAGGAGACAAAGTGGGAGTTCTAAGCTTCTGGTTTTATTTTGTTATCATTTGGGAAATGATCCAGCAGAGGCAAGATCCTTCTCTATCTGCCTCTTAAACTCTGCCTTTTAAATAAGTGAATAAATAAATATTTTTAAATTAGCCATCATTCTTATCTCCATCATTATTTTTAGTAACACCACTCTCAAAGCATTCGATGTCTTCGCATTTTGTTACCTGGAAATTTGTACGTTCTTTCCAAAGGTAAAACATATACAAGCTTTTCCTCACTCTGTGCTGTTAATTTGGCATCAGGAATGTGCCGTTTAATTAGTGTTGTTATATTTTCTGGGTCACACATTTCATTCAGATGCAAACTGGCATATAAAAAGAGCAAATTAAAATTATATTTTATTCAAAACTATTATATAAAAACAATCTCGTAAGTAATATTATATATTTAAAGGTTAGTTAATATTTGCAATAAAACATATGTGTAATTTATTAGAGAAATCCTGATCCAAAAATACTAATATAGTACAATCAACTTATGCAATATGGAAGAGGAACTAGTGGTAAGGGATGTCCTGAATTGGAAGAATTAAATCAAGAACTGCTATTTAGGAAAAAAAAAAGATACTCATTTAAATGTTGGCTGGGGTGTGGTGGAGAGGAATGCACAATTTTGTCTCTACCTCCTAAAAAATTCAAGCTTGAATTGTTATTTCACAGTAATGTGCAAGTTCTGTGAAGCAACTGCAGCTTGAATATAGCAAAACAGAAATGGAGCTGATATAGTACAATCATCAAGAACACGACCTTACTGTGAATACGAACGCAGATGCCCAAACTCAAACTACTTAACGTCTCTCAGCACCTTTTCTCATCTGTGAGATGAGGTAACATCAGGCTCTCAAAAGATCACACACACACACACACACACACACACACACACACACACACAGGTTCAGGAGGTAGGCTTAGTCTGTCAGTGAAGAGGATACTAAAGATGCCTGTCTCCTCCACCAGAAAACCTGGGCCTCATCTTCAGGTGCAGCTGCTGACTCCCAAAGCCCGCACATGCAGAAGCTGAGAGGCAGGGACAAAGTTTCAAGGAACCAAGTTCCCATCACCCATGTAGCTCTAACATGGCTCTCTTCAAATGAACTTAGTCGTTGTGCAGACTGTGTTGACAATTAAAACCAGTACCACCTGCCCTCTGTGTGTTCAGCGTGTTCCTACATGTTTCCGATGTGAAGGGCTATACCTTAAATGGTAGCCAATGCCCCATTTCTTCTTTAGGAACAGAGAAGAACCCGCACATTTCAGCTTCCCGTTGGATATAAACACCTTCCTATCTATTCAGAAAGAACCAAGAGATAAAGCATGTTAGAGAATTATTCCTTCACCACTTGTAAAAGAATCCATTAATGAATACCGTATTTTAGGAGCGCAACACACTAAAACAGACACATTTTAATTCTGACCCTATGTAAGCTAATTTGGCTATCATCCAGGAATGACAATGATTCATTAAAGCTAGTTATTTCTCTGGCCTGTTTCAAGAAAAGTCACACATCTGAGAAAGAAGCCAACCAAGATTGACACTAAACACAGTATACCTATCCGAGCATGCTATAGGTTTTTTACAAATAGAAATCTGCTCCGCAATGGGTTCAGAATACTTTTCTGCGACCCAAGTACTCCCGGATGCAAACACACAATCCATAAAGCAAAGTTTCTCCTTTGCTGGTCCATGGATGTCACCTGTGGAACCCAGCTGGGGAGCTCACTCATTCCTGCTCCACGTGGTGAGGAACAGTCCTTTGTTGCTCACTAAGACACATGAAAGCAAACCAAAGTTACCAGCCAGGGTGTCAGCCTCATCCATGAACTGAGTACTGAAGACAATTACTTTGCCCGATTTTCTCTCTTTTAAGAGATCCCATACTCGGTGCCTCGAGAGAGGATCCAATCCAGCAGTGGGTTCATCTAGTAGCAAAATCTGGACAGCGAGTAAGCACGAAAAATAATTATTTCCTTTCAGGCAACATGTTGTTAAGTATTACTACATTTTAAAGGATTTGGGGCTAATATCATTGTACTCAATATTGCATTGTAAAACCTTTAATCATTTTCAAACTGGTGCAAGCTGATAAAATAACTTCATGGCCATAAATCTGATGTGACCGGTAATTCCACTTTGATTTACCTCGGGGTCTCCTAAAAGGGCAATCCCTAAGGTCAGCCTCCTTTTTTGTCCACCACTTAGAGTTCGAGCAAGGATGTCTTGAAGATTTTTCATATCCAAAACCCTCAAAACTCGCTGTACCTAACCCGAAACAAAAAGGAAAATTAGCTCCCAAATCCAAGATCTTTAATATTAAAAAATGACCATTTTTTTCCTGTTCTTAATAAAGGCCTTTTAGCCAAATTTTTAGAAAATTAATTGCATGGAAATAATACACTTTTCAGAATTTTCTAGGTAAACAATGTCATTGCCTATGTGAAATCTGGCATATTCGTATACCTCCTGCTCCACTTCACGGGGCACAATCCCTTTTATTTTAGCAAACAGCCAGAGGTTTTCCCTCAAGGTGAGGAAGTCAAATTGCACGTTGGATTGTGGACACATGCCGATGAACTTGAGAGCAGTTTCCACGCCGGTCATTTCTGATGGTGTGTGACCATAGACGGTGATGGAACCTATAAACAGAAGGCAGAAACTTACCATGAGGTCAATGTGTCATGTTTCCTTTAAAATGTTTGAAAACAGAAAATGATGTATTTCAGTTTCTAGATCTGCTTAAACATAGTTTACATACAAAGAATACAAAATCAACTGATTACAAATTTAATGCTCCCAAGAATGTTTGATCTAGTCATAATCCTTACTGGCAACCAAATAATCATAAGACTATTTAAGAAACATGTAAAAAGTAGCAATATTTTCTTAAGTATATACAATTCTATATATCTTATTAAAACCTTACATAAACTTAAATATTTCTCTTAAACACCCGAGTCAAGCAAGTAGTTAATAAAGCTAATAAAACCACACACTTAGTTGCTTTTCTCCCATTCTTGTTCAGGTAATATCATCCCACCTGAGGTTGGGAGTGACAGCCCACTGAGCGTGTGCATCAGGGTGGTTTTCCCAGCTCCGCTGTGGCCAAGGAGTGCGGTGATCTGGCCCTCATAGATGTCTAATACCAGACCTGGCACGACAAAACACCAATGTGTTCAGATCTCAGGTGTTAACTTCACAGTCTGTGAAAGTTTTATAATTTTTTGCAGCGTAAATATTCTGCTTAAATAAAATCAATCTTGAAATTGTTTTTAAGCTGTATCTCATTTGATAGATATTTTATAACTCAAGTGTCTCCGATGATGTTTAATTGTGAAATTAGTACTTTTTTTTATGAAAGCAACTTTATGATTAAAGAAGTTGCCCTTAATAAATATAGTTTTAGGAATTTTGCATATGTATTTAAAATAAGGAATTTTATGATGTCATCATGTATCTCCTAAATTCATAAATTTTAAGCGGCAACTTTTAAGAATTGTTGTGTAAGTTTTCATTTACTTGGAAACAGACCTTTATCTTCCAAGTCTTGACATTTGCCCCCGCCCTCTGCGCCAAGTCGGCACAACAGTGAGCCACAGTCATTGAAGCAAACAGCCATGTCAAGTACCTTTCAATGCCTCCACTTTTTCATGCTTTCCGGTATATTCTTTCTTAAGATTCTTAATTCTGAAAAGAAGAAGGAACTGTTTTGAGGGGACTGTGGAGTTGGACAGTGGGATGATAAACCAGGTCTTCGAGGCTGAGAGGCCACACGAGGATTCTTGCTTTTAGACAGGCACTGGCAGACGTATAGAGAGCATTTCATTCGCAGTGACACTCCGATTAGTGTGACCTGAACAGTTACAGGTTACGGTCCAGGGCGAAGGAGGGAGAGTAGCTAGTACATGAAAACATGCTGCCACAGGATTACGAAATAAGAGCAAATAACAGGAAAGCTGGAGATGAGGTCGATGGTTAGAAGGTACTAGGCTAGAGAAGAGAAGCCGTTCATCGTAATGCGATGGTTAGGGCTTTGGAGTCACATTGTTCTGGATGAAGTCCTGGAAATGCCACTTAGCAGCTCTCTTGTAAACACACGCGAACTTGCTGAATTCAGTTTGTCAGCAGTCAGATGTGATGACAGTAACCATTATGTAGAGTTCATTTGTAAAGTGTGTAGGATAATACTGTAGAACCCAAAACGCGTACTACAAGGTGGTAAGAACGTGGCACAAAGCAGCAGGGCACCAAACGTTGAGAAAGAGAAGCAAAGAGGAACCGGAAAGTAAACTCATAGTCTAACTGAATTTCTTAGACAAAAATTCAAAGAGGGTGGCCATCTGCCCCAGCACAGAGAAGGAGAAAAAAATAAGGATGAGGAGAAGAAGAATAGAAGGAGAAGGAGACTGCCTGCTTCTAGAAAGAATGAATCGTACTTTCCAATCCCGGGTCCTCTGGGTAGGCTCTATCTCCAGTCTCTACCCCAACCCCAGCACATTCTGTCTTCCCTAAAACAAGATCTTCTCTAGTTTGAACAAGTTGCTTTCTCTTCTTGGAATCCTAAATTCTAGAACCTAACACACAAACCTAACAGAACTCAGCCTGAGTGTTTAGGTAGCAGATTCAAGATCAGGCAGAATCTACTCCAGGGTTGACTTACCAGTGACTGTGAGTCCGTTTCACTTTAATCTGGAACAGAATGACCTAACGCTTCTAACTGTGTGCAGTGGTCTGTTGGATGTAGAGCAGGCCACAGCAGTAAAACAGTTACCATGTTGCACATAAAATTGTTTAGTCTGTCCTAACAGCCAGCTGTGTGGGACTAACTGTTTCAATGATTCCAACTGATTCTGCAGATAAGTTTTTGAAACCATAGGGTTAATTTTACTACTTAAAATTGACAAATCTTCAACACTTTCCTACTTGCTCACTTTGTCAGTAAAAATGCCTTTTTAACAGCACTCAGGGCTTCCTACATGGCTGCTGTGATCCAACTGTGGCCTGAGTGCTGGAAGGATATAAACCTTGGCATTCCCACTTGGAATGGTTCCACAGTTCTTGAGAACAGAGTAGTAACGTGTGATGATGACAAAATACCAGTCTCTGTCATCTTCTCGTGTTAATTTATGTCTCCTGTTAAAAAACCAAATGCTTAGAGATGACAAGATTCGTTAAAATAGACTGCTGGACGTGGTGAGCAGAAAGGTTTTATTGAGATTGACAACACCGAACCAGATGAATAAAGTTGAGGTTAAACATCTGGAGTCTCAGAGATTTGCAAGTCTCTGACAATCAAAACAAGAAACATTCAAAAAAAAAATGGATGCACATCATCTTGAAGAGAAGATGCACAGAGCACTTGCAGGAGCAAAAACAAAGAGCGCTACTATCCCAACTCTGATTATTTCCAACCCATCTCTCTGCCCTGTGAGTCTTTGCCCTTTTAAGCTTCACTTTTCTTTCTATCCTCATCTTACTAACCAGGAGAGAAAGCAGAGAAAGAGAGAGAAAGTGAACCACAGAGAAAAGAGAATGAAAATGTCAAGGGAGATGATGGCAGTCAAAGAGAGTAATAGAACAAAGGTAAGAAAAATTGGGAAGAAGATAAACAAGAGACAATCAGAGAAACAGAAATTTGAAGAGTATTATTTGATGGTTGTTGCCATATCTTAAGATATTAGTAGATGTGAAGTTGAGAGTGGGAGAAAAAATGTCTATTAAGAATACGTGTCCTCCTTCCAGCCAGAGCCACCATCTTCCAGTAATTTGCCACCATCACAAACACAAAGGGAAAGAAGAGAGGCACCTGTTACATGTTCTCCAGGACTTTTAGGAAATATGGAATTGTTCCTTTGGCCATATACTTGTGCATTTACAAGAAATGTGACATTGTGGATATCAAGGGAATGGGTACAGTTCAATAAGGAATGGCATGTTACCATGGCAAAACTGGAACAGTCTGCAATGTTACCCATCATGCTGTTGGCAATGTTGTAAACAAACAAGGGCAAGATTCCTGCCAAGAGAATAAATGTGCATATTGACTGTGTTGAGACAGAGTTGAAACAGCTGCCTGAAAGAAGTGAAACGAAATGATCAGGGAAAGAGGAAAGTCAGAGAAATAGTACCTGGATTCAGCTACAGCCCAGCCCATTCTACCCAGAGAAGCCCACTTTGTCAGAACCAACAAGGAAGAACCCGAGCTGTTGGAACCCATCCCATCCCCTGAGAATTTGTGGCATAATAAGTGAAAGAAAAATAAAAGACCAGAAAACAAATGGTGAAAGAATGAGGGCTGCCTTTCACATGTGCCCTTGGGTCTGTGTAGGTGGGTACAACGGGATAGAGGAAATATGTGTACACTTGTGTTTTGTCAGATTACTAGTCTCTGATTTGCTTTCTGTCTGAACCTCCATGTGATTTATTACCTGATAGCTTCTTTCCCATGGAATTCTGGAGGCACTGCTTCAAAGGAGTCATTACACGAGTGATAAGAATCTACCTCATTCTCCAGAACCACACGGTTAGGCCTTTGGTGTTGAAACCAACAAGAGGACTTCAGGAAAAACAAGGGAGATTGTTGATATCCATAGGTAGCTACATAAGCAGGAGACAATTAAATGTAAGTCATCACTTCAAGGATTTTAGTCACATTAAGATCAACAGAGTCTGTTTTATAAACTTGAACTCGCATTATCACTTCGTGGTATTACTGTTTAGACATGCTTTGGACATATACATAACAGTGAGGAAAAGAACTGAAAATACAACTGAAATGTTAGCATCTAAAATGAGAATCGCATAACATGGTTAATGAAATAAAAACCTGACCAAAGGCAAGTGTTAGGTTTTGTGGTAAAGTGACCACATTCCACATTGGGGTACCTGAGTTCCAGTCATTCTTTCAGCAAATATGAACCCTGATATGTAATAGAGGCTCAAAAACTTGAATCTCTTCCACCTGTGTGAGAAGGGTGGCTGAGACCTTGGCTTTGAGCCCAATTCAGCCCTGGTTTTGCAGGCATCTGAGGACTGAACCAGTATCTGAGGACTTTGTATTTCTGTATGTCGCCAAGACCCAAATGAATTAATTAATTTAAAATTCATGGAGTAAGATATTTCAGGAGTAATTTAAATCTAATGTTATGAAAAACATTACTTCAATACGACTATGTGTTTAAACGTGGCTTTTAGAATTTCTGGAAAAAGACATTGTGTTATTGTGTGATATGCCGAGAAAAAGGTGTTGGGTCATTGCATGGGCATATTTTATCAAGCCAATAAGCAAAGGATGATTCAATGCTATAAAGACTATCAAAGAATATGAAGGATCCCCTAAAGTTAGGTGTAAATTCTTAAGAATACAAGAAATAAGTAAATGTCTGCTAATTAAAGAGAAAGTGATGGGATCCCTGGTACAAACTCTCTCAGAAGTGTAGCTTTTGACAATCATTATTCTAATCAGAAATAGGAAAGTTAAGGGATAGAGAATTCCAACAACAGCAGAAGGATTTAGAGATGAATGAGTAAGGAAAATTTCACAACACAGCACGGATGACTAACCAAGCCTGTTTCTGCTTTTCCTCCTACTTTGAGTGTGAACTGCTAGTAAAACACGCACACAGAGTACACATGTGGACTATCCCATGATTCACTGTATAAAAATACTTCATATGATTTTTTCTGGTAAAATAATAGTGCAGTTATATCAATGCAAAGGCAGTAAAATAACTATTGAGCATTTCAAAGGAAACAAAACAACACAGGATTAAAAAAATGGTGCAGGTTTGAAAATTTATATGCCAATTTTGTGAGATTTTTGAATGGAACTAGGTAAAAACAAAGGTTTGTTTTTACTTTTGATTTACTTTTAAGTAAAAGAAAAAAATCCTAAAATACATGGTGAAAAGAGGAGGATATCATTAACAATGCATACTTGTGTAAACCAGAGCAGACGGAGAGGCATTTTCACTCTTATATTCCTTTACAAAAGATTATTTAGTTATTCGCTGAGAGAGAGAGAGAGACAGACACACACAGAGAGAGAGAGAGAGAGAGGAATTAATTGTCCACCTGCTAGCTTGCCCCTCAAATGGCTACAACAACCATGTCTAGATCAGGTTGAAGCCAGAAGCCAGAAGCCAGGACCTCCATCCACGTCTCCTACATGGGTGGAGGGGGCCCAAGGATCTGGACCATCTTTTACTGCTGTTCTAGGCATACTATCAGGAATGCTGGACCAGAGGCCGAGCAACCAGACCTCAAATCAGTATTTCAAAATGGAATAGTGACATCGCAAGCTGCATCTTAACCCCCTGCAACACAACACTGGCCCTTCTGTTTGTAATAACTTCTGATAATAATAGAACAAGACCAGTGGCCATGGAATAATAATTAGACTTCAGAAATAAGTCCAGTGCCCCTCAAAGAAGCTGGAGAACTTTTCATTCTAATTTGAAGTTGATAAAAAAAACTATGAGGATTTATGGGTAGTGAATATTATCACACGTTAGTCTGTGTAGCTTACGATACTCACATGATTTACTTTAATCTTTCAGTATGATAAATGTTATTGCTGGAATACATTTCACTAGATTTTAAATTATTAATTACATATATAATTGTTGCAGTTGGTTTTTGTTCATTTAGATTTTGCAACCTTATACAAACATCGGTTGCCTAAATATACATTTCCCTGTACCATTTTTTGTTGCTTCTGTCAGTCTAATTCTAGTCCCAAAAGAAGAAATAAATTTTTTCTTGTCGCTTTACTATGCTCTCTCCCCTCTTTGATTTTCTCATGGAGTAGTTCTCTTGTTTATTTCACTGGATTACATAAGATTCACATAAAAGTATGTTAGTAAATATCATATCAATACTAACAAACCTCAACATTCCTAGTGCTGCGAGATCTGAAAAAGCAGAGTGCCATTACTATATATCAGTTCCCTCAGAAGCCATCAGAAAGATGTCTTCCTTCTTTAAGTCATAGGTAAAAATGTGTTTCATAGAAAAAATGTTGGATACAATATATAATTACAACCTTGTAGCTGCATTGCAATGGTACTGCTATTTGTTGAGTGAAATGGGAAGCATTCAAAGATGCTGAACATCAAGTATCAAGTACTAGGACTCCTATCACTCTGACATAGCATTAAAAGTATAATTATTCACAATCTTTTATGAATCCTTTACAAATGCTCAATAGGCCACAAGCTCCAGGATCCATATGGGCACCTGATCAGATCCCAGATGCTCTGCTTCCCATCCAACACACTGCTTATGGCCTGGGAAGGCAGTGGAGGACGGCCCAAAGCCTTGGGTTCCTGCACTCATGTGGGAGACCCTGAAGAAGATCCTGGCTCCTGGTCTTGGATAAGCTCATCTCAGCACATTGTAGCCATTTGGTGGATGGAGATCTTTCTTTCATAATGTAAATTTAATTATGTAAATCAAGTTTACATAAATTTACTCCTTTATGTAAATCTGCCTTTCAAATAAAAATAAATCTTTACAGAAAGGATGTCCTGAACTTTTGTAGTACATCAAAGTCTCACAAAGTGATTCTACAAACAAAATGCAGAGTATCATCAGTTTAGCTTAGAAATTTTGAATGAAATACTAGATAATTTACATTCAATACATTAGTTCAGCTATTTAATGATCATGGAACTACTGAGATTGTTTTGAATGACAATCATGTTACTACTTACTTGGCAAAATTTTGTCAAAATACAATGTCAATGCCAAATAGAGAAGAGTATCAAAAATCAACATGACAAGATTGGCTGCTATTAGATTTGGGTGGTTTGAAGACTTCAAACTGATCTCAGAATCCACATCAAAGTCCAAATGTATAAGCTGGAAAAAAAAGACATTAAACTTTGAAAGGATTAATACACCAGGGAAGGGTGAAAAGTACTTCAGCTGTTGGAAAGAAGACAGAACAATGATTTGGTACTGAATAACACTAAGATGCAATGAGTTTATATGTAAGAATTCTCCATCATTTGACAGCTATGATGCCATAACTAAAACTAAGTTTGTTTTGAGAAGTTAAGTTTCAGATAAATATAGTCAATTGAAAAAATAAAAATGAATTCCAAATTCCTGACTTTCAAAAGCCTTTGATAATATTAAGGCTCATATTTCTTGATCACAAAATCCATTTATGTTCATTGTGACAAAAATATTGGAAGTAGAAGTTGAACTGCACAAATAGCAAAATGCCTTAAAGAACAACTAATCAAAAAAAATTTTAATTGGCCTATGTCTTAAATGTTTATATTTGCAAAAGGGGGTGGAATTCATGCACCAAGTACTAAGCATTGAAATTTTACCCCACTTTCAAAGCTTTTGTCCAGAGTGAGCAGATTAGCTTAGTGCTTACCTGAGCCATTCCAGCAGTGAAGGCAAAAGGGCTCACGAGACAGAAGGACCATTCCAGAAATGCAGGAAGATGTCTGTAGAGTGCTGTGAATCCCAGACTCCCCCAAAAGACAATAAGGAGAAAGATGACCAGGCCAGCAAGGAAAGGTTTCTTTATCAGCACACTCATCAGGAAAGCTAATGTTATCTGAAAAGAAAGCAAAAAATTTCAGCTGGTGTATAAACCTCCAAAAACCATAGCAAGCACATTAAAAGGAATTTCACGTTGCAAAGATCTATTTCATTGGTTTTCTATCTCTAAATGCCATCTCATACAAATACAGAAGGTAAAATTGGGTTGGGTGCCACATGGTTGACAACATACGGGTTTTAAATGGACCAACTCACCAAAGACAGGCCGTAGAGGAGAAAGAGGGCAAACACTACCATGGAGCCAGTCAGAACGACAACTTGTGCAGATTTTATGATGAGAGTCATCACAATGGCTGTGATACTGATGAACCCAGTGTACATCAAACCCCAGGAGAGCCTAGCACACAACAAGACATTGCGTTCAGCATACTGTCTACACTCATTTATTCAGCAAATGATTTGTGAAGTCCACTGTTTACCAACAATTAAGAAAATGCAACAGATAAGGTGGAATACTTTGCTGTCCCAAAGCTCATGTTCATTAGGGCAAAGTAAGCAATGAACAAGTAAACACATACAATAGATTGCTCATTGCAAATTAAGAAAGGAGTAAGCTGGGTGACATCCTGGGAGTTACCGGGAGGGTTTCCAGAAGGAGTTCTTCATGGAAGACCTCTAGGACAGTCTGTCAATTCAAAGACAACTCCCTTCAGTGAAGTAATTGCACAAACAACATGTCCAAAAGTTAGGTATTTCTTTCATCTAAACAGGCAAATTTTAAATATTTTAGGCTTTTTAGGTCATATGGTCTCTGTTGCAAGTATTCAGTGTAACTTAAAAATAGTCACAGATAGTAGGTAAATGATGTGGTGTTGGTTCTAATAAAAAATACTTATAGGTAATAAAATCAGAAATGTTTGTAAATATTAATGTGCCACAAATGTCAGTGTTCTCTTGAATTTTGCCACACAGTTAAAAATCTAAAAACCATTTCTAATTTTCAGATTGTACAAAACCAGGTCATTAAATCAAACGATGAAACAGAAGCATAGATTGAAATACAGACATAAAACATATATACAGAGGTACAGATGGTTATAAGCATAGAGTTTTCCTTGTGACCAGCGTCAAATACATGAGAAGCAACGTCTTTAAAAGGAAATAGAATAAACTTCTAATCACACAGTCCTAGGTTCAAGTTTTCTGTGCTGTGTTATATATATGTACATACTCCTAACCTGTAGGTCTCAAATCTCTTTTAATTTCAGTTTCCCCTACTGGAAAATAGTAAAAAAAAGAACTAAATAAATTATGTAGCTTGTGTATTTAATGTGTCAACTGGTTTAGAATGGGTCCAAAATCAAAAGTTAATTTCCTCATATTGAAAATAGAAATGCTACCAGGTTTTGGGATTCTTGTTTTTAATGTCTAATTGTAATGATTCAAATTCACAACACATTTGGTCATCTGAATTTCTCTGTGCCCTTTAACCCTTTTCTTAATCTCATCTTCTCTAATTCTGCACTTAGTATGTTGAATGCTTTTGTAGAAAAGTAAACTTGATATCTATCAACATTAAAATATGAAGTCTTCATATTAAACACTATTCTTTAAAGAATATGCAGCTTGTGCCTAGAACCACCCTAAAAATACTACTTATCTTTTTAACATTGTGTTAAATAATGTGCCAGAGGCAAATTCAAGGTTGAAACCATTGTTTCTGATTCTAGAACTTGAGCTCTTACCACTACCTGTCTTAGATGTATCACTTCATGAAACTCACTAAACCTTTGCTCATTATAAACTAGTTGCTTTGTTTCCTGACTTGTATCTATTCATCTTTTCCAGGCAATAATATAGCTCAAAATTTTACCAAGTGTAACCTAATACAGAATGTCTCATTCTTCTTACGCACCATGTAAAGTACACTTAAATGTGTTTCTTTCTTTAGTCCTCATGATTAATGAAAAGTAGATGTTAGCAACGTATTGTAGAAAACAGAGACATTAAAATTTTAAGTAACTTAGGTGGTGCTTAATCAAAGTTGAAAAAGGAGGCAACTATGGCCTACTGAACTAAAAGTTCTATGTTCCTATTACTCTTACACCGTTGCATCCAAGGAAAGCTTATTGCTTAAAGAATGCTATAGGTTAATCTTTCTTCAGTCTCATAAAAATGATGGCTCACTCAATGTGAGGGCAACATCAACTACTACTTTTACAAAAGTGTCTGAAACATCATTTCCTCGAATCAGAAACAGCCATTTTCTTGGAAGTCTAGATTCTGAGAGTCATCTGTTTTATCCGAGCCATGCTTGTTGGTATATATCTATCGGATCAGGTGTTCCTTAAGGTCAGTAATAATAATATAACAAAACATTTAAGTATCAAGCGTATAAATCCTCTCTAACTTTTCATTCACAATGCACTACTTGATGAAAGCATTAGGTGGGAATACGGTACTTGAGCACCCTAAGAGTCCACCTTGTGGAGCCGTCCTGTTTATGCTATGTGACGGATAATGACTACGTGATTTACCAGAATGCTGACTCTTGAAGTCCCATCATTTTCATTAATGGTTTCATACTTTGCCTTTCTTGCGTAACACTGACTGTTATATAATAGATGAATGCAGAAAAAGAAATAATGCACACAAAAATAAAAAAGTCAGTTGCAACTCCTCCTTGAGCAACAAAAGGCAGTATCTTCATATTCACTCCAGTAACAGACATCAACTTGTCCATCACTGAATGATTTGTTGTGATCTAAAGGAAGACATAATGAACAGTGATCAGTATTCTGACTAACACTTCACACCTTTTCTCTGAATTACAAGAAATCATATATATTTCATAAGTGCAACCTTCACGTTCTGGCCCCTGGACATTTCTGTAAAGCTTCAAGTTCTGTGCCGACTCCATGATTCCTACTTGTCACATTCATTGCATTAAATCCTATTCATGCTTTAAAAACAAATTGTGATGTCATCTACAGTTAGTGGATTCTCCCTTATATTTCTCATTTGGGTATCTCTTGCGTTATTGCTTGCTTCACATGCATTTAAAATTCTGTAACCGGCATGCAGACCATTTGGTGCAAGAGTTAAGATGCCAGTTGATGTGCTGCCATTCTATAATCAGAGCGCCTGTGTCATAATCCCCTCTCTGCCTTTAATTTTAGCTCCCTGCCCATGTGCATCATGGGAGGCAGTAGTTGATTCCTTGTCACTCACACGGGTCAATGGAATTCGGAGTTCCTGACTTTGGCACGACACAGCCATGCCTGTTGGGGGCATTTGGGAAATGAAACAGCAGATAGAAGATTTCTCTGTGTGCTTGAATCTCTTTCTAACTTTCAAATAAATGAAATGGATTTCAAATGGAAATCCATCACAGAATAGAAACTATTATTATAATGGTATATCTGTATTTTTTACCCATTTTACAGTGTATATAAAAAGGTTTCTATAGCCTACTTTTTTTTTTTTAGGTTCTTAGTAACCTTGCTTGAACCTAGAAGCATTTCGGTATAATATGTGTAATCAGTTAAAGAAATAAATAATATAACAAGGCAACTCATTATGTAACCATCCATCAAAATTTGATTTATAACACAGTTAGATTCATTTAACTTAATACTCACTTCTATGATAGCAGCATTAATGGCAGCCTGAAAGGCCACAAAGCCTTTCTCCCAGAAAATTGAACTTTCACACATTACTTTTTCATCCATTACTTGACAATGAGCTTTAGGGGAAAAAAAGAATATATCCACTATTATGTGATGGGAAAAGCTTGGTTATAGGAAAAATGAAAAGGCAAAATACTTCAAAATCCATAATACAGTCAAATAGGATTATAGAAAAGAAGCTAGACTTGCTGGTATATTTAAGAATAATTCACCATGATCTTTCCATTCAAAATATAATTCTCTGAATTAGTCAAGAATATTTTTGCCAGGACCTGTGTTGTGGAGCAGTGGTGTAAGCTATTGCCTATGACAACAGCATCTCATATGAACACTGATTCAAGTCCATGCTGCTCCATTTACGATCCAACTTCCGGCTAATATTCCCAGGAAAGCAGCAATAGAAGGTCCAAGTATTAGGCTCCTGCTAGTCATGTGGGAGACCCAGGTAGGATTCCAGGCCCCTGGGTCCCAGCCTCTTCCAGGCACAGCTCATCATTATGGCCATTCAGCAAATGAATCATTAGACGGATTCTCCCTGTCTCCCTCTCTCTGCTTCTCTTTCAAATTTATAAAAACAAAATATTTCAAAAATAATGTCTGTTGAACTTTTCTATTATTGGTGACAAGAAGACACTTTAAAATTACTAAGCAAGGGTCCATCCTAAAAACTTACTGAGGAATGACATAAGATAATGATACTAATTACAGTTTTAACAAAACAGGCCACTTCAGAATTTAGGTTTTGCCAAGATGTCACGGCATAGCAGGTTAAGCATCAATTGGAATGCTGACTCTCATTTTGGAGTTCTTAGGAAGGAGTCCCACCCCTGCTTCTGATCTAACTTCCTGCTAATGCCCACCCCGGGAGGCAGCAGAATACGACTCATGGACCTGGATTTCCTGCTGACCACTGGGACACTCAGATGGCCTCTGATTTCACCCAGCTGCGGTGGGCATTTGCTGAGTGAACCAGTCTGAGGTGTTTTTGTCTCCCTCTCACTTCCGTCACTCTGCATTCAATTAAATCAATAAAACTGAAAGGGGTAAGCCCTGGTTAAAAAAAATTATTATTCAATAAAAATGAATCTTTTGTGATCAGAAATTAAATGCGTTTGCCACGTACTTGTGTGGCTTATTTCACTCCTTCTGTAACATTGTCTCCTTGTGGGTAAAAACAGCTGATAAATGATGCGTCCATGTTGGTGTGTGTGTGTGTGTGTGTGTGTGTGTGTGTGTGTGTGTGTGTGCATCTACATTGTGGGTTTACTTTATTGGCAATGTTACCTGCATGGTCTCTGTGTTCTTTCATCTTGGGGATTCGATGTCCCCAGGAAAACTTCAAATGATATGAGAAGGTATCATTGAAGATGACTCTCACTGCATCTATTGAGTCATTTAAGTCCAATTCATTCATGCTTTTATCATCAGGCCATCCCATGACTGTTCTTCCTGTGGCATGGAAAGAGGAAATGAGATTTCTAGATAGCAAGATAGCATGCCATATTATATTATTATTTTATGCTAACTTGGTTTCTTTCCTCATGGCAATGCTGAGCTAAACCAGAGTTTTGCATTTAAAAGTGGCAAGGTGGAATTATAATATCCTAGACAAAATCAGAAGTGAAATATTAGCAAATAATTTTATTGCAAATATATTATGCCTTTCCTAATAAACTGTTTAACCAATGATTTAAAGAACGATGCATTTGAAATAACAGTAACAGCAGGGCATCCATTAATTTTACTTATGCATATACCTAGCTAAAGTTGAATTATGAACTGTAGTTTGATATATATTACAAGAGTGATTTATATATCATAAAGTAGGTATAAAGTAGATATCTGTTATAAAGAGTGGTTTGCTCTGTAAGTCTCCTATCCAAGACTTTGCCACCTGCTTTCTTACATGGTGAAACTGCTGGGTTTCAGGAACACAGGTTGGGAGAGAGGACTACATAATTTTCTCTTTGGTCTGTTCTAGAACAGCATTCTACTACTACACAACAACAACATAATTACCGAGAATAGTTTCAATTGCTATATTCACTCTGCTTGCCTTTTCTTTCTGGTGAATATTTGTCAGCTCTTAAGGGGATCTTCTTAGACCCATTAACTATCCCCTTTTTTGCTTTTTTCTCTTGTCACTTCTAAAGATATTGCTTATATTTGGGAGTGCAAGGTAACACCTTGTTACCTACTTTTTTCTTAAATATTCCCTATGCATTTTGATACTTTGCTGTCCAGTTTGTCTTTCACTTCTCACATATTTGCAGAGATTAAAAACTGTGCTGTTACACCATTCAATCCTCACAAATATTCATTTAAATACCCATTGATATAACAGGGGCATCTATTATATAGCAACTGATTTCCTAAATAGGACACTAATACAGAAAATAAGAAAAATTCCTTAATATTGGAAAGGAATATATATTAATATTGTTAATTAACTCTAGGTACTTGAAGTTTCAACACAGTTTATCAAGGTAGTATTAAAATATATATTTTGCATATAAGGAAATCACCATAAACTGACAGAGAACATACCTTTCATAAATGGGGCAGAAGCAACTTTTTTCATTATTTCTTGTGTAGTTTTGGATTCAGGTGCAAACGAAATCACATAATTAGACTCATTAAAAGTATCTACACATCCTAGATCCACTGCCGGCATTTGCGAAGAGTCATGAACTTGATGTAAATTTAAAGAAAATAGGTATGCAAATAGGACCAGAAGAAATGAGAAAAACCACTCCTAAATAACAATGAGAGAAAAATGAAGGCATTTTTAATAAGCGAAAGTTCAAACTGTCATTTTCTTTTCCCCTTTGCTTACATTTCTTCCCACTGACATTGTCTGTATCCGTAGTGTAATTATGTAGAAGTATTACAATTTACACTTTATCTTTCACATTTCTGCTTCATTGCAAACTAATTCTTGATTAAACCCTTCGAATTTCCGTATGTATTTTTATGAGATTCAAATGAGTATATATATAGGAGTTGTATTCTCTGAAGCATATACATGTAGCTACTTATGAAGTATTTTCTGAATGTAGATACTTTTAAGAAACAGGAATAGAATAATAAGATATTTTAATGCTTTTTTAAAAATAAGTTTTCATGTTCAGAGCTCATGCCTATACTTCTGAGCAACAGTAGGTTTTCCCTAACTGGTTGGATTCTTTATTTTGCAGAGGGTTAATCTTGTGACTATAAAGTAAATTTAAAGTATGCCATTGCAAAAATTGAAACAAAAGTAAGAAAGGAAGGTGGGGGAGGGTGGGAGTGAGGGAGTATTTCATATGAAACACATGAAATTTGTTCTCTACATAAGAAACTAAAATCATGAATAAAATAGCAAAGCCTCAAATTGGAAAAAATTGTCTTGTTAAATAGCATTAGAATACATATGCACCATTAAATAATGAAGCTATAGTGTTTTGTATTACTTGAAAAAAAATTTTTTCTTCTAAATCTGAGATCATACATGCAGACTGTGAGCCATACCAACAAGGTGTCTCTTTTTCTTCTCCACTTTTTAAGACAGTTCTTGCCAAGAAGAGCCCATGTCTGCTGACCCACACTTATGTGCCTCTTGCTCATTTTGATCTGTTTGTTTTAAAAAGGAAAAGGACATGAATGTCTGAAAGGTCTGAAATAGAAAACATTGTGCAATCACACCAAAAATTCAAAATTATTACAGCTGCTTCCAATTGCATGCATAAAAAAGAAGGCATACGGGTGAAAGAAAAAAGAAAGGAAAAAACAAAGAAAGGAAGAAAAAGATAAACAGACATTCAAATTTTTGTTATTTGAGAGTACTGAAAACTCACAAAATATGATCAATCATGTAGTTCTCACTGAAGTACTAAAAATTAGAAAGTTGTAAGGTGTCACATTTTGTTAACCCTGTAATGCTGGCCATTATTAAATTGCCTAATGGGCATAAAGAAATAATATATTGCTAGTGGAGTACAGACTTTCATATCATTTCATGCTTCATTCCTTCTTAGCAATATGCTATCATCAATCAGTTCTTTTCTTGGATATGTTGGAAGGAAATTTGCACTCGAGTTTATAAGAGAGGTCTGAATGAAGCAATGTGTACAAGCATGCTCTGCACAGTGTAAGTTAGGAGGTTAGGGGAACAAAATGTGACGGGTGTAGCCCCAAGAGTACTCCAGAAAAGTCAGGAGCAATGGACTGGTGACTACCTCATCAACATACACAGACATAAAATCATAATATCAACTCAAAAGAGAAAAGATGAAGAATTATGTCCTTATTTACATTAATTTGCCGAAATAGAAACTGCATTTTTTAAAATATGCAGAAACTAACAGATCACCAGAAAATTCAATAAAGAGGTTACTTTTGGCAGTGGGAAGTAGGAAAGAAAGTTCAGTGTGAAATGTGAATTGAAAATTCAAGGAAGCAACCCAAACAAAGTGGGGCCATTTTAAACCACTTGTGTTGTGTTTCATGAATTCAAGAACACAATGAACTCAGTCCTTTGCTGACTTTCCAACACTGAAGCTCAGAAAGAGCCCCAAGACCATCATGAAATGGAAACACACACACACACCACACACACACACGCAATAGAAACACACACCACACACACACAGACACCACACACACCACACACAAACACCATGCACACACACACCACACACACACACAATAGAAACACACACACACCACACACACACAATAGAAACACATACCACACACACACACCACACCACACACACACACATACAGACACCACACACACACAGATACCACACACACCACACACAAACACCATGCACACACACACCACACCACACACATACACACACCACACCACACACACACCCCACACACACACACACGCACCACACACACACACACCACACACACACACACACCACACACACACACCCCCCACACACACTGTAGTTCTGAAAGCAAAACAAAATCATGAATAAAAACCCAAAGGCAAACAGACAGAAAAATGTCACAGAAATTTCTAAGAAGTTCATACCATCCATGAAGTCTGCATATATTTCCCATGTAGATGATCTAGTGACAGTGCCACACTGTGACGGCCTCAAATCTTGATTACAGACAAAATAAACTACAATATTCTCTATTAAGAAATCAATGCTATGGTAAGCCTCCCTAGCTAAAAGGGTAAACTATACTGCTTTAGTGACTTTCTTTGAATTAATATATGCGTGAGGTAATATTTACAGAAAAGAACCATTATATATGTTATTTTCATGAATGTACTTATTTGTTTCTGAGTGTTTGGATTTTTTTGGTACTACACATCTTAATGTAAATATCAGGGAAATGTTTTTAATGGTAGCAGCACAGAACATCTCTGTAGTTATATTGCTCTGAACAGAAAATTAGTTATAGATAATAATAAGATTAGCAGAAGACAGTCATTATTTATTCAGCTAGAATTCTCATTATTCACTGATTTATAAAGGCATACTATAACCAAATCCATCCAAAATTCTTCTGGTCTAGTATCGTAAACACGATCAATAAAAACAGTTTGCTAAGTTTCTGAGATGTAAATATTCTCAAGCCAGTTAAAAAGAATCCCAAACTCAGTAAATCATACCTTCCAATGCTTCAAATTCCTCTGGCAGTAAAACTAAAAACAAACAGAAAAGAATAAGTATAAAAACAACTTTACAAATAGCTCATACATACATTCCTTTCACTTTATCCAAAATCTTGTTAGATAACATGCTATTTGTCTCAGTATGCTTTAGTCATGAGCAAAATAGAAAAAGCTTTTCTCCAACTGGCTGTGTTGCTACACATTATAAATTACTCAGATGATTTGAAGAAAATCAAAATAACCCACTAACAACTTAAGGGGTTCCACCCAAATTTTGGCATAACTACTTCTATTCCTATTTTGAAACATTCAAAATAACCACGATTTTAAAGGTTGACTTACTCTCAGGAAAGCGGAAGCAGAAGCCTAAAAAACACAGTTCATCCCTGGGTCTTTGTCCTGGAGAGGAATTTGCCTTTCTTTCGGGTCATCACTACATCATGCTTTTAATTCCGTGCTTATTGTGAATGGTTATCTTCCAGAGTGATTTCCGAAGGGGATTATGGTCTCAATGCAGACAGGCTGCCAAAAACTCCTTGCTCACATGGTGATTCCTGTTCTGTTTTCTATTTCTTTGTCTCCTGCCAGCTCCTTAGCAGGGAGTTCACAGTTGCAGACGGTTGGCTGGACATATCCCAACATCAGGAACTAGCACTTTCCAAATATTAAGAATTATAAAGCCAAGGAGAATGCAGTCTATCTCATTGGATTTTCTAATTATTATTAATTACGTTGCATTATGTGACACAGTTTCATAGGCTCTCCCCAACCCCTCCCCGAACCCTTCCCCCAGGTGGATTCCTCCACCTTGTTACAGTATTGCAGTTCAAAGTCATTGGATTTTTCATATGAGGCCTTGATGGGACAGTCGGCCCTCAACACAATCTTTTAAACAAAGATAGAAACCCCATTCAGAGAAGACCGGAGCAACATGAAAAAGAATAATTTTTAAATGACAAATACAGGTATACAAGCTGGGAAACAGAGTACCTCAGAACCTTCCATGGGTTCCTAAAAGCTGGAACTAGAAATATGACAATGTGGTAAGGTCATTTTTTTCAGGATAATCAACTTTGAATTGTCACTTACACGCAAGTTGCATGGCATGCATGATAACTGTAGCACCTCTCTTGGAGCAGAAAATAGAATCTTTGAAGCAATGCATGAATAAGTATCTACTCTTCCAAAGTACAGCTTTGTTATTTCTGCACAGACCCCCCCAGGTAACAAACTACTTACTCTATAATTCACCATTAATTTTCAGTATGTCCTGCTTATCAATATTGTCAGGAGAAACAAATTTACACTCAAAAGCTGCTTATCCTTGTTTTCTTTAGGGAGTCTCTTGTGTAAATAGACAATGTGGCTGTTCCAAAACTTCTTGTAACAGATGAGGATTATTTTTGGCTAAAGAAGGATGGTGAGAAAAGTCAACTATCTTTCTTCTGTCATCGGTGAGTGTGTTCGAGTCTTCTGCACAGTGATTGCTTCCTGAACACACTGAGGGTTTGACGAATGAGTGTGTGCGTCTGAGCCCCCTAAGCTCGATAGCCACATGTAGCTTCCTTCCCATGTCCCATTTACCCAGTGTTCATTAAGCATATGTATGATTTTGTTAATTACTTATGTGAAATCGAAAAATTCCACAGCAAGCAAAATCTGTGGAAACAGACTGAATTCATCATTCACAATACCGTGAAGCCAAAAAAAGTTTTTGATTCTTTTTGTATGGTTTCCATCTTTTGTAGAATATAAAAAAATGATCACATTTAATACTATTGCCAACACTTTGTGCACAGAAAATATTTTTTGAGAAAACATCATTTCCAAAGAGAAATTTATACCTAAATTAGACCTTAAAAGTTACAGCTGTGGTCAACGTTCAGTCCATTTTTGTCGTTTATTTGGCCTCTTCACTTATAAACTTTTGTCATCCCCATAGCAGGAAAAAAAGTCATCTTCTGGTCTTCCTTTTAAACATTTTATTTGTTTATTTGAAAGAGGGACACACACACACACACACACACAAATACAAACAGAGAGAGAGAGAGAGAGAGAGAGAGAGAGAGAGAGAGAGAGAGATATCAATTTCCCATCCATGATTCCCTTTTGAAGTGATCACAAAGGTCAAGGCTGAACCAGGATGAAGCCAAGAGCCAGAAACTCGTGCAGGGTCTCCCATGTCGACGACAGAGCTTTGAGCACCTGGGCCATTTTCTGCTGCTTTTCTCAGGTCATTAGCAGAGACTCAGTTTGGAAGTAGAGCATGCGGGACGTAAATGGTGCCCATGACGGCGCGTGCTGGCATCACAGGTGTGGGCTTACCCAATACATGACAATGCCAGACCTGATGAATCTTCTCAACATGTTTTTATTTCTTTAAGTGCATTTACTGCTCCAAACAATTTTCAGAATCATTTTGTCAAGTTTTAAAAAGTCCTATGGGCTTTCAAAATTGAGATGACATTGATCTTATAACATAACCCACCTATTCACGTGGACAAGGCATACTTAAACATCAATATATGTATGTAGGCACTGTTATAATCACCTCCATTTTATAAACGGAAACCCAGAGTTCAGAAATTATTTGTACCCACTCATAGAATTGGTGAGGAGCAGAACTTCAATTAAAATCCAGGTCTGGGTACAGCGTGGTAGCCTTGCTGCTAAAGTCCTTACCTGAAAGCACCAGGATCCCATATGGGCCATAGTTCTAATCCCGGCAGCTCTGTTTCCCATCCAGCTCCCTGCTTGTGGCCTGGGAAAGCAGTCGAGGATGGCTCAAAACTCTGGGACCCTGTACCTGTTTGGGAGCCCCAGAAGGGCTCCTGGCTCCTGGCTTCAGATTGGCGCAGCTCTGGCCATTGTGGTCACTTAGGGAGTGAATCATCATTCGGAAGATCTTCTTCTCTGTTTCTCATCCTCTTTGTATATCCAATGAAAGAACCTCAACTGAATTTGAACTGTAGTAATGCAACAAGGTGGAGAAATGCACCATGGGGAGAGGGTTCGGGGAGGGGTGGGGGGAATCCCAGTGCCTATAACACTGTGTCACATAATGCAATGCAATTCATAAAAATAAAAAAATAAATAAATCTTAAACAAAACAACAGGATTTCTCCAAAGTGAGTTGAAATTACAACTGCTACGTTGCCTAGCTTATGCGTTGTTAATTTAATCATTCTACCCTCACTTCAGTTAGATCTACAGCTGCCCCTGCTTTTCACTTCATTTATCTGCAGCAGCGTTGCCAGCAATCTATGTGCGTAATATCAGTCTCAAACATTTTTCCAGATACCCTTGCCGGTTGCTGTAGTGTGCTTGTCCTCCTGGGACCTGTGTAACTCTTCTCATTGCTGTGTGCAAAAGCAAAAAGATCCTTTTTGCAAAGTGGGAGAATGAAACATTCCAGCTGCCTGACAAGGAAAAACGCCTGCTCGCTTCCCAGGGCCTTTCCCGTCCGTTTCACCCTTCCTCGGGTCCAGCTTCACGACACCAATGCACCCACATGGGTTTTGCCATACACCCTGTAAAAGTTACTCTTTTTTCCCTTGATAATGCAACATGCAAGTTCTTACGTGGTACTGTTTTATACATTTTGTCTTGTAACATTCTTTGTCTGATTCATTCCTATTTGCATTTGCATGTCTCCAGTATAATTGAACAGGACTCTGCAATCTGTCCAGGATGCCTCCTAAAACATTGCAGTTGCATTTGTCTTTTTACCTATTTTGCACATTTTTTACTTCCTTAGCAGCCTCCAGGATGACGAGTCACTTCCTCCAGGCATCTCCCAGGCTGTTTAAATTAAACTTCCCTGTGGCTTCCTATTTCTTGTTTTCTCCGTAGCTCACGCTTTCTCTGTTCCTTTTTTAGGTTCCCTTTTTTTACCTACCTCTTATGCAGCCAGTTCTAGATTTGCATTTTGTGGTACTAGTGAGTCCCTCTAAGCGTTGTTATATTTGAACCTGTATTACTGTGACAATGTGAAATAACAGCCTGCATCTTTAGCCTCTTCCTACCCATTCCTGTATAAATTTATTTAGCATACCTCATCTAGAAACCTTAGCTCTAAATTGCCATGCGTATGACTTATCCTGAGTCTTAATGTTTACCCAAGTTTCATTTTCTCATCTGTTTGAAACAGCTGGTATGATCATTTTAGTATTTGATCACTTTAGTGTTTGAAATGTAAAGATTTTATCAGCATGACTGACAAAAAATACCATCAGGAAAATTAAACATTCATTGCATACATCATTTATAATATTAAATTGACTTTAATGTGCTCTTTGGACATTTGTAAATTTTTTTTTGTAATGTAACAAATCTGTTCAATTTTCACTTCCTTAGCAGAGTTAGTATATTTTTTGTTGTTTTGTCATTCTTCTTTTTTTCTGGTTTTGTTTTTAATTCTGTCCAGAAATTTCTGACATTACTCACTAAACATAGTTTACAACTAGTTTTTACTAATAAAAATGCTTACATAACTTTGGTACTCATGAATTTGAAGTGTTTTGCTGAGTTCAGTAGGATATTTTAGGATTGTCTCCTCAACCACAAGTGTATGAAGTTTCACAGCAATGTGTTTAGCTGTAGTGTTAGTTTTTATTTTCATTCTGCATGACACTTTGTATTCACTTGAAATCCAGTAGCACGTGTCTTTGTTTAAGTGCTGGACAATTTTCATTTAAAATCTTTGGTAAGTATTGCTTTTCTTCCCGTCCTTTTCTTCTTGCCTGGAAGTTTATCAGATATGTGAAATAATATGCTGCTTATCTGTTTTGTGTCCACCTTGAAGTGGGAAAGCAGTTCATTTCCAGACTCCATGGGAATATCTTTTCCCACATAGAACTTTTATTAAGTCACTTTAGTGTCTGCCTTGGCAGCATTGGCCTGCTGTTACAAAGAGAGAGAAGGAGAGACAGATAAGAGAGAGATCTTCTCCAAATGGCTACACTGCAGGGAGTAGCCTAGGCCCAAACAAGGACTCCATGTGGGACTCCCATCTGGCTCCAGAGACACCGTGACATGGGCCATTGTGCACTAGGCATGCATATCAGCCAGAAACCGGAGCATAAGTGGCACAGCCAGGACTCCAGCTGGCATCCAAATGGGATGCTGGCACTGTAGGCTGAGGCTTAACCTGTTGGGTTACAACATAACCCATGAAGGAAGTTAAGAGGAAGATGTTAAAAATACAAAGTTCAAGTAACAGATCGAGTGCTGTTATTATTGGGAGGAGGTGTGGGTAAGAAAGAATTGAATAAAAAAATAAAATGAGAGTACAGCTATTGAAAGGAAGGGTCCATCAGCTTTTTTCTCTTTGACAAGAATGAAAAAGGAAATTCTAATAAAAGCCGAGAGAAAATTCTTATATAAGAGGCCAAATGTGCTAGGAAATTGAGGGTGGAGTTGGGAATCTTCAAATAGCTATTAAGGAGTATGGAGAATCGCCATGGCCAAGTTAGGAACATGCAAGTGATTCTGAAGGTCCTGCAAACACAGGGAATGCTACTTAATGTAAAAGGGACTGAAATTATTGGTGGGTTGAGAAATGCCTCAATGGCTTAGTGCAACTAACAATGAATGGCTCAAAGACTTGGAAAGAAAAAGCTTAAAGTGATCAAAGAAAATGTCCTTTTTATAGCTACTGAAGGAGTTGAGTTAGTCAAACTCAAGACATTAGCATTAACACAAGTGGCATTGCAAAAGCAGGAGACATATTACTGCATTTTGTACTGGTTTTCATCTAATTTACTAATATTATGTCTACCTTTACATTTATGGAGCTCAATTCACAATAGATAAGAAATGGAATTAACCCGGAAACCCACAAGTAGATAACTATAAAGACAAAATGTGGTATGAATTCATCATGGAATATTTTCCAGCCATAGAAAGAATGAATGATCACACTTTTCAAATAAGCAAGTCCCAATACTGTGGTTTCCCTACTATGTGATGGCTAAATACAGACTATAGAACACGTAGTCCGTAGGTGCGAGAGGGACATTCTGGAATTTGATTATTGTAAATAGGCCTGCTCATACGCCTGAGGACTAGGAGGTTTGGGTCTGGTTTTATTTGGATTTTATTGTTCTTTACCATTATTTTCCACTTCCCATATGTTTATATGTCTGCCTAAAAGAATGTTAGACTTGTGATCGTGGAATGAAACTAAAAACGATAAAAAAGAAATGAAGGAGGAGGCGTGTGAGTGGGCAGTGCAGGGAGCAGGAGGGGGAAGGTGGGAGGGATGCCTAAGCTCCCAGGTCTGCGCTGTGATGTGTGTAAAATGGTCCACTGTACACACACAAATAAGGAAAAATACACCCGCGGAGAAAATCAGCACAGGAAACTAAAATGCAACGCTGCAACCTTGCCATAGCATTAAAAGTAATTTGAGTTCATTTATAAGTTATATCATCAGCAAGTATCTATTTAATTAGGAGCTTAAGTGTACCATGATTAGAACTCTGTGAAACTTGCAAAAGGATGAAGCACATAGCATGCATAAGTTGTAGTTATTATTCAGTGTAATTCGAGTGGCATATTTTATCCTTTATTTAACTATTCTGATGTGTTGATGAAAACAAAGGCATTTTTAAGTTATGCAACATATTCCAAAAGAAGTAGAGATACTATCTTGTCTTTAAAACCTTTTCCTGATAATATTCAGAATTTTTTTTCCTGAAAAGTGTATTTACTTTTACATGAAAGGCGGATTTACAGAAAGGAGAGCTAGAGTAAACCATTTGCTGGTTCACTCCCCCAGGTGGCAGCAGTGGCCAGAGCTGAGCTGAGCTGAAGCCAGCAGCCAGGAGCTTCTGCCAGGTCTCCCATGTGGGTGCAAGGGACCAAGAACTTGCGCCACCATCTGCTGCCTTGCCAGGCTATCGGCGGGGAGTTGGATCAGAATGGAGCAGCTGGGTCTCGTACCAGCACCCACATGGCATGCTGGCACTGTAGGAGGAAGAAAAGTCTGCAAGCCACTATGTCAGCCCCAATGTGTCTAATTTAAGTGCTTCTTCAGGAAAATAAAATATGTAAAGAGGACACAGATACTTTCAGTTGAGTAATAGAAAAGTATGTGTGTGTACACATACACGCATAGATAAGTATCATATGACTAAAAACTTCAGAAATCAGAGCAAGTATAACTGTGACTTCCCTTCCTTTTTCAAAAGGTATCTTTAAACTTCTTTTTTGTGTATGTCTATTTGTTAAAATGCAAGTGCTAGGGGCCTCCGAATGATAATACATTTCAAAAAAAATTCTGGAAAGATACGAGGAAACTAACTTGGGTTGTACCTGTTTATAGAAGAGAACCAGTAAGCCGAAGTGTCCTGAACCAAGGTGAAGCTCTCATCTAGGCAGCTTCTGGATACCGAACACATCCCTCTCTGTCAGCAAGAGATTTATTTTTTGAGTAAAGTCATAAAAAATACATATTTAAAAAGTTCTAAGTTTATAATTTTATTTTAAAAGTTCTAAGCTTATAATTTTATTTCCCCTAAGCAGTAGAGGCAGAATAATCTTTTTATTCATTAATTGAATAAACATACAAAATATAACTGATCTTAATATCAAATGATTTTTAAAGCTATCACGCTGCCAATCATTACTTAAAATTCATGTTTCTAGGATTATGAAGCTTGAGGTTTTAAGGTTCGTCTGAATGAGAGAGGAGCCTCCATCTCATGGTTGTATCAACTCCTTCCTCAGCACCTCCTAACTCCTGCTCCTTAGAAAGCTCCAGGAACACCTGCAGAGAAGACACAGAACAGGGAAAAGCAAGGCTCGAGTCAGTGCCGACCTTCCCAAGGAACCGTGAGAGCGCACGTTGCTTTGGTGTGGATGGTACAAAGCCAAAGCGGTTGACCAACCTTTTCCAATGTGCACTGAGAAAGGCTGTAGTCTTCCAAGTTAAGGTTATGTTTCACTAAAAAGAAAGTTAGAAAAATCAGTCAGCGAGTGGGAAATTGGGGGGGAGGGGTGGGACAGGGAAATCCCAGACCCTATGAAATTATACCATAAAATTCAAAATTGAAATTTAAAAATATCTGAAAAAAAGGCACTGATAATAGATGCTTACGATGTGCTATCATTTTTGCTTTTCAAAATCAACTAAATATAATGCAAGTTATTGCCATGGATGGAAGAAAAAGTCAAATAACAAAGTTATTGGTAAAAGAATGAAGTCACAGAAGCCATAAAAATGCATATTAAATTAATCTTGATAATAGAATCTTTTCCTGCTGTTTTTTGATCATGTGTTTTGTTGCGTAGTACATATGCCTTGGGTAAATGCACCATTGATTGGTGTTCTACTCTTACGCCAGAGGATTAATCACATCCAAGCCCTTTGAAAATAATCCTAAATACTCCTGCCAGCCAGTTCATCCCACTGGCCTCCTTAGTACAAAACAGTATGACAGTTGTTGCCAGACTTAACGTGCACATGTTCACAGGTTACCACTTCTACAGCGGGAGTAATCAATATGTAAAGCATTCTTAGAAGGCAACAATAAAATGATAATTGAACAGAAACCAGAAAAAGTAAGGAAGTTGCCTGGATATATAGGAGAGGAAATTCTAGGCAGAAGGATTAGTAAGTACAAAATCCCAAGGCAGGACAATACACAGATGGCTGCATTTAGGAAAAATCGGGAAGCCTGCTATGTAGGAAGGAAGGAGTGACGTAGACATTTATTGTAGCAAACTTGATTAACCAGGCACAACACAAGCACTCAACCAATAAGCTCTTTTAGTTTTCCTATGGTCTGGTCCAGCGGACATGCATATGAGCCTTCGGTGTACATAAGCAATCAGGTAGGGATGAGATACTATGCAGGGATGGAATAACATGTAGGAATGAAATAAATTCACACACTTACTGGTAGCATTGGGATGGGGGAAGGCTAGCTTGGAAGTTTGAGTTCTCCACCACTGCACTGAGCTGAGACATGACCCTGGGATGACTGCTGTTGGAAATTGCCCAGTTTAAAGAATAAGGAAAATGATGACAGAAAGAATGGACCATTTCCAGTAGCAGGTAGGAGCTATGTACAATGCAGGGGACAGCATTAGCTATCATTCAGTCATCTTCAAGGAGGGTCTTTGACACCAGCACAGATGTAAGGGCTTAGGGTGGCAGATGAATGGATGGATAACTGTATGGACAATTTCTATGTTGTTATTAGTGAAAAACAAGGAGCTCTGCAATAAAGAAGTGCTCATTTACCATGCACTTTATGGAATATAAACCAAGAATATCAGTGGAGGGAGAGATGTGAGAGGGAGGTGGAGGCACATGCAAGAACACAGGAGAGTGAGAGGGTGATGTAAGCACGGAGTGAACAGAGTGCGTACATCCAGGTAAGTCAGGCTGTACAAAGTGTCCTTCTGTGGGAGGTGTCTCAGATTTATAATACGAGCAGTCAGGCATGACAGTGTCCTTTTTTCTTTACCTTTCAAAGTAAGGAAGAGTGACAATGAAGGGGTGACACACACACAGAGCAAGTAAGAACTGTCATCCATTGACTCACTTCCCAAATGCCTACAATAGCCAGGCTTGGTCAGGTTAAAGCCAGGGATTTCCATTCTGATTTCTCAATGTGTGGCAGGATTCCAAGTCCTTGGACAATCTGCAGCTGCTTTACAGCGTGCCTTAGCAGGAATCTGGATCAGAAGCAGACTAGTTGGTACTCAAACCAGCAATCTGATGTGGGAATGGCAGTGTTACATGCAGTAGTTTAACCTGTGCCACCACAATACTGGCCCATGATTATTTTTGTACAGCTTCATTACCTGGGCTGAAAATGAACCTATGTTCAGAGCTGAGTTAATTGAAATTGAGATTAAATCTCGCCATTATCCTCCATAACTTGTGGTGTATAGACCTATTTTTAGAATGTTGTACAATTATATGTCATTAAATTATTCCCTAATATGAATCCTTCAAGTTTTATATAATAGATTCCATGTATGGCAGGCGTTTGGCACAGCGGCTGACTCTGCTTAGCACAGCTGTAGCCGCTTACCAAGGTGCTGGGTTTGCGTCCTGGCTCTGCTTCCCATTACAACTTCCAGCTAGAGCACACCTTAGGAAGGCACCATGACGGGTCAAGTAGTTGCGTCCTTGCAAGCTAGGAGATATGAGCCGATGTATCCTGGTTTTGGCCAGAGCTAAGTCCAGTCGTTGTGGGTGTGAGCCAGTGCATGGGAGATCTGCTCCTGCCTATTCTCGTCTCTTAGCTTTTCGAATAAATCAATAAATACAATATTTAAATAAATAAATGAGAGTCATTCTTACCTGTCTCTAATTTGTGAAATGCCTGAGACAGAGGGCAAACGTCGGCAAGGGGAAGCTTATAGGTCAACAAGGGGTAATACCTGAGAACAGGAAAAGTTACAAAGGAGTTTCAAGGAGAGAAAATGAACACCAAAGTAAATATTGATATCAGCAACTATTTCCTTTTTCTAAAAAAAGAAATAGTACAAATCTATATGTGGTCAAAATACAAAATCAAATCATTTATCAATAGCAGGTTTTAAAAAACGATTTTGATTTTAAAGTTCTAGAAATGATCTAGTACAACTATTTAAGGCTAAGTTTCCACACATTTTTCATGTGTTAAAACAAACATGGTTCCTTTAATTAGTTCAAATGAGATTGGGAACTAATCCCACAATGACAGTTCATCCTTGTCAACAAAAACTAACAATATGTAAAGAAAGGTAAGGCATGGGGAGAACTCAAAACTTTGAAATACTTAGCTGAGATAACAATGTTCGCATGTGTCTTTAATCCCTCAGGAAATGTCTGCTCTAGAACCCGTGTGTGCTACTGTGGTTATACAGCCACCCGCATGGCCTCTTCTTCTCTCATCTCCAACCGGCAGTGTGTTACTCCTGGTGCCCCTGATCTCCAGTCCTGGCTTTCCTCAGATCGGCCCCTGCTGTGCCCATCTCAACAGTTCTGGTCTCCCCCCCCATACTATCACTTCTTCCCTTATCTGTGACGTCCAGGGTCTGGCAACAGGACTAAATTACACGTCTGCTAAATGTCTTCAGCAGTTACGTTCTGTTTTCTTGATGAATTGATCCTGTTCCACTTCCTTGACTACCTCCACACACACTTTGAAACTGGAAAGGGAAAATTTTTTAATTGCCATTTAAGAGGCATCCACTTTAAATATATCTTTTAAAATGTGAATTATTATGTTTTGACTATTTATGTATTTCAAATACTTGTGGGAAGGCCCAAAGAGGGGTCCCACTGAGGTTTCATAACTTCAGCAACTGTGACGTTCCTTCCTCTCCACGCTTTCAATGCAAAGTCCCAGGTGGCTAAGCAGGGGTTCCCCGGCTACTCAGTCTCCTGGAGACACAGCTTCCCGGATGGTTCCTAATCTCTTACATCCTTGAAGACTCAACAAATCAGTGTTTGAGGATCTCAAATTTTATACTAAAGTGAAATCATCACGAAGCTTTCACAGAGCAAAAAAACGGAATTACTGATGGAGTCAAGTTTGCATGTTTCCCCACAATCAAAATCTCTTTTACCTGGCTTGCTGTACAGCCTGCGGGAAAAGCTTCAAAATCTCCATGTGGAGCAAAGTCACTTGAGAAGGTTCCTTCACTTTCAATTCTAGAATGTAGCCCTTGCCAAATTTTCTCTTCAGGTGTTCGATGGAGCCAATGCATCTATGGATGAGCAAAACATGCTGAAAAATGATTATCCTCGTTTTTTTCTTTTTTTCTTAAATTTGAATTGCAGGTGAGAGATGTCCCAGAGGAAGGCAAAAGGAAAAGCCCCAGCTACAGAAAGGTCCTTTCCCTTTCCACAGGAAGTTCTCATTTTGGGTGTCAAGTGAAAGCTCAGGAGAGAGACTCACTTCAGCCTTCCCGACACCATGACTGCCAGGCGGTCACACAGGGCCTCAGCTTCAACCAGGGAGTGCGTGGTCAGCAGGACAGCCCTTTCACTGCTTCTTACAGCTGCCCGGATGGCTTGCCTGAAGTGAAACAGCAAATTGGCAGTGTTTAAAACGAAAGAAGTCAACAGCAACAAAACAGAGAGATGGGAAGATACATTCATAGAAGAACCTAATTTATGAATCATATTCAGATCCTAATTTAAAAACATCAGAGATAAGTGAATCCAAGAAAACTTCATAGAGCTGGTGGAAAACAGAATTAAATGACAAAATACACTGGGGCAGGTATTTGGAGTAGGGAATAAGAAGCTAGCTAGAACGCCCAGGTCCTAGAACGCCTGCGCTTAGTCCCAGACTGAGCCTCTGATTCCAGCTCCTGCTAATGCATTCCCGGAGAGGCAGCAGTGATGGCTCAAGTATTTGGGTTCTTGATACTCAACAGGGAGATCTAGGTGAATTCCCAACCTCCAACCCAACCCTAACCCAGACATTGTGAACATTTGAGGAATAAGACAGTGGCTGGAAATGCATATGCCTCCACCCTCCAGCTTCTTTTCCCTTTTTAAAATAAATGCAAGATAGTTCATACTGATGGTTTACTCCCCTGAATGCCCACCCCGAGCTGGTGCTGGCTGAAGCGAAAAGCAGGAGCTAAGAAATCTATGTGGATCTCCCAAGTGAGTGGAAGGGACGCAAGAATTACAGCCATTCGCTGTGGAAGGGACCCAAGCATTAGAGCCATTCGCTGTGGAACTTGCCCAAACATTAGAGCCTTTCAGGATGTGAATTAGCCAGAGGATGGATGGGAAGTGGAGGCTGTTCTAGAACCCAGGCACTTCAATATAGGATGTAGGCATACCCAGCAGTGGCTTAACTCACTATGCCACAGTGTCCACCAGTGATTGATTTTTTTTGTCAGCACAAAGAAAAAACTGTGTTTGTTATGTGTACTAATGGTATTGTGATTATGTTAAGCAAGATTCCTTATCTTTTTGAAATACTATCTAAAATGTTTATAAACAAAGGGGTATGGTGCTTCCTATTTCCTTCAAACTGGAGGTTAGAAAAGGAAGTGGGTGGAGACACAGATCAAACAAGATTAAGTTTCCATTGATAACTGTTACAACTGTGTGATAGTTCAATTAGACTCCTGATATTTGTGTTAGATTGACACAATAATTTTGTTATGAAGAATGTGAGAAATACTGAGGGCACTCAAGAAATGTCACACTAGGGATTCTATTAAAACAGGAAAGTGTGAAAATAAAGGTTAGACTAAAAAGGAAAACACGTAACAGGTACCTCAATAATGAAAAAGGAATTAAGACTCAAAAAAAGTTCAGAGAAACTCATGAATATGATACAGACTAGATCTAAACATTTGTTTTGCTAATAATATGAACCCTCTCCACTGAATCAAGAACTAGTAGAAATGAGGTTTAACCATTCAAAATCAGTTTTAAGTAGCAATTTGAGGACATGAGCATGGTCATTTAATATATACTCAGAGGGATACAACTAGCATCACAAATTGAATCATTCCTTTTTACTTAGTATTTTCTATTTTTGAGATAAAATATTTTAATTTAGATTATTCTCAGAGGCTTCAGGCATCACTAAATAAATGATTTAACAGAAAGCAAAAATTATTTAAAATTTTTTTAAAAGTAAAAACTGATCTAATGAAAATATGGTCATCTTTACTCATATAAATTTTAAAACAGCCACAAAATCATCAGAAGGATATTATTATATAATCCTTTCCTGAAACTTCTTTTATTTACTTCAAGTGAAGGATTTTTATGTGTTTCACAATACAGATTTCGGAGCACTGTGATACTTCCCACTCCGCCCTCCTTTCTGTCCACATTCACCATCCTCTCCTTTTTTCGTCATAAAACTTTTACAATAGCATTCTTTTAGTTCACAGGCTTAACATTTTATTAGGTAAAAATTTTAACAAACCACACAGAAAAAAGAACCCTACTATTCCTTAAGAATATACACACAGGCTGTCACAATAATCAAATTTCAAAATGTCTATCTTTTATGGATTATATTTTTTATACTCTGTATTACCACAAATCAGAAGAAAATTATGATTTTTGTTTTTGGGTGACTGGCTTATTTCACTAAGCGTAATGGTTTCCAGTTGCATTCATTTTGTTCCACTAATCATCAGGTTTATTTTTGCGCCAGTACCTAACTGGTTTGATTACAGCTGTCCTGTAGCACATGTCGAAATCTGGTAGTCTGATAAGCTCCAGTTTTGTTTTGTTGCTTAAGATTACGTCAGTTATTCAGGATTTCCTCTGTTTCCACATGAATTTTAGTATCATTTTTATCTAGATCTGATAAGAATGTCATTGGTATTAAGCTTGGTTTTGCATTGTATCTGCAAATTGTTTTTTAAGTATGGACATTTTGATATTAATTCTACCAGTTCAAGAACATGTAAGAGCTTTCCATTTTCTGATGTCTTCTGTTTCTTTCTTTAAAGAAATTCCCTCACGTTCTTGGGTTAAATTTTTTTCCAAGGTATTTCAATATTTTTGCAGCTATTATGGATTGGACTTAGAAGTTCTTTCTCAGGCATAAAACTGTTTGTGTATAAACATGCTACTGATTTTTTTGTGAGCTGATTTTGTATCCTATAACTTTACCAAACTCTATGATATGAGCTCCAATCACCTCTCAGAACAATCTTCCGGTTCCCAATAAAAGTAACTTTATACAACATTGATGCTTGTGACTCTAAGTCATGATGCCTACCACATTTGTTGCTGCCCCGTTGGGTCCATGCCTGTGGATGGTTCATCCAGGAAAAGAACAGGTGGATCTCCCAGGATGCTAAGCACAAAGCATAGCTGTAATACAGAAAAACAACCCTGTAGACGGCCACTTGAAATGCAGCAATCAAGCATCGGAAGTGCCCCAACTATTACACATACCTGTCTTGCGGTTCCTGTCGTTAACTTCTGTACTGTAACATTTAGCTGCTCACGCAGATTTAAAGCATCTACTAATCTGGTAGAGAAGAGGATGAGAAGATTTCGTCAAGAGAGGATTTCTGGAAAAATGCACGCACACAAAATTGTAACAACATTAGAAATGCTTACCATAACTGCTCTCAAAAATCTAACTTGCAATGAAAAAAAAACTTGATTTTAGAGCATGAAATGCTTTTTGCCTCATAAAAAAGTTAAGAAAAACTAGAATTTCAAATAAGAAACTTACATGTATAGTTATTCATGATTATTTATTCATTGCTTCCTTAACAATCACTTTTAAATTCTCCTTTTTTATATGTAGCAAGATCCTTCCTTCTGAGATGCAGGAAACTAGGTCTTGTCCTGCACTGGTGTTCTACCAGCTTTGAAAGCATCTCTATTTCTTTTCAAAGGCAATACGACACTTACATTCTATCAGCACATCAGTCATAGTGGAACAGACCCCTGCTTCTTAGTGCAAAGTAGACACACAAATGCGCTGTACCGAGAAATAGCCAGGGCAGCATCTGCCTTCCTCAGGCCCTTCACAGCGGCATACAATTCCAGGTGTTCTTTCACAGTCAGCATGGGCCATAGCACATTCTCCTGAGGACAATATCCCAAGAACTTGACCACGCCTTCTTCCAGGTGACTGTCGACTGAAGTGTACCCTTTCAGTTCCACCTAAAAAACATAAATGGCTTTGTCTCATAAAGAAGCTTACAGATTGCTAATAGATATATTTAAATCATATTAAGCATCAAAGAAATATTAGAGAAAATGTATATACCACTAATAGAAAAAACGTGGCCTTATAGAACAGGTGGACAAAATCTGACAAGCTCAGAAACCATGATGAATGAGAGATCCTTGGTTCCTGGGGGCTGTCCAATTCCTGCTATAAACTCTCAGTGTTCCAATGCTCAGTAAGAATAATAAAAGTGAAAAAAATAAATGCACCCAAAGGCAAAAGCATATATAACCTTGTGAAGATAAAATCTACATTGGTCATGGGAATCAGTTATTTATTTTTCACTACCTCTCCAGATGTTGGCTTTGTGATCCCACACATCATTCTTATAGATGAGCTTTTACCAGCACCATTGGGTCCCAGTAATCCCAAAGTTTCACCTGAAGGAAAGAATCTGTCACTATTGGATACAAAATACTGATAAACATAAACGTGGAGCTTCAATGAAATCTCCTGAGATCTGTAGCCCTCAATTAGTATCACTTAAAAACTTATATATGCAATGCATTCGAGCAAAACAATAGTCATTCATTATTATGATCAGACAATACACGAACGAAAAATTTATAGGTTTGATGCCAATATATTTCCCCAAGATTTCTTACATTAATTAAAAATATGTCTTGTTGTCTATCGTATTTGGCTGATGCATGGAACATATGTTCAAGTATATGTCACAAAGTTCATGGGAAAAGAGAATTAAATAGTATTTTATGCTGCATATTCATTCTAGTGGGCAAAGTGCCAATTAAGACTTCAACATCCCACATGAGAGAGTCTGGATTCCATCCTTGGCTTTAGCTTTGCGTCACTGCAGGCCCTGGGAGGCAGTGGTGATGACCCAAGTGAATGACTTCTTGCCCTCTGTGGGAGCCTGGACCAAGTTCCCAGCTTGAGACTTTTTACATATTCCAATGCTTCATTCAGAATTTATAAATAATATGTAGCGCTTTTCTCAATGAGGCATTTTACTAATAGACACACCTCCCCACCCCTCTTTCTGGAACACAAAATTCACCAGGACAGATACATTGCATATTTTTTCATAACTTTGATTTCCGGAATCTAAACCAGCTCCTGAAACAATTTAAAAGTATGCATTTTGAATGAATGGATGCATGAGTAAGCAAATAAAATGGCATCCATAATAGAAACACTCAATGGATATTTCTAAAACTAATGGCCAAGTTAAAATGTGACACACCTTTTTTAATGCAGAAAGAGACATTTCTTACTGCTGTTTTCTTCTTCCTCTTAGAACAGCAGTTTTTCTTCTGGCCTGCATATTCTTTGTGTAGACACCTGGCAAGGATGACTGGTTTCTAGGAGAGAGAGCAGCACGACTTTCCTCATAAACTTTTAGAAACTTTGTGTTCTTATATTTTCCCCTTTTGGATGCTTTCATGCCTTCTGTCATGAACCAAAGCATATTTTGAGTTCCAAGTGGTGCATTTTGTTTGTTAAACATAATACGCAATCATTAACCTAGACCGTATTTCTTGCTTCTAAATTGACTCAGAAAACAGCATTGCCTAATAGAAGCCAGCTTATCGTAGTGCCAGAACATAACTGGATAAGCTCATGAAAACACTGTTCCATCTATGTTTAATTATCCTTACCTAGCATTTTATAACACCATTGCTTAAATTCAACTTATGATGCACAGATTCATTTTAAAACCATAATTCTAATGCTTGAACCCCAGTTTTCCAAAATGCATTTTTAAGCTTCTAGAAAAGCCCAAACAAGAGCTTGCATTTTCAAAAATTATAAATGTGCACTGGTCTCCAAACTTTTAAAATGAAAGCGAGAATTTCAGACTACTCTTTACAGTTCTTGGATACGACCATAAACATCCAATTTGTTATGTGCTTTGGTACCTCGTCTAATCTTGAAGTGGTCGAAGCAGTTGCTGTTCTTATTCTTTCTGCTTGAACATCTTCATCTTCATCTATGGGTTCTTCTGGATTTAGTCGAATACCTCTATTTTGAGGGGACATTCTGTGGAAGAAAATAAAACTTTACATGTAAAGTCTTCTAGATGTCAAAGATCAAAAACCAGTGCCTGTGTGGTTTTAGCATTGCCACTTCTTTCCTCATGAAGATGAGGAGTAAAGCTCCTCTTTTTCCGAGAACATCCCTCCAGCAAGTTTTTCTGAAATGCTTTCAAGTCTGTTGACAAGCTCTGCTCCCTCCTTCTTTTTCTTTTTAGGTTATACTCACACATGTGCATAAACAACAAATTGTCAATGCACGTGGATGACACAATTGTATACAGAGCTAATCCAACATAACCCCCAAACAAGTAGCGAATTCTGCAAGGTTACTGAGTATAAGGGTCAATACATACAATCAGGAAGATTATACTGCGCCAGTGAGAAACAAACAGGAAAGAACTAAAAGGACAAAATAGACCAGGAAACGAAATCCTTCAGGACAAGGAAACAACGAAGAATTAATCCATGTAACTTTTTCAATATCGAGAGAGAGAGAGAGAAACAGTAATATATAATTCCTATTTGCTTAACAAGGATTTAAAAAAAATAGTTTGATGAAACACTGTATCCACTGACATACACAGATTGCCTTTTACTTACTCTCCATCCACCATTTCTTCTCTCTCTCTCTCTCTCTCTCTCTCCTGACTATTTTATTCAACGTGATATCTTCCAGTTGCGTCCTACTTACTGTTCTTTCCTCTTTTCACTGCTCCCTCTTAAGCACACTCAACAATTCTTGGAGCACCTTTCCTGCTCACCTTTCCTAGTCTCCCTGCTTGTGAAATGCTTTGAATTATGTTGCTAAACTAACTCTAACCTGTCTCTTCTGGTCAGATGTATAACCATCTTGGAAGCAGAACAACATATTTGAGTGATAAATTTTGAGAAACTGAAAGTTTCCCTTAACTTCTTAAAACAGAACTCATTTGAAACTCTTCCTTCTTTCTTTTTTTTTGTTTTAAGATTTATTTATTTTTTATTGGAAAGGCGGAAATACAGAGAGGAGGAGAGACAGAAAAGATCTTCCGTCTGATGATTCACCCCCTCAAGTGACTGCAACAACTGGAGCTGAGCCAATCCAAAGCCAGAAGCCAGGAGCTCCTCTAGGTCTTGCACGCAGGTGCAGGATCCCAAGGCTTTGGGCCGTCCTCAACTGCTTTCCCAGGCCACAAGCAGGGAGCTGGACGGGAAGCAGGGCCACTAGGATTAAAACCAGCGACCATAGGGGATCCCAGCGCGTGCAAGGCGAGGACTTTAACCACTATGCTGTCGCGCCAGGCCCGGGAGTCTTATTTCTTAACAATATACTATTCAGTACTCATAATGGCAATCATTGTACTGGTTATATTGTTAATGCAAACCACTATGACCATATTGACCGTACATCTACTATTAAAGAGCATGAAAATACGGTGTTCAGTATGAGATTAGATTCTGTGCCAACCTGAAAACAGGATCCTTTTGTATAATTTTATTTCCACATTTCATCTCCATGCATCTTAGAACAAAAATGAGGATCAAAGCCTGGAAGTAGGGCTGCAAGCAAAGAAAAACAATTTTACTTAGGCCTAATTCACAAACATAATCTAAACATTCTAATACAATGGGTGACATTTTGTCTTTTGCAAAAATAACTGCCGATTGTGGGAAATCTATGCAGACACTCATCATTCTGCACAGAGAGACGTGTCTCTTTTCTCACAACTCGCATTCAGACCGTCAGTGTCTGCAAAACTCACCTGCTTCTCACCCCTGTTCGTGCTCCTCTCACGCAGGTCCAGGTCACTCTAGTTTCTCATCGTAACCACAAATTCTTTCAATATACAAGTCTACTTTAGCTTTGTTTTGCTGTTTCACCCAAATATTCACCACTTTTTTCTTCCTTGGCAATGGTGTCTATCACTCTTTTTAGATGCCTGCAGTACCTCTTTAAGCATCATGGGAAATAACGCCGATGTGCATCAACGGATGAATGCAAAGACACTATGGTGCATCTACTCTATGGAACACTACCTGGCCATAACAAACAGTGAAATCCTACCGTTTACAACAAAATGGTTCCACCTGGGGACCATTGTGATTACTGAAATAAACTAGTCCAAAAAGGATAAATATCACATGTTCTCCTTGATATAAGGGAGACGTTATTCAAAGTATAAAATGAATAGAAACAGGTAATCAAGTATTTTCATTTATTCTCACAGAACTGTGCAATGGAGACTAGCATACCAGGAATAAAGGCATGTTGCATTCCGTGTTTCTACTCCTGAATAAGAGACTCCCAAAGAACCATTTCAATATACCTTTACAGTATGATACTATGGTTTCCATCTTGGCCCATGCCCATCATGCCATCATACGTTTAAACAGTGATAGTTAAACTTGCAATAGTTACTAAGGTACTATTCAACTGTGATAATTCAGGGAAAATGGTGGGAGGGAACGACAAGAAGGTAGGAAGGGAAAGAGGAGGCGAAAATGCTATACCTTCAAAACTGTATCACAGAAAATAATAAAAACAATTTTTAAGAAAATAAATGATAACCAAAAGCATATGTGAGTCTGGTCCTACCACTCAGTTTAAAACTTGTCAATGATTCCTCTGTCATTCAGAGTCGAGTTCAAGCCCTCAGACAGACCAAGAATGCTCTGGGTTGCCCCTGAGTCACCACCACGTTGACCATCTCTCCTACTACCCTCCTTACCGATCACTCTACCAAAATCAGCCTTGCCTTCTAGAACAAACAAAGGTCACTCTTGTTATCTCCTACTGGAATGCTCTTTTATAACTTTTTTTCTAACAGTGAATCTAACACAATTTTGTTATTATTTGGTTGGCTGTTTCTACCGACACATAAATTCTGTGTGGTCAGTGACATGTCTCAGTTTATATCTAGATGCATAAAATGCTGGTGAATAATATCTAAAGATAACAAATTTCTATAGCATAAATTGCTGATACACTATTTTTTTATTTTGACACACTTGAGTTCTATTTCATACTTCACAACAGTCATTTTACATTTTTTCTGCACTTTTCTTTAAACAAGGTCTCTCAAATCTAGAGGGAGGGCAATGAAAGGATAACCAAAAAACAATTTAATGTTGAATTGTTGAGTTCTAGACTTACACAGCCCATTTACACATAGAAAAAGCAACTCTAGGATTTAGAATAATTTTTGAATGAAACTGCTATATCCAAGACTGAATTAAAACACTTTTACAGTTAGGACACTTGAGGTACAGTTCAGTAGTTTTTGCAGATGGTAAAACGAAAATGAGGAGAGGTTGAAGGGACTTCTTACTATTAGGCATATTAGAAGGTCCACTGCAGTCAGGTCAAAATTTGGGTCATTAAATTTCCTGTGGTACTCATAAGCTCTCTGAAGAGACAAAAAGATATAGATTCAATCAAAATGGTATATATTTATATAATGCAAAATTTCACATACTGGCTACTTCCTTTATTAAGTCAAGCCCTCTATGTAAACTAAAGGTCAAAGTAATTTTCTATAAAGAGAAGACCCTCCCTCTGAACTCCTGCAACCTGTCTCTCAACAAGCAGATAACAGTCAGTTCAACTCGTCCCATTTTTTTTTCTGTTGACCTTAACATTTACTGTAGACCTACTAAAAGAAGAGCAGAATTTGGCATTGTAACAACTTCCAGGGGCCAACAATATGTATATATATTTTTAATGATTTATTTATTTTTGTTGCAAAGTCAGATATACAGAGAGGAGTAAAGACAGAGAGGAAGATATTCCATCCAATGATTCACTCCGCAAGTGACCGCAACGGCCAGTGCTGAACCGATCGGAAGCCAGGAGCCAGGAACTTTCTCCAGGTCTCCCATGTGGGTGCAGGGTCCAGAGGCTTTGGGCCGTCCTGGACTACTTTCCCAGGCCACAAGCAGGGAGCTGGATGGGAAATGGAGCTGCTGGGAGTAGAACTGGGGCTCATATGGGATCCTGGCTCATTCAAGGTGAGGATTTTATCCTCTAGACCACTGCGCTGGGCCCAACAATATGTGTCTTAAGTGTCCCAGGCAAGTCTTTTTCAAGATTCCTTCTTTTCCCAAAGATGACTACTTTCCTATCCTATTTACATTAGTTCCAGCATGATAGTCTTTCTCTAGCAATCGTTTTTTTTTTTTTTTTGGTTTTGTTTTGTTTTGTTTTGCAGAAAAGTAATGTATTCCTTCCAAATAATATGTGACAGACCCATTTTTATATATTTCACTTTACAGTCTATTTATATTTTAGGTTAAAGCAATAGGGTGAATTCCCATTAAAAAAAAAAAAGTCCAGGCCTTTTATTAGTCTATTAGTCTCTGGAACGCTATTTTTGCAGATGAGAGGATTTCTAACTATTCGTGAGGATTACAAACAACTAATAAAACCCTCTACACTTCCATCTAGGATGACTGAGGATCCCACAGAAGTATGGTCGATTAGATATCCTGCCTTGGCATCCCCATTCACTGGCAAACACGGAACCAGCTGCCTTTCTTTCATTCCTTTCCTGCGTCTATGCTTTGGTTCCCCTCCGTAGAACACGGCTGTCTCCTGTCCCACTCCGAGTGGAGCACATTGGCAGGCCTGTTATGTTCTCCCTTGCCTTTCTCCGCTGTAAACGTTAAGAGTTCTTTGTCTTGGCTGCTTGAGGTAGGCCTGTCGCTTTAAATCTCTGTGAAAGAAAAGGGGGGGCTACCTTCTTCATCAGGTGTCCCCAATACTCGCAAAGCAATTAATGCAGAGTCACGTTTAATGTATGTGTTTGAAGGATTAAATGGCATTCCTCATGTGCTTATTCTCATCAGGAGTAATAAATACTCCTTGAACAAAACATCTTTTTTTTAACATGGCATAAAATTTGAATAGTATTTGGCAGAGCAATGCTTTTTTTAAAACAACTTTATGGAGTTCAATTTTATGCCATGGAATGCAACCATTTTAAGTGTATAATTCAAGGACGTTATTACATTTGCAGAGCTGTACAAAATGTAAGAATTCAACTTTACCAATTTTAATCATTGGAAGGAGATCCCTTGTACCCTTTGCTATCATTTTCCATCCTCATCAATCCATTTTCTATCTTTGTAAGTCTGAGGAAACTATTTTAACAGACTACATAGCCACTGTTGGTAATAGAGTTGGAAATGTTACTTACATCATTCAAAAACAATAGAAATCCACCCATTGTAGCTGAGGGAACCAGTATCATGTTGGTAATAATGATGGTTAGGTCCAAGTAACGGAACACACTGATGCTGAGTGTGATGTTAAAGACCTACAAGTCAAGTTAAAAACACCACATCAGTCTACAGATGACTGGAAAGAGAGTTAAGTTCTAAGTGCTCTTATCACGCATACCATGAGTTTTCCATGTGTAGATAAGCCCACATGGCCATCACGAAGAGAGGACCCTGGGAGATGCTTTTATTAATGAAAATATTCATGATTTTAGCTTCCCATTAGAATATTATAAATAGATAAAATTATCGTAGATTAATGTGAAAAGTAAACTGGTCAGATTTTCCATAGTTCATTATTACATTCAATACAAGGAGGCAGCAAGGCTGTGGAACAGGGTGAGGACATGTTAAAATGGACAGATTAACAGGGGGAAAATCGGAGAGTACACAATCCGGGTATTAGGAGTAGGCAGGTTGATGGCAGAGATGGGTGAGGACCCTGAGGAACTGGGCAAGCAGCGCAGACACCCCAGCGGCCATCAGAGCTCCACTGATGCACACGTGTGGAGGGAAGCTCACCAGAAAACTATGGGGTTAAATTGGCCATAGAAATGCAGTATGCTGATTTGTAACCAAAGCAGAATGGCAGAGCCCTTGCAGATGGGTGCGTGGGTGCGGGTAGTATTCTCAAGACCTCCCCTCACGCTCCTCTGCATACACACAGTCACTGGTGGCACACTGGATGCCATTTTGAGCTTGGTGACAAAGCCACTGGGGGATTGGGGTGAGTTGTACAGGTACTAATGCACTAAGCCCAGGGAGAACTTGCTTCTGACACAACGCTTGTCTCTGGTCCCATCCTAATAATACTGACTTGGCACTTCATTTGGTATCCCAAAAAAAGGGTTTGGGTTTCCCCATAGCCCTAAGACCCTGTTGAAAGACACAGCAATCATTTCCCTAATTCTGGGTACTACTTGAACCATGAGAAATAGAAAAGTACCCTGGCTGTGGAGGCTGGGGCAGAAGTGCAGCATGGAGACCAGACACTGAAACTTTCAGGCATGAGTGGCATAAGTAGCACAAACAGAGAACCAACCACTGAACGGGAACAGCCAAGTCCATCTGTAGACCCATGGACAACACCGCTTCAAAACTGGGGGGATTTGGAATATTCTGGATCTTGGAATTGTGGGTGCTTAACTTATATTATTAATTTTCCTCACTAGTCAGACAAAAATGACTACAAATAACACTACATTGCATGTTTAAAAATAAGTATCTATGGTATGCATTTATTACTTACAATGTAAAAGCAAAATGACCAAAAGCCACTGTGTTTTTTATTCTTGCGAAAAATAAACGATATCACGTATGTTAAGAAGACAAGAGAGGCTCCATAACCAAATGAAAACACAACCTGAAAGTATAAATAATGCCACAGTCAAGATGAAATATCTCAGAAAAGAATTAAGCTCCAAATATTAAATAATATTCTATTGTGCATTCAAGTTTCAAGCATTTTTGTTTTGGTTTATCATACAATAAACATGAAAACAACTGAATTATAAAATAATACGGTTAATAATTATGTTACTTACCACAGCAAACACAATTCGACTTGAAATATAAACGTGATTCATGTTTACAATGTAGAAAATTAGAAATGTGGAAAGTATAATGCCAGTGAGGAGATTAATGTCCAGCAGAGCCTGACCACACCAGTAAGCAGAGGGGTGGAGACCGGAGATCCAGAGCTGGGACTTAGCTTTCCTCTGACGGAAAAACACAGCACAAACATTGGAAAACATTGGTCAATAAGTTAAAGCTCATATTCTGATGTTACTAACAATAACTACACATGCAGTATTTAGGAACCTGAGATCTAGAGAACCAGCTCGAAAGGTGTCCTATTACAATGCTAATTGCTTTATTTTACAGATTTGCAATGGTTTTTTAATTCTCTAAAAATGAGCAGAAAAGCATGCTTCATAATGATGACGTCACTCCGGTCTTCAAAAGAAATGTTATTTTGTGACCTGACAGACAAAATATACTTTCCATTTAGAAAATATTTCCTCAGTTATTGGCTCAGGATAGTAACAGGTTATTTATCTAAATATGATTTGTTTTGTCTAAACAATGATTATATTCAGATACAAATAATATAATACTCCAACTTTCAGAATGCAAAGGGATTTCGTTTTCAGTTTCAATGTCAATGATTTCCTCCTTGGAGTTAGGATCTAATGTAATTAGAAGCATGATAATATTTCTCTTTATAGTTTAGACTAATTAAGTCTCTGAAAAATCATTGTAGTTTTCCTGTAACACTGAAGTAAGTAGTATGTACTTGTAGATTTCTGGCTTGCTAAAAATAATGTTTTACCATGTCATTTTAATATATATTTGAGTGTTTTCCTCAAAGGAAAACATTTTGAATGCACAGTATTAAAACATAATTACTGATATTCCTTGAGTTTCTTTTCATTCAGCCCTCCTCCCATGACCCTCTTCTCTTACTTTATAATCGCTGATGCTGTTCATGGCAAGATAAGGAGAAATGCTGCATGCCAAGAAAAGTAAGAATGTGGAGCCTTCTGGCAGCCCAGTCCAAAACATTAAATAATTCTGCAAATATAAAAGGTATTAGTCAATTTTAAACTGATAAATTGAAAATATATATTTAAAAAATAAACTATTATAAAATATTATTTTTTTGGAATATTAAAATATAAATGTATGTCACAAACATCTATGGGAGAGAAAATATTTTCTGATCATGTAATAAATATATAAATCTTCAGTTATTGAACAGTAAAATCAAATACAATTCAGGACCTATTTGGGGGTATATGCAAAATAATTTAAATCAGGTTCTTGGAGTTACATCTGTACACTTATTTTTACAGCAGTCTTACCTCAGTCAAGAGATGGGAGAAAACTAAATTCTATTGGTGGATATATAGATGAATGAAATATACTATATACTCATGCGATGGAATATTACTCAGATTTCAAAAGAAAAGAATCTTGACAAAAGCTGTGAACATCTGGAGGACATTATGCCAAGTGAAATAAACTTGTCATCAAAAGAGAAATGATGCCTTTATGAACTACCTGAAATATCCAGATTCAGACAGGCAGAGCATAAGTTAAGGGGCAGGGGAATTGCAATACTGAGTCCACACCCAGGCTTTAGTTTTATAAGTTGAAACACTTCTAGAGATTTGGTTTTTACAATAATGTGAATATGATTAATGGTACTGAACTGTACATCTGAAAAGACAAGTTTTGGCTAATTTTATGATATGTGTTTTATCATGACAAAAAAAAATTCAGACATTTTCAGCCTTGATTCACAGGTCATTCGGGCTCACGTGACACATCTTTATCAGCAAACCTAGTGATGGAAGTGTGAGGACTTGCTTGTACTTTCAGCACTACTGATGGAATGAAGCCAAAACTAAACTCAGCACCTTTGACATAAGACAGATTTCCTTTCGCACTGTTTCATTCTATTCCTTCCGACCCTCTTCCAATCTCCCGGCATCCAACAGTTGAAACTTTGAGGGGTGCTGTTGGTATCAACCAGAGAACCATAACTACTTTAAGTGCTTAGAGAAAAAAGTAGCCACAAATTGGTCAAGCGGGTGATGCTCATGCACCAAGGATTGAGTCAGAAGACATTGTCACTTCCGGGTCGACATGCCAAAGGAAGGGCTGGAGAATTTACACTGCTTTGCTAAATGCTTCCTGTTGTCTAAAGTCAGAATTCCGAAAATGCAACCTGTGTGTGTCGGACGCTGTGGCCAGAGAGAGTGACTGGACAAAGTGATGAATCAGGCAGCAGAGTTAGCTGCAGAAATACCCAATCCCCTTTCGAGCCAGTCTGTGCACCACCTATTTAGACAGCAGAGTCCACTGACAAATTAGATTTACAAAATTCTAAAGCCTGATAACAAGCTCTCTCAGTGTCCCCAGTCAGTGTCCTCAACACCCACAGCTGTGCCTGCTCCTGCTCCTGCTCCTGGATAATATTCTTTTCCAAGCCAATATATATGCATACGTTTTAGGACATTGTTTAAAGTGAAAAATTACTGAGAGGTATTCTACCGTAAGTAATCTCTGATAATAATTCAGCAAGCAAGTCATATTCTGTTTGATATAACCTGTTTGAAATGTTGAGACACAAAATAATAATTTTCACAATTAACAACTATGGATTAAGAGAAGGAAGACATAGATTACTTGTCAAATGATTCGTTGTTTACAATAAGGAAACCCAATACTTACATGAGGGTATAGACCTCTCTCAATTCGAATGGATTGTGTGTGATTAAACATCCGAAGTAGCCCGTTGCTGATAATATTCATAAGGATCGGAAAACAGTGCACTCTCTTGGTATTGCACACAACTGAAAATCTATAATCCTTCAAACGAACCAATGAAGTCAAATGTTAATTCTACATCGTCAAGGAATAAAAGTAACATGTTGAAGTTTAAAACACTAGCAATGCCACACACTAGCTTTGGCATCACCTTAACATGCCTTTCTGAGCCTTAACTTCCTTTCTGGGAAAGATGATATTAAATGGGTAGCTAGATGGTTTAATTGAGATGTTACATATTCATATCAGGATCCAGTAAGGTAGTTAGTGAGAATTTAGCATCGATTCAGTGTTACTGATTTTATATCTTTTTGTACTCATTTTCTGACCAGGGATTTTCTTCTTTGCAAAGGAGATACTGCCAGTCTTACAGTAAGCAAGCAAAGATTTCCTGAATAACAGATAAGCTAGGAGTTTATAAAATACTGCTGCCAAAGAAGCCTTTTTCACACTTTAAGAATGTTTAATGTAGTTCAAGCTTATGAAAATGTTTATGTATTCATCAAGAGATTCAATATTGTTTAAATATTTCCAATAGTCCAACCATAAATATGTTAGGAAGGAATTATAAAAATAATAAGTTGCTATGAAAATAAACATGCAAAGGAGCTACAAAACAGAATATTTTTCCACCTTTGCCACAAAGTGAACACAATTAATATAGAATTAATATATAGTATTAATATATAGAATAATGCACATTCTATATAATGAACACACAGAATATATCCTATATAAAATAAATAATATACGGATGTGTAATAGAATTAATTTCAGTAGAACTGAGTTCAATGATACACCTTGAAATAATTCTGCTTTCATTCCCATTATAGCATGAAATAAATAGGGCGCTTGGGTTTATTTGGCCCCTTACTTTCACAATACAAATAAGATTTATGGAGTCTAGGGCCGGTGTTGATGTTGTGGCGCTAGCATCTCACATAGGTGCCAATTTGAGTCTCAGCTGCTCCACTTCCAATCCAGTTCCTTGCTAATGCCATGGGAAGGCAGTGCAGGAGGGCCCAAGTTGTTGAGCCTCTACACCCACATGGGAGACCCAGAAAAAGCTCCTGGCTCCTGGCTTTGCATTGGCCCACCTCCACCCGCTGTGGCCAATGTAAAAGGAAAAAAAAATGACCTATTTAAAACAAAGTAAATGGGTCCAGTATTAACTCTGGTGGCAGAACAAGTTAAGCCACCCCCTGCAACAATGGCATTCAAAATCAGGGCATGGATTCAGGTCCCAGCCAATCTGTTTTTGATTCAGCTCCCCAACACAACATCCTGAAAGGACAGTAGATGGTGGCTCCCATCCTTGAAGGGGAGACGTGGGAGGAGCTTTAAGCTCTTAGATTTGGCTTGCTCCAACCCCAGCTGTTGTCACCATTACAGGAAATGAACCAGCAGATGGATTTTTTTTCTGTCTCTTTCTTTCACTTTGTCTTTCACATAACTAAACAAATCTTTAACAAAGTTCACGTATAAATTGTTTCATAAAAATTTATTTAAATATCACAATGTATTCAATAATGATCCAAGATAATGTCAAGTTGTCTAAATCTAGATGACTTTCTTAAGATTTTAAAACAGTTAATGTAAAGTGCTTTCTCATTTTTTTTTCTTTTGGTCAGAAAAGCAAAACTGAAGAGGCAAAACAAACCTTTTGTTTACCAGAAACTATGATAGCTCCATTGTACGAGAGTTCATAAGTGCCATTTCTGTTTTCAAAATCATCTACTTCTAAAAGTATGTTTTGATGCTTGAGTGACTGTATAAAATCTTCAATATTTGATTCTAGTATGAAATCAATGAGAAGACAGGAAAGTATATTAGATAATAAAAATAAACCCTATAGATGGTATAAAGTAAATATTTATAGCATATTTTGTGAAGGTATAATTCTTTGGGCAGCAAAATAGTAACATTGGCCAATGAAAGAGAAATAACCATCACATTTAGAAAAGCGTACACTATTTAAAATGTGTGTTTACACTGGAGATACTCAGAATCGACTTTATGATTAGACAAAACCCCAAATAAGTTAGAATTTCCTCCCAGGTAGAAAGGGACATGCACAGAGAACATAAGTTTTCCCTATAACCTGGGGAATCCACAGAGCATACAGCATTTCCACAACCAAAAGAGATAGGGAAATACAATATGCCAGCCCTCAGTCTCCAAGGCAGGTGGGGACGTTCATAATAAAAGATAAATTTTAGATATTGAGAAAATAGAAACAGAAAGACAAGAACTCCCAATGTTAAATCTCAAAATATCTGACAACTGAGTACAGGAAAGAAGAGAAATGACAGGTTGTGCGTTGTCGTCAGCTGGCGAGAAGAAGGCAGAGGAGACAGCCTCATGAGGTCAAGAAACAGCTCTGGATCTTGAAAATCAAGTGTGTAATTAGCATTGCTGTCAGTGTTGGGGTGGCAGGGCAAATATGCCTTCCAAAAACCCAGTGGAAAATAAGAACGAGAAATTGAAATGAGAAAGGAGTGTCTTTGTGTAAAGGAAAGACCTCCACAATCCTGAATCACAAATATGTGTGATAACTGAAATGGGTAAGGAACATGTGAATGGAAACTTACTGTGAAAAATGTAAAAAAAATCAGAAACACAATAGATCTGTCTTCAAAGTTTAAACAGTTCAATGACACATCAATTGAGATAACAAAATAAGGCATTTTCTTGAATCCTGCTGTATTTCTATGGAAAGTAAAAGTGGATATCCATGCCAAGTTTACATGCCAATCAGTGTATATTATATTTGTGGCACAGATTAGACTGATGTTACCTGGAAATCTCAGAGTGGGCCAGACAGTATAGAAGTTTGATTTCCTAAGGATAGCTATTTTCTGAGAGAGGTAAATGGGCAGCTTTATTTTATCATAATGTGGGTTAACCCAGGATTCCTCAGGTTTCCTCACCAAACCTATAATTCCCAAGATCAGAGAAAATACACATTGTTCTTTTTTAGTTGTTTTTTGATAAATCAAGCTTACATGTATTATTTTTTTTGTCTTACAATTTTCTTTACCCCACCACATGTACAACTCTACAATAGAAATAACTTATTTCTGTATTTAAATTATTTTGTTGTTGTTCACCTGTGTTATTGATGATCAACAAGCTGGTACGAGGGTCTTGGGGAAGTTGGCCAGGCGAAAGGAAATACAAGTCAGTTTTAAGTTCCCAATCGGTCTTGGTGTTTGTTATAGCTAAAACGATCATTTCCACAATCAAGGGGAACACTGCAATTCCCAATATCAAAAGTCTAAACAATAAAGAAAATCATCACAGGACTCTGTAACAATTCCATCTATTCAGTTTGACAGCCATAATTATGTGTTGAGTATCAAACCTGTAGTGTGCCAGTCATGATTCTAGGTGCTAAAATTCTACAAGTTTTATCTTTGTGTGCTATGGTATTATTACATTAGTATCAATTTAATAAATAATGAAAAAATGTAGAACCTACTTAGCACCATTGTATAGCTATTTCCACTGTTAGCGAAGTTAGCTTTTATCCATTCCCAGGCAGAAATCCTGGCTACCACATTCTAGATCTAATTTCTCTTCTGGTTTGAAGCTCTTTTGAAATTCATTATGTGACAAAAATCATAATGCTCTGATACTCACAGGGTTAAAAGCAGTTTCCTTCCACGTTTGAACTTTAAGAACTGGAGCCATGCTATTGCACAGATCTGCATCCTCCAGAGGCCCATGCCACTCACGGTCTTCTGCATTTCAGGAAAACAAGAGGAAGCTCCTCCCATTTCATTCAGGCTTTCTGAGTCTTTTATTTTCTGCAATTGTTCAAAATCTACACACACACACACACACACACACACGAGTTATTTTTTTCGGGGAAACTATAAATCACATTGCATAAGAAATTAACATTGAAACCAATCAGACATATCTATACAGAGATACAAATGGCTGAATAACCCAGAAAAACATCCTCAACATTGTTTTATCCATAAGTTAATACAAATAACAAACACCATGAAATATCCCTTTACAATCAGTGCAATGTCTGTTATGGAAAGAAACTGGTTGGCAACGCTGTGAAATCTAAATTCATCGTGTCTTGCTTGTGGAAATATAAAGCTCATGCCTTCTTGTGGTATCAGTTTTTTTTTTAAATATTACTAAATTTGTTTTACATTGGTTTTATTTTTACAAGTTATAGGATTTTATTTTATTTTTATCTATAGTTTTTCTTTTCATATTTACAATGACGTACTTACAATTTACTTTCTAATCACAAGCTTAATCATCTAGCAAATAAGCATCCAACAAGTATTAAGTGGAAAAATTTTTGTTTCTCAAGAGTATAATAAGGGCTGTAGACAATAATCAAATCTCGGAATTTTCTCATCTATAATACACTTTTTGTATTCTGTGTTAGCAAAAATCAGGAGAAACATATGGTTTTATTTTTATAAATTGATGCAAAAGAATTATTTAAGCAACAATTTTTAAATAAGGAAAATGTTTTAAAATGTTGGTAACTATGATGCTGAAAAAAAAAAGTAGGTTGTAGTATCTAAACTCAGTGAGGAAATATGCCAAATTTACATCAAAAGAAGATTTTGCCAAAAGAATGATTTTGTTCTGCACATACTTCTAAAAGACATGAAAGTTGCATATGCAGCAACCATATTCTGAAAGATCTCAAGGAATCTCCATTATAATATTCAATAATTAACACTTAAATGACATATATTAAGTTGTAGAGAGGAAGTATCAACAACTTACGTGGGGCAAGTATGACCAGAATCGTATGTGAATCTCACACATATTTCTTAAAAGTGGCATGATTTTAAATAACAGTTACATTTCTCTGAGATCTGATCTCTATCACTTGTAAAATGCTGTCAGGATACCTACTGGGAAGCTTTGCATGAGTAGGAACGTGAAGCATTAAGGAGATATTGAGCCAGGTGTCTGCCATGGGAGACACTCCACAGCAAAGCACTGAGGAGTCCCCACTGAGACTTGTCCGCATAAGGACCTCAGCAGAATTTTGAATACTAGCAAACTTAGAAAACATTTTGATAAGAAATATATGCTCAGACCTCACTCCTCAAATTAGATGTTTTAAAGCTGCGATGAATGTTAGAAGCTGTGAGCCTCCAGGGATAAGAGAAAACTACTGAACTAAGAATGTAATTTTGAAGAGTTTGTTAGACTCCAAAAACGGACCTATGTCCATTCCCATTAATGATGTTGGGAAAGAGTTACTGCCTATCCCAATCAACAACTCAAAATCAGCTTGAGGGGCTGGCATTGTGGCATAGTAGGTCAAGTGACCACCTGTAACGCTACCATCTCATAATGGTGCCAGTTCAAGTCCTGGTTGTGCCCCTTGGGACCTGGCTCCCTGCTAGTGGTCTGAGAAAAGCAACAGAAGATTGTGCAAGTGTTTGGGCCCTCGTGGCCCATGTGGAGACCTGGAAGAAGCTCCTGGAGCCTGGCTTTGGCCAGATCCGGTACTGGCTGTTGGGAGCTCTCTGAGGAGTAAACCAGCTGACAGAAGAGCTCGTCATCTCTCTCTCTCTCTCTCTGTAACTATGGCCTTCAAGTGAAAGAAATACTTTTTTTAAACTGGGAATTAATATTTTTAGTGTGAATCATGTATAGAAATTATGAAAACCAAACTCAATGATCATGTTTTTACCTTGTCTAACAGTGGATCTTCCTTCCAGTTTCATGAAGACTTCACTCAGACTTGGCATGGAAATATCATAACCTATTACACCTTTGCCTAAGCACTGTTCCAGATCACTGAACAGATCTAAGGCAGCAGAAAGGAATAAATATTTGAAATATGACATCAAAAATGGAACCTAGTAAATCAGCATTGTATCTATATGATGATTATTCAAGAAAACCTATGCTTTCTGAATATCAAAGTAATCAAAGAACTTCATTTCACTGACAGCACAGCAGCTTGGTCACCATTTTTCATCTGTGTCTGTCTCCCAGGGTACACTCTGTTTCACTATATCCAGAGGGCTCATCTACTATCTGGAAAAGGTGAGTATACATCATATCATCTCATACCTTGTTTAATGTCTTCAAATGGTCTCTAAATACATTTAAAACAAAAATCAAAGGGAATACCAACTTCCAAAACTCTGTAGGAGCCAGTCTCCACCTATCCACGCAACGCCATCCTCTTTCACCACTTTGCCCCCTCCTTCTCTGTCCCATAGGTATCTTATTTATCCTCTACTTGGAAAGTTTTTGACACTTTTCTTTTCATTACCTTCCCTGATTACTCTGTATCAATCATCATTCTAACTCATTCGGCCTTTATTATTTTATTGTATAACCACAGTACATTGTTTATGTGTTTGATTTTCCGCACCCAGTGGTTTACAAAACCCATGAAGTTAGGGATATATATACATATATGTATATATATATATATATACACTTTATCCACAGTAAACCCGCTTATTAAAAACTTCTGCTCAGGGTTCTTTTGCTGGTTTCAAGAGTATTTAAGCTCTTATTCAAAGTGAATCAAAGGATCAGAAAGGTAACATTCCTAGAAGCATCTACAAAGACTGATAGCAGTAAGTAACCCAACTTCCTCTCTCTGGTGGCGTAAAGCGGATCCCATTTAGCTGTTCTTTTATTTTCCTCCAGTAACGTGACACCTCAACGGCTCATGGAACTAATCTGTCCAATCAAGCAAAGGTCTCTGACTTTCTCCCCTTCTGTGGCTCGTGTATTCATGCCTTGCTGGCGCTTCTGGGGTTGACTGCCAAATGAATGAAGTACACTCAAGTCTTCACCTCAAGTTCTGCTTCTTAAGCAACCCAACATCAGAAAAAAAGTACAAATCCATTATAAAATTAATGTTTTAATAATGTGAGCATTTACCTCCAAGTTTCATCCCATCATAATCATATTTCATTTACCTGGAAGTTTATTTGTCTTTTCCAAGGGCAAAGTATATACCAGCTTTTCTTTGTTTTCGGTTTTCAATTTTGCATCAGGAATGTGATGATTAATGAGCAATATTATTTGTTCAGGATCACATATTTCATTTTTTTGCAAACTAATATTTCAAAGAAAACACAAATAATTTCTATTTTTCACTGCTACCATGAAAGGAAAGCTTTTATAGAACATTTGTTCTTTGAGTACCACCTTATTGAGCTTTATGAAGCAGACAAAATTAACAATAATAAAAACATATAGTTTGTAAGTTTTATGACACATACATAGAAGCTGTATAAATTTAGAATAACTAAGAGTACATAAACAATGTGCAATATAATTTTGTACCAAGTATGAAGATAAACAGAGATGTAAGAAAATTTACAGTAGAGGCCTCTTAACATAATTGCTAAACTAGATGAGGTAACTGTCAGAAATGGACTATGAATCGGGACATTTCATCCTCATCCATATTTAGTTCAGCCATAGCTTTTAACTTAGACATATACGTTCTTATTATACAGAGTTCTCACTACTCTGTGTTACCTGATTTACCCCCTAGCTGCATTAGCTTTTGAATTCATTTGCCTTTGTTCTCTACTAAAAAAGCAAAACATATTGTTACAGGATTATATAAGTTAACAGGAAAATAGAGTAGGAAGAAGGTACAGGTTTAAGCTGCACAGAACTGCTGCCTAGAAAAGCGGCACATGAAGTAATCTGTGAACAGTCAATTTATAATGTTGAAATTTCACCCCATGTCAACATCAGGAATGATTGAAGGAGGTCAGAAAGTAGGAAGAGCATTGGAAAAACACCTGGGAACTCAGGAAAGCAGAGATGATGCATGAGACCACTTCTGCTTCCGCTTCACCAGTGTTGCAAATATCTTTTACAGATTAAAGATTACATATGGGATATCTTAGAGTATACATAAATACATATCTTTACCCAAAGTCTTTACCTTAAGTGATATCCAAGACCCCATTTTCTCTTCAAAAAGACAGAAGAACCTGAACACTTTAATTCCCCGTTTGACATGATCATTTTTCTATCTAAGAGGCAAGTGAAAAAAGATTATTAGGAGTAGTTTATTCTCTCCAGAAAACAAGGATGAGGAACTAACAATTAGCACTTCAGAGACATGATACATGGGGCATAGAACTGAACATTTCCAATTCTGAAACATATTCAGAGTGACACAGTCAGACCTCACTGGTACAGCAGTGGCTAAATCCCTGCCTTGTATCTGCTGGAATCATGTAAGGATGCTGGCTCATGTTCTGGCTCCTTCACTTCCCATCCAGCACCCTGCCTGTAGCCTGGGAAAGCAGTAGAGGATGACTGAAAGCCTTGGGACCCTGCACCCACATGGAAGACCCAGAGAAGCTCCGGCCGTTGTGCCTGCTTGGAGGGAGCCAGCAGATGCAGTATCTTTCTCTCTGTATCTCCCCTCTGTAGATCTGCCTTTCCAATTAAAAGATAAAGTGAAATAAATCCCCTTTAAAAAAGTGATATGCTTAAAATGAACTCATGAGCATCAACATCTATTTTAGCAATCTTCGGGACTTCCTAAAAATTAATCACACAAGTGTGTTCTCTGCTCTGGTTGCTAGAATGAGTGGTTGTTTTTCAATGAAATGTCTACTAGCCATGATCTTCCTGTTTAAAACGTAACGACTGCTAATCTAAAATAAATCATTTTTAGTAGCAGTCCCATGAGGGACCAGTGAGGGATTCTATGGTGGGGGTTGACTTCTGGCATATCAGGCTGCCAGGGAAGGTAGACATTACTGATATGATGGCACTAGGCATACTGATCTGGTTATTGCCACTTTTTTTTTTTCACTTTAACACTGAGATAAACCAAGCGATTACCAGCCAGGAGGTCAGCCTCTTCCATGAGGTGGGTACTGAAGACAATCACATGGTCTTCTCTGCGCTCCCTCAGGAGGCTCCACACGCGATGTCTTGAGAAAGGGTCCAGTTCAGCAGTTGGCTCATCCAAGAGCAACACCTGCAGAGGATGGAGACACAGAAACTGTACCTTGTGAATGTTAACCAGTTCCACATGAACGCACTGGAAAGAATAGAACTGGAGAAAATAATTGTATTTACATAACTGTCTGTCTTTAACACACATGCACAGTTTCAATATGGTAAGCTTTGTCTTTTTTAAAAAAATTACTTTGTTTGCACAAGGTGAACACATTTCACGTATTTCACAATATAGTAGTTATACTTTCCATCCTGCCTACTGTCTTCCTATGTTTCCCAGCTACCCCTTCTTTGTCATTTTTTAAAATGTTTATAATGGCATATTTTCAGTTCATGTCACAATTACAGGCTTAATAATCTGTAAGATAAAGAATTCAATGAATATCAAGCAGAAAAAAAAAATCCCCATTGATCTTCAGGATTGCAAAGATTGCCAAACGTAATCAAATTTTAAAATGAAACTTTCTCTCCTTTTGGATTATATTTTTGTGCTCTGCATATTTGTTATTATGCATTAGGGAAAACACATTTTGGAGTTTTTTTGCAGGGGGAGGGCAGGCAGAAGAGGGACCAGCTTATTTCACTAAGCATAGTGATTTCTAGTTGCATCCATTTTGTTGTATCGTTTTATGGTAGAATTGTATTGCATGGGGTACACAGAAGCACATTTTATCTATCCAGTCACCGGTTGGTAGACAGCTGAAATGATTCCATATCTTAGTGGATTGAGCCATTACCAACACGGACATACAGATGACTCTCTTGTATGCTGCTTTCATTTTGTTAGGTTAAATTCCCAGGAGTGGGATGCTGGGTCTATCTGGTAGACGTATTTTCAGATTTCTGAGGAATCTCTTTACTGTCCCCTATCACGGTAGCAGTAGATTAGGACATCTGCTTTCCTCACGCCCTTGCCAACATACACTGTTTTCAGATTTATGAATGGTAGCTTCTCACTGGAGTGATACATTCCCTCACCGTGGCCTTTATTTGCATTTCCTTGGTGGCTAATGATGCTGAGCATCTTTTCATATGTCTTTTGGCCATTTGCATTCCATCTTTTGAAAACATTTATGTACTTTGCCCATATCTTAATTGGATTGTTTGTTTTATTGTTGGCGAGTTTCTGGAGCCCTTTACAGATTCCAGATATTAATCCTATATAGCTGTATAGCTGGCAAATATTTTCTGCCATTTTGTTGGTTGCCTCTTCACTTCATCAAGGGTTTTCTTGGCAGTGCAGGAACTTCTTAGGTTACAGAAATCCATTTGTCTATTTTTGTTTCAACCACCTGTGCTTCTGGGCTCTTTTCCCAGAAGTTTCTGCCAATGCCAACCTCTTGCGTTGTCCCCGACAATGTTTTCCTCTGCTAAGTTGATGGTGTCAGGCCTTACTTTTGGGTCTTTGAGTTTATCTTTGCTTAATGTGTAAGGTGCTTCTGCATGTGTTGATGTTTTAAGGATTTTCAATCTTCTTTCCTCCCTCTACATAATCTCACTTACTTGAGGATCTCCTAAGATGGCAATGCCAAGAGTCAGGATTCTTTTCTGACCTTCGTTCAAATGTTTAGCAAGGTTATCTTGAACGTCTTGCAAGTCCAATTCCAATAAAATTTGTCGCACCTATATGAGAAAATATGCAAAGCTTAAAATTCAAAATGACTCATTTTATGTAATTTTATCTTTCAGGAAAGCAATAGATTTATTTATAGGAAGGGTCCTCTTTCCTAAATTTTATTCTTAACAGGGGATTCTGTGGTTATGATTTTAAACACGGTTGGTTACACAGATAATCCAAGCATGCCCATCTACCTCTCGTTCCACCTCCTGTGGGTGAATCCCTTTTATGTGAGCAAACAGGCTGAGGTTTTCCTTCACTGTGAGCATGTCAAAGTGAACATTGAATTGAGGGCAAATACCAGTTTTCTTCCTTACTTCCTCCAGGTCTTGCTTTTCAGAGAGATTTTTATTATATATGGTAACTGATCCTAAGAGGAAAAAAATAATTCAGTGATGATGAAATAAGAGGTTAAAGAAACATTCAAGAAATATTCAAGAAACATTGCTATATATTCAAAAATATCTAAGATGATTTGATTTCTTATTAATACTATTCTTTTTAAAAATTATCTATTTGTTTAACTGAAAGGCAAAGCAAAAGTTACAAAGGGCAGGAAAGAGGAAGAAGGAGCAAGAAAAGAAGGGAGAGGGACAGAAAAGAAAGGAAGAATTTTCCATCCACTGGTTCACTCCCTCTTTCTCTCCCCTTCCTGCCCTGTGTAACTTAGAGAGAGGCTTGCATACAACTCTATTTTCCAATATCTTGTCTTATTACTCACCTCGTGTTGGAACAGATAGCCCGTTAAGGATATTCAGCAATGACGATTTGCCAGATCCACTGTGACCCAGAACTGCAGTTATTTGACCCTCATATATGTCAAAGAACAAGCCTAGTTGTAGAATAAAATATTCATGTATAAACAGGAGACAATTAGACAAGAGGACCTTAACACAGAACAAGGTAATTAAGTTGGGTAGCACATGTCTTAATAACTTCAGTCCTTTAAACTACATTGTATCCAATATTTTCCCAATTGTCAAAGTAATAAATTAGAGAACTGAAATATTACCAACAGAATGACATGAATGAAATACACACAATAAACGACAAAATATGTTACTGGCTAAGGACACAGGGACTAATGAAAAGGAATAAAAATCTTACATGGAACAAATATATAAAATAGTGTTTGTTTATCTGAATAAACAGTGAAACCACATTTTCATATTATGATACCATTATTTGGATATTAACAGACTCATAAAATATCTGGAATTTGTATGATATTAACACTGCACAACAGATACTCAAACACAATTATATAAAAGCAATAAATTCTAGTGTTCTGCAGTACAGAGGGGTTAATATAGTTTAAAAACACATAAATTTTATATGCAAACGGAAGACAGGAGTTTGGAGTCTCCATATATAAGTTAACAGCCAGACAGGGTAATGTTAATTACAATGAACTGATCAGTACTTGATATGTTCTCATTGAAATATCACACTCTACCCCACGAACATGTTCAAACGTTGAGTGCTAATCAAAAACATTTGTGGCTTTTAGGAGATGGAAATGTTAACTTATCTGATTTAATCTTCACCTATTCACTATACATATTAAATGATCACACTGTAGCTCATAAACATGAGCAATTGAAATAATAAATGAATAAAGTCAATACAATTATTTCCTTGACATTCTAGTTTTTAAAATTCTTAATTGTGATTAATTGTAAGATTATCAAGTTAAATTGCTTGTATTGTACTTTTTCATTGTTTATGCTTTCAAAGTTTTCATATTTAAAACTTTGAAATCTTTTTCTTTACCTTTTAATGCTTCCACTTTTCCAGATTTTCCATTATATTCCTTTTGAACATTTCTGAGTCTGAAATAATACAAGGGGTGTTTACTTAACCAACACGACAGCTAAAATAGCACAGATAATGAACACTTGTTATGATGACAGCTTCAAAGAGGCTGTTGACACTTCAAGAAGCCTAGTTATTTTCTATGATTACAAGAGTAGCATTAGGAGCTAAAATCTCTGACTGCAAGTTTCTTAAATATTCTACTATACCGTACAAGAACAAACTATAGAAGGAGATTAAAAGGACAAGTACAAAATAGAGGTGGGAGACAAGAGATTGTCATGGAAACAGACAAATGGAACATTAAAAGATAACATTAGATGGGGGTAACCAAAGAACATTTTCCTTTCTAGCAGCAGTGAAAAAAAAAAAAAACAAAAAACAAAACTGGTGATGGTAACAGTGAAACAGTTCAGTTACATCAACAAAGCAAGTTTTTCTTTTTCCCTTTAACAGGTTTACCCCATGCTGTTGGTTAATAATTCCTCAGCCTTGCACTCATACTCAAATATAACTGCCAATGTGACTACCTGATGGCTTCCCTTCCTTGGAACTCAGCAGCTACTGGCTCAAAGCAATCATCAGATGGATGCTCAGGATCTATTTCTTTCTCAGTGTCCTTGCTATCAATCCTTCGGTGTTGGAAATGAGACGACGACTTCAGGCAAAATAATGGAGACTGACGTTGGTCATTTTCATCTAACCAAGAGGCAACAGAGCAACAGATGAGCAGTAGTCATACAAAGAGTAAAGAGGTATTGCTCAGAATAACACAAAATGTCTTGAATGTTTAAATATCATAAAACTCTAATTGCTATCAGTAAGAAAAACTTAATAATAAACAATGAAAACTGAAATAATTAACACATTGTAAAAGTTAAAAATGTAATAGAGCTTCCAACAAGGTTTTAATGAAACATGACCTAGAAAATATTAAAAAGAATGAATAAGTGAGAAAATGAAAAAAATTAAATGATACATAAAAATAATTACATATAAATTGGTAGACCTAAACAGCTACATCATAGGACTACAATGTAAAATAATACTGAAATACATATATTCACCAGCAAGTACATAAATGAAAAATGCATGGAAAAAAATCTATCAATTCAGGACAAGAAATGGCCAAAATTTTTATTTCTCCATATTTTAAAAATTAGTACATGTTATTAAAAACCTTCAAATACAAAGCAGAAATGCTAGAAATGTAGGAACACATAAACACACTTATATATAAATATTCATTAAATATATTTTATATTACATATAAATTGCATATTAGTACATATTTACATAGAAACATATTCTAAAGTACCAAGAGGAAAAATATTCAAAGTAAAAGGATGTATAATTTTACAAAGAAAGAAAGAATACTGAGTCCAATATCTATGAAGGAAGTAGACTTGTGAGTAATTTCGGGCTGTTTGCAAGAAAAAGAACACATAAGTAATTAATACACTGTCATTGCAAAAAAATGTTAAATTCTTGAAAATAATACTGAACAAATATTTACTAGAAAGCAGTTTCATAGAACAATGTTTCAACCATTATAGGAAATAATTTATGTTAGCTTATTTTAACACAAATTCCAAATAGTACTCAACTGAATATTTTTCAGAATATTTGAAAATCAACATTATTTAATCATGTTATAATCCATATTGTAATTGATATGATCCATAATTATCAAACATTTAGAATCATTATTTTATATGCAAATTCCTTCAGATCCTTGAAAGTATGAAGCAGACATGAATAATTTATTTAGTGAAGATAAAAGTGTTTACTCTTCATTTATTAACGAAAAATCCAGTTCTACTCACAGGGTAAGATTTTGTCCAAGTATAATGCCAATATCGAGTAGATAAGACCATCAAAAGCCAATAGGAAAAAAGTTGCTATCATTTTATATGAATCTCCTGAAGGATCAGGAAAAATTACACCATTCATGTTAAATTCTAGTTGGACAATCTAAAAATCAAAGAAAAATAGTTATAAGGGTTAAATTAAAACAACTTAGAATAGCACCAACAATGATTAGGCTTTTTTATATAGGTTTCCCGCGACCCGCGCCCAAGACTCTAAAAGATTGTGCAAATGAAATTATAAGGTAAGTGATTTTGGTGCAAAAATATAAATTCTATACGTAGTTTTTACATAGTATACATTTTCCATTAACTGCACTTAAATTTTTATACAAAATACATTCGTTTTTAATCTGCTTTCCAAAATTTTTTTAAAATATCAAATATTGATAAGGACACAAAGCTATTAGTCAAAATATTTATTTTTTAGTAATGAAAGGAGCTAAAAGAAAATGATAGTTATAAGCAAACAGTATTTAGGGACGAGTGTTGTCAAGCCACCTGTGAAGTATCTGACGAGGCTGTGCTCATCAGTCCTGAGTCTGTTTCTGATCCAGCTTCCTGCTAACATGCCTCAGAGGCAGCAGAGGACCCAGGCACCTAAGCCTCTGCCCCCAGGGCGAGAGATCCAGCTGCAATTCCTGGCTGGGGCTTCATCCTGCCCCAGCCCTGGCTGCTATAGGCATTTGTGGAGTCAACCACAGATTTTTCGATAACATGTTCTGAATAATATCAGATAAATAAAGTAGAAAATACCAAAACCAAAAAGCGATCATTAAAAGCACAGAACTGATTATCCTAAGATTTTTATTTGGCAACACTCTATTCATGGATTCAAGGATGATGAAACAGAGACACAGCCACAGTCCTTTTTTGAAAATGAGCTGAACCCCCACCAGGGACTTCTGTCCCTATTTTCCAGAAACCAGTCAAACCCACTCCTTGACTTGCTCTCCACTGGACCCTCCTGCGCTGCTTTCTAACTACGTGGCTGCAGAAAAGAAGCCCCACTGAGTCTGAACAGCCAGGGAAGAGTTAGCTCAGCCCTGTCCCAGGTTCTGTCCCTTACTGTACAGGCAGACTCAGCTGGTAACTACAGCTGGGTGCTGCTGCGTGCTTGCTCCACTGGCATCTGTCTGCCTTTGTGAATTTTTCTCTGCTATGTTCTGCACCTCCTTCCTAACAAATGGATATTATAAGCACTTGGTAATATGTAAATTTATGTTTTGAGTTATAGTTTATAAACTAAAATATTTTAAAATAGGTTTCTATAGTAATTTTAATAAACTTATGGAATGATTTCAATTGAAGTGAAAAGAAAGATAAATACTTGTGTATAGAAAAACCAAGAAAAAATCTTTCATAGAAATATATCTGAGAATTGGGAATCTGATCAAGTTTTTTTTAACTATTTCAATTTTTTAAGTTAATATTTATTAAAATATCTTAAATTATTTAGTATTCTTTCATTTTCACATCAGTTAATTTTTCTACAATGTGGTGGTAACTTTTTCAAGTTTAACCTTAGAATACAAAGAATTCCTTAGGAATAAAAGATCTTAGTTTGAAAATGGAATTGATTCTGACGGATCACAAAATATCAAGTTCTTTTGAATGTTAATGAATCAATTAACCATACTCTTACCTGACTCATTCCAGCAGTGAAGGCAAAGGGGCTGCAAATACTCAAAATCCACTCCACAGATGACGGAAGCTGTTTATAATACACAGCGAATCCCACACAGCCCCAAAAGAAGGTAAGGAGGAACTCCACTAAATTGGTGAGGGCGGCTTTCTTTAACAATACACTCAGCAGGAATGTTAATGCCACCTGCAAGAGACAAGTTGTTTCTGTGATATATATTTCTGGGTCATCACTGAGAGTACAACAAAAGGCAGGTGTTTGTTATGACATAAATACACATATTTGTTAGTGAATTACTGATGTTAAATTATAATTATTCTGCCCTCCTCTCAAAGAGGATCCTTTGCCCCATTCAAATGCCAGACCTTTTCTTCTGGAGGAATGAACGTAAAAATCTGAAAGAGGAGTGGACGGGGTGGGAATGTAGACTTGGAAAACTGAATGAACTTACCCTGATGTCCTAAGCACGTACCTCCATACACCTTCTGCACAAAACATCCAGAAAGATGAAACAAACTCAAGGCCATCGATCAGAAAAGGAAAGGGGGGTGCATCAGAAGAAAGCAGAATATTGGAAAAAGAGCTATTGTGATTGGCTAGCACCTGGTAGGTCCCCTTTGAGGAAGATGACAGGTCTGTCCCTCAATATCAATGTTAATAATCTAAGTCTTCGATAGTTTTTTTTTAAAGATTTATTTTTATTATTTTTGTATTGGAAAGTCGGATATACAGAGAGGAGAGACAGAGAGGAAGATCTTCCGTCCAATGGTTCACTCCCCAAGTGAGTGCAACGGGCCGATGCTATGCGGATCCAAAGCCAGGAGCCTCTTCCAGGTCTCCCACGCAGGTGCAGGGTCCCAAAGCTTTGGGCTGTCCTCGACTGCTTTCCCGGGCCACAGGGAGCTGGAAGGGAAGCGGGGCTGCCGGGATAGAACCGGCGCCCATATGGGATCCCGGGGGTGCAAGGCGAGGACCTTAACCACTGTGCCACTGCACTGGGCCCCTAGTCTTTGATAGTTTTAACCCAAGAAAATTTTTCTTTTTAATAAGCCAGCTCATTAATCCAGACCCTTATGCCAAAGAGAGGCCCAATTTTACTTGGGCTGACTCATTTTCTCATGCCCACATATATTTTCTCAAACAAACACACACAAAAAATACACAGGCACATGTGAGTGTAGGAACATTGTGGGTTATTAATAATTGCTGCATATAGCAATGATCTAAAGCCAAGAAAATGATAATAAAGAAATGAACTTACCAAAGATAAGCCATATAAGAAGAAGAGTGTGAATATGACTACAAAGCCAGTCATGACTACTATTTGGGTGGATGTTATAATAATTGCAATGATTATGGAACCAAGAAAGATGAAGCCAGCATAAACTAAACCCCAAGAGAGCCTAAACAAAGACAAAAGTTAGTTAACTTGAGCATGAAACATATAAAATATACAAACCATCTAAAGAATAATAACATAATTATTATTCTATATCTGTCACCTAGATTAAAAGCTTAGTATGAATACTATAGAACAGGTTCACTTCAAACCTCTTTCCTGATGACAGTTCTTTTGTCTGTTAAGGTGAGCACTTTTCAAAATACACTGCTTATAATTCTGAAGTGTTTTGAATGCCTTAACTACAGATAACCATGGAGATGATAACAGACACTGGTATAGACACCAACTAATAGGATAAAATGCCACAAGCCGACTCTACAATAGCATGGTAACCTACACAGTGCACCAAGGCTTACATCATCACCTCTGTGTCCATGGACTATACAAACAAGCTTCTCATTTCATATGTAAAACTGTATTGCATCTGTCACTTAATGGGGGTAGCTAAGGTCACAAAACAGATGAATAACTAAACAACGATAAAGCTCCAGGTGCTGTCACTGTCTAGGGCTCTTCCCACTACTTAAAATTTCTGATTAAATTAGAATTGAATGGCTGAAGAATATAACCAAAGTATTAAAACCAGGACCTTGTATCAATATAACCTAGTAGAACATTTTTATGCTCAGCTTATTGGTTATATGATTTGTTCGTAAATTTCATGTCGCTGCCATGATTCAGCATCATTTAGAAACATCAGCTTTTTTGAAAAAGCACACTGTGGTCTGAAGAATCCACTTCCAATCATGAAAGGGAACTATTTCAGGTCAAAATGGGAAAGTCAACATACAGAACAATCATGAATGAGAGACTTAAAGTGGTACTCAGAAGAAGGGACCAGTCTAAGGGGCAAGCTGGGAGAAAATGTTCATAAACTTTGAAAAACCCATTTACTTTTATTGTTCTTTTGCTAAAAGCAAAACAATTTATTTATCACACTTTACTGAGTATTTTGCGGGATGGCTGTATGACACACTGGTTCAGTTGTGTTTGGGATGGTTGCACCTCAGATCGTACTAGTCCCTGGGATTAAGTCACACTTCCAATTCCAATCCAGCTTCTTGCCGATATGCAGATATGTGCGCCCCTGTCTCCTGTGTAAGTCTAGATTGAATTCCAGGCTCTTGTCTTCTAACTGGCCCACTTATATACATACTAAATACACATACTGGTTATATACACACTAAAAATCACTTTCCTTGTAAATAAATCCACATATTAATGCCCAATCATTTTAATTGAGTTACTTAGTTGTTTTGTTTTGTTTTTTTTCTGAGAGACTGAGAGCAAGTAAGCTTTCTTTTGCTAGTTCATTCCCTCAAATGACTGCCATAGCCAGCTGGAGTTGGACTAGGCTTGGACCTGGAGCCAGGAACTGCAACAGGTCTGACACAGGGGTGACTGGGATCCAGAAAGAGGCCGTCCTTGCACCCCAGGTTCTGTGCTAGCATGAAGCTGGAATGAGAAGACTGCACTGGAATCCAACACAGGTCCTCTGGTCCGGATCGTGAGGGTCCAAGCGGTGTCCTCACTGCTTGGCCTGCCTCATCTTCATTTTAATATAGAATTTAATCATGTCTTTCTGGTTCTAGTTACCCAGGCATCCAGTCCCACAAGATACATCCTGGACTGAAAGACCCTGTTTTACAGGGTCTCCTTCTCTCTTCCCTTCTAACAAACCGCACGAGTGTCTGTCAGTACACCTTTTTGTATTTTCCAAAGTTTCTGTGCAAAAATACTCCTCTCCTCCCTTCTTAAAGGCATGTTTTCTGGTTTTCTATTTCATAGTTAACATCTCCTAGATCACAATTTTATTTCAGAGAGCATGTGGCTTGCAAAGGATTTGCCAATCAATGATCTCCTGATTCAGTTTTGGTAGTTCTGATCCACAAGATGTTTTTGGGAAACAGAGAATGTACAGAGTACTCTGTGTGATCTGACATCCAAAAGGGTTGCGTTGCTTTTGGGGCAAGAGAAAAAGGTTGCTTTTTCCTTTCGTCCTTTTCCTATGGTTTTTGTCACTGAAAGTATTGCACAAGTCCCTGCTGGGCCTCTGAGAAATTTACCGCTTGCACAATTTACATTCCTGTCTACCAAACTCATTTACTTGTTATTGGCTAACGTTTTGCACTTCTGGGATATTTCTTTTTGTGATGTAAATATATAGATTTTCAAATGTGTACATAAAGAATATGAGTGGGTATATATATATGCATATATATACATATAAATTATGATGGAATGGGGTGAGATATACATCGAGGCATAAAGCAGTTGTTTCTCTTAAGACTTCATGATAGGTCAGCCTATATGCTATGTTTTGGGCACTTTCTAAAGACTATCTCATTTCATTCCAACATACAGTATTTAGTTGCTCCAAATATATGTACCTGGTGACCAAAACTCTAAACGCTAATTAGCAGCTTTTAAAGATGGTAACAAAAAATCTTCAAAAAGTTCATGGTAATGTTCATTAAGAATGAAATATCTGATTTTCATTTTTTGTATCAAATTAAACTTATTTCTGTTTTCCCATGAGCTTTTGAAGCCCCTCGTGCTTTTTAAATATGGGAGATGGGGGTGGGATCTGCAGGAGGCATTTACGCTGGGCACCTAGCTGGCAACTTTTAGCTTTGACATTCACTGTTTCTGTGGCATTGGATAAGACTCTTAGTCTCTTTGACTTCCATTTATCTTGTTTACAGATTGGAGAGCACTTTCCTGAAGTGGTAGCTTAAAAACATTCAGGACACAGGAAAAGTGCTCAGCACATTATAATCACACCATATTTTTCATGCCCCAATTTAAGAAAGACTAAATAAAAATGCTAAGACAAAAGAAATAAACAGTGTATCAAGTTTAAAACCACGATGTTCAGAACCAGTAACTTTTCCCTCCTTGCTGATTTTCCTGTTTACTGGTTTGCACTACTTGATTTCTTGACTCACCAGAAGGCTGAATCTTGAAGACCCATCATTTTCATCAAATCTTTATACTTTTTTCTCTCTCTTGTAATGTTGATTGTTAGAAAATATATAAATGGGGAAAAATACAGCAAGCTGAAGAAAATAAACAACTCATTTTGAAACACATCTTTAGAAATGAAAGGTGACGTCTTCATATTTGTGGCAGTAACTGACATCAACTCGTCCACCACAGGGTGATCTGTTGTGATCTGGAAAGGGTTGAAACAAACATGATAATTATTTAAAGAGTGAGCATTGAGGGAAATCCGATCAGGTTCTATGATTTGCATTCATTGCAGTTTCCTGACTTTAATATTGTATTGTAGTTATTCAGGATGTTATCAATGGGGAAAACTGAGTAGAAGGTACACAGAATTCCCCCCCTGTATGCTGTTTTTGTAATTGTCATGAACAACGCTTCATTTGTCTAAATATTCGATTCATTATAAAAATGTGAAAGCCTGAGTAGTTATCATTGCTATGGTTTGCTTTATACCCTCTGGAATTCATGCTGACACACAGTCCCCGTTGTGGTAGTATTACAAGTGGGGCCCTCTGGGAAGTGCAGAAGTGATGGTATTAGGGAATTCTAAAAGGACAGCAGGGAAGTGGCTGAGATATTGTTTGTCCCTCCACCCTTCATGCATACTCATGGCACATGTGACATCGGGGGGGAACTGGTCTCCACCAAGCTCCCAATTACAGAGAACTCCATACTCCATCCCACCCTCCAGAACTGGGAAACAGGCTTTCATTCTTTGCAAATAACCCCGTTTCTGATATTTTGTGATAGTAGCACAAACAGACTGAGATAATCATCTTTCATCAAAAGCTTGATGTTTGTCAAGTTAGCTCGTCTTAATTATTAGGTCTTGCAGACTTACTTCTATAATAGCAGCATTCAAGACAGTTTGCAAAGTCACAAATCCTCTAGTCCAATAAGTGATCAAGGAGCATGAAGTCTCTGAATACCCACTCCAGCAATGACCTGTGAACACACACAAACATAACAGCATGAAAGCCATGGGAGAATATGGATCAGAACCCAAGAGAAACCATCTAGAGGCTATTCTACCAGGTGTTACTTTGGGCCATGTAGAAATAGGAAGCAGAGGCCAAGCCACTGTTGGGGATGCCCACATCCCATTTAGGAATGTCAGTTTGAGTGCTTGTAGCTCTGCTTCCCATCTGGCATCCTGTCAATGCACCTTGGGTTGGGGAAGATGATGGCTCAAGTGCTTGGGCCTTTACTCCCAAATCAGGAGACAAATGGGGCCTCCAGCTACTGGCTTCAATCTGGCCCAGCTCCGGATCTTGTGGGTATTTGGTGAGCCCTGCAATGGATAAAATATTTCTGTTTCTTTCTCTTTTCTTTCATATGTGTGTGTTTGTAAGGATGGCCGCATCTTTAACATAGATGAGAATAAACGTTACAAAATGGAAGTTCTCCATAAGGTAGTTTTATCTGTGCAGACCGGAACAGGTGTAGAAAATCTTAGAAAACAAAAAAGGAGAGGAAAGCTAAACCTTTGCTGTGCCCATCCTGGACTCCATTCTGTGCCTCAAAATTCCCAGCATCTCAGTTCCAGAGCATCTTTAGGCTCAAATGCAAGTGGGTTTCTGATTTCTTTACAAAAGGTTTACCAGGCCACCATATATGAAATGTCTGAAATAACCCTTGCAGTCTTCATTCCCAAAGTTTATTTTATTTGCTGACTATACTGTTTACACCCTTCCTTGCCCCTGCCTGAAATGACTTCTGCAGGCAGGATCTATGTTTTCTTCATTTTAACCACAAGACAACTAACAAGTGTAGCTAGCACACTGTGGTGAGCTGATGAAACCAAACAAGGAATTCTATTGTTCACATCAATTTTACTTATCCAAGTGGCTTCCAAATCATTTGTCTCAATTTCTTTCAGCTGCCTCCACTATGGTTTAAGCCACTATCTGTTCATGAAAATATTTCATTGTGTTTTCCCTGCCTGATTTTTTGCAATCCATTCCCTGGGGCTATCCCAGAAACACCACCTTAAATTTGGAAAACTAATCACATCTTTTCCCTGATCAGAGTGCCTCTGTAGCTATACCTTGGTCTAGAATTGTCAGATGCTACAGGATCTATTCTTGAGAATTCCACATTCATCTCTTTTTTAAAAAGGTTTATTTATTTTTATTGAAAGGCAGATATACAGAGAGAGGAAGATCTTCCGTCTGGTGGTTCACTCCCCAAGTGACTGCAATGGCTGGAGCTAAGCCAATCCCACATCCATCTCTTATATTCTTTTTGATAGTCTTTGTTTCCCAATCTACCAATATCCCATTTCACTTCAGGAACTTTACGAACACCTTTCTTTAATACTACGCCTCTATCATCTTATTCCTGTGGATATTTTAAAAATCCCTGTTTGTGAAACACATATTGAAAGAAAAATGGGGAAAGAGGAAGGTATGGAGAGGGAGAAAGAGATTGTTTATTTATCATTTAACTTCTCAAATGGTCCAAGTTCAGGTCCAAGCTGGGCCAGGCCAAAGGCAGGAGTAGAAAAGTCTACCTTTGTCTTCCACCTGGGTGGCAGAGGCTTAAGCATCTGGGACATCTTCTGCTTCCTTCCCAGAGACATTGTTAGAAAGTTGGATCAAAATCAGATAAATCAGGACTCAGATTAATGCTCTCACATTTGATGCCAACACCCCAAGTGGTGATTTAAACCCCTTTGCCACATGCTGGCCTCTTCTTGTGATCTTCAACATCGCTCTGCCAGGTAGGACTGCTCTAATCCCAGCTGATCAGAATCCTCTGGTCCAAGCACCATTCCTTGTGCTTGTCATATTCTGTTCACTGAATATCCTTCCTGATAAAAAGCAACCTTACCTGATTCCTTTTTAACCTGTCTGTACTGATTCCTCCTGTATCGTTAAAGCATTCGTTGGTGAGCTCAGTGGATATGTAATGGAATACTCTACGCTGTTTTGAGGGTCATCGTCTAATGGAAAGGTATGCTTGACCTCAGAACAAATTCATCAATAAAATGCTGTTCTCTGTCTTCTCACGTGCTACTGAAACTTTCTCTGCTGTTCCCCCTACCTGCTCCTTAGGAAGACATGAAAAATGCCATTGTAAGAACTTATATGAAAAATCACCTGCAAAATCTTCTTCTTTCACAAATGGAACATGATATCCATGTAAAAATTTTAACTTGTAAGAGAAGGTGTCATTAAAGACAATTCCCACAGCATTTGGGATGTTTTCTTGAAGCATAGTATCCATATGTTTTTCATTTAGTGCCTCAGCGACGCTTACTCCTATGAATTAAAGGTAAAGACATAGTAATGAGCGTGACTAGATGTGATGCCCAACTGCATCATTGTATATTCTTATCAGACTTAAATAAGCTTTTCATCTGAACTATAAATCTTAACTATTGTATTCCTATGTTAAAGCATACACTCACGAATACCTATATTCCCACTATACAGAAATCTGTAAGTTTGAAAGTATAAATAATTTTACAGCTATGTTCCAACAGAAACATGGTCCCACATTGGTTATGCAGTGGCATATTTTTTTGACTCCATGGTGCTATAAATTTTTTGTTTCAACTTCATACCTGTTGTTGACTTTGCTTTGTAGCTTCTCATTTCAGGGTATATAGTGATGGCATAATAGACTACCATATCCAGATGTGAAGATACAATGCAGTATGCACCTGTGCTTTCAAATCAAAGATGGACCCTCTGTGAAACTGTTGGGTACATCTAGATAATGGGATGCTGGGCTGTCTGACAGGGTCTGTACCAGCATTGTCGGGGCACACTAATGGACTTATGACTGCTTATGAATGACTGTACTATTGTAATAATTTGGGGAAAATCAGTAGAGGTGTGGGAATTTAGGGAGGGAATGGGGGAAATCCCAGACCCTTTGGAATTGTGCCATAAAATTTAAAAATTAAAAAAAAAACTAAACCTTAAGAAAAAAAAAAGAAAGAAAGAAACACAGTGCCTACTAAGCTGGAACCGCTTAAAGCTTTAAGTTTTTACAAGCCTAGTTTAATGAAAACAAGAAAAACACCAGGCAAGCTTTTTTTTTAAATCTTCTTGATACTTAACTTGATAGCATAATGTGTTATTATAACTTCAAGTTAACCTATATGCATTTTACAACAAAGATATAACTAATATTAAGTCTTCTTACCATCAGCGTACCTACCTTTCAAATAGGGAGAAAACTCTGTTTTATTCATGATCTGCTGAGTCATATTAGAGACTGGAGTATAAAAAATCTTTAGAGAAGAGCTATTAAATTTATCGACCCTTCCAAGATTCTGAGGAGGTGTTTCAGGAACCCGATTATTTTCTTTGAAATATGAAAATACACCCATATACAGTCCAATCAGTATTGCAACACCCAATTCCTATAACCCAGAAGAAAGAAATGGTTTAGATTATATTCTCTTTATGAATTAACATCAAGACCTGTTGAAGATAAATTCTAAACTTGATAAACAGTCAGCTCTCCACTATTCAGAACAAGCAGAATGCACAGGAGGATCAATACTGAGGTTTAGTTACTCATATCATTCTCCAGTTCTAGAGTTACATTGATTAGGGCATGAGCTACTGCAGAAGCCAGCATCCACATTACAAAAGTATTGTAGATAGTGAAATAGTAATTTTTTTTTGTCAATTTTCATTCCCTTGTATTAAAAGCGGAGGAAAATAAAACAGGACCAAATGGTAGAATATCTAGTGGTTTGCAATTCTAAATAAATTCTTCCTTGCTGGCATGACACTCCACTGTATTCACAGCCACTCAACTGGAAGTGGGTAGAAATGATAGTCACCACTCCAAGGTGTGGATCATGGGCCCTAGTACAAGCTTTAATATTCAGTCTGTGGCTCTATTCTCCTGAACTTCTGGCTGGCTTTAGAGGGTCCAGGGAAGGGCTCCAAGGCCTAGGGAAACGGCAGGATCCCCAGATTAAGAAATTAGAATGATCATGTGATTTCTCTACCAATCCACTTCGCTTTCACTACTGCCCTTTATACGGCAAAAAGAATTAAAAATAAACTTCTGCAATGTCACAGCACTACAACTGGAGATTGTCACTTGTAACCAGCCCAAATGTCTAACATAAACTGATGACCAGTATGGTTACATGGTCATAATCCTTGAATCTTTGTAAAGAAAACTCATGGTCTTACAAATCCACAAGATAATCATCACTTGATTGATGTCTTGACTTTAAAAGTATGATGTGTAGTAGCCGTTTTAAGAGTGATTCTGGGACTGATGCTCTGATCATCCACCTCCAAGTGAGTCATCCCGTGTGGGCACTGGTTAGTGTCCTTCCTGCTCCAGTTCTGATCCAGTTCCCTGCTTACAGCCTGGGAAAAGTACGGGGGATGGCCCAAGTCTTTAGGATGCTGTATCTGTGTGAGAGACCAGGAAGGAGCTCCTGACTCCTGGCTTTGGATTGGATTGGTTCAGCTCTGACTACTACAGCCATTTGGGGAGCGAACCAGTAGATGAAAGATTTTGTTTCTCCTCTCTGTAAATCTGCCTTTACAATCAGAATAAATAGATCTTAACAAAAAGAGTGCTTCTAATTCACCATATAACTGCTTTCATAATTTTGGTCTTTGCAATTCCATTTGATTGTCGTAACTTTCCTGTTCTCAATTACAACTATGGACAAACTCAGATTCATAAGTTTAATATTCTGATTAAAACATCACATAAGAGAGTCACTAGGTAAGAAAAGGAGAGTCCCAATTTTGGAAAGAGATGAATGTCCATACCAATAAACTTTCTCTTCTTACTCTCCATTTTTTTAAAACAATTTTTTGTAGAAGTGCTCGTGTTTGATGATACACACTTCTCTGTTTCGGTGTCATTTAGTCTGTTGCTGAAATGCCTGAGGAAAAATAGAGAAACATGCTGATACGTAAACCAGAAGAAAGTATTCTTGAGCAAAACATTTACTAGATTTATAATATTATTACAATAACTAAGGATTCCAACGTTCACCTCAAATATATTCACTTTAAGTCATCTGAGGGGGTGTGGATGACAATGAAGGAATAGAGTGGTTATTATCACAATATCACAATAACAGACTGCTACAATTATGAAGCTATGGCTAGAGTTCAAACACATAACTTTTTATGCTTCATATTAGAATTTAATTAGGTAAGTAGAAAACTAAACCATCCTACTACTAGTCATTTCTTATGCTTTATATTCAAATAGAAATCCGAAAGCTAGGGGAGTGAACATCAAATGCTGATTCCTCAAGCTCATTTGCATTGTACATTACTTTCACTAGAAACATCCCCAGCTTTCTCAAAGTGTTTAACTCCAAACGGAACCAAGCAATTTCTGTGAAACAGTGAAGTTGCAGCGTAACAACCCAGACTCGAGCTACTTAAAGTAGCTCTGTCTCTTAATTTTCTGAATTCAGAAGTTTTTGCTGTCTGAATGACCTAAAAACAAACCACAATAAGCTTTTAAAGTTTAAGAAAAAAACAAATAAGTTGCATGGGCAAGCAGTTTCATTTGCAACTCAAGTTTTTAAAGACTCGTTTCGAAATCAAATTTTTCCAATTATATATTCAAGTATCCAGGCCATTCTCCTTTAGCTAGTACAGGAGTTAATGCAACTCTTTCCTTGTAGTCTACTGCTATTTCTTCAAAACAAAAGGTAGTTAAGAATAGAAAACATTTGTTATTGTCTCCAGCAAGAAAATAAATCTTTGCAAACATCTGAAAATAGATTGATTCTAGCCATATCCACCCATATATTCAGCATAGCACAAAACCACAGCTCTTTACTTACTGTCAGGGAAGTTAGAAAAAGCACTCTGGAAGCACAGTCAATCCACAGTTCTCTTTCCCCCAGTGCACCCGCTGAAACCGTATTGCAGTTTCTTCATTTATTCCTTAAATGGGCGCCTATTCCCTGACTTAGGCTGGGTTCTGAAAAGGGGTGTGGTCAGAGCAAGCCGCACATGATGAAACTCGTTTTGTTGTCTGTGTCTTTTTTTTCCTAAGCCAATTATTCTGCAGGGAAACAACTGCTTCGGGGTTGGTTGGGAGCAAAACAAATCCTATGCCTGTGCACTGGGCCTTTTTCGATCCCAGGGATGAGGGGAAACATGGTCAACACAAAACATGGACTTGGTCTGTAAGACGTGAGACCAGGATGGAAAAGCAAGAGGATAAACAACTACAAACCGAAAAGGAGTTCACTCTGTATGAAAAACTTTCCCTTTTTTTCACTACGTGTGACTACACACAAGTGGAAACTGCACATCTGACTAATTCAGAATAAGTAGTAAGAGCTGCTGGCGCCGATGTTGTTTTGTTTTTTGTCACTAATAAAACTAAGCATTTCAGAGTCTGCCTTGAATAAACTCCCAGAATGGACAAATGAAGAAACAGGAGCACACCCCTCTCTCACATCTTGTCCATAGTGCATGCAGCATTTTTTTTTTCATGAATAAATAAAAGTGAGTTGACTGCCAAGGAGAAAAAAAAATAATACGGATTTTTGTGAATGAAGATTAGAAACAAAAGTGGAAATGTATTCAATAATCATTGCGTAGTCTTTCTCTCCGTGGAATTGCAACCATTTTTTGGAGCTGCCACAGTAAATGGCAAAACAGGAAATCAAAGTCCATGAATTGGGAAAGCTCAAATATTTGACATGGCTCCCATTCCACAGACGTTAATATTCATGAAGCTGAGAGACATCTTGGAGTAAAAAGGGATAATTTTAAAGCAACAGCAGTTAAACCTACAAAAGTGTGAACCTGCATCTACATGTGTATTTCCACATATCAATATCAATATCTGTTGCACCTATCAATATGTATTTCTTTTGCATTTAGTGCTATTAATTTTTGTGCTAGTCTAAATTATGTAAAATCACATCAAGTTATGCTTTATTTTATTCCCTTTTCTTACTAGAATTTTAAAAATGTTTTTCAGATAAAAAGATCTTAAGTTATATTAGTCAAAGGTTTTAAAAATATATTTTAAAAGACTTTTTTTATTGGGAAGGTACAAGTACAGAGAGGAAGATCTTCCACCCAATGGTTCACTTCCCAAGTGGCCACAACAGCCAATCCAAAGCTGGGATTAGAACCGGTGAACATAGAGAAGTGTTTAAAGCAAAGACTTTAGCCACTAGGCTATCGCACCGGGCCCAGTCAAAGGCTTTTTAATGCTCTACTACATTGAGTTCAACAAATTAAAATATAGTCAACAATGAAATATTGCATTCATCTAGTGAGAAACTGGCAAAAACAGAGGTTGAAAGGTGTATGTATTACCAATGCTTCAAATGCTGGGGAGCTGGTCTCACAAATTTTAAATTTTCATCAATGGTAGAATAAAATTTCAGTTCCTTTTAAGTCACCTGGAATATAGTTTATATTTCTATTAGTTTTATTTTTTACTAAAGTTGTGTACCCTATTTCTGGAATAATTTTCACTTTTCCTTTCTTGGAAATGTGCTAAAATTCATAGCGACAATATCAATAGCTACTTAGGTTAACCATACTTAGCAGCTTCACCCTTTACCACTGTTTTTTCTCGTATATGTTTTGTGCTGGTTTTTTATTTCATTTTAGGGAGAGCGTTTTCCTCCACTAAATATGATTTCCCCATAAATGGTGATAAAGTGATGGAATGCCCAACCTCCAGCATGGACAATGACATGATGGGTAAAGTATATTTCAAAATGTTAAGTTCAGGGCCTGGTGCGATAGCTAGTGGCTAAATCCTCCCCTTGCATCGGGTGTCAGTTTATATCCCAGCTGCTCCACTTCATATCCAGTTCCCTGTTTTTGGCCTGGGAAAGCAGTAGAGGATGGCTCAAATACATAGGACCTTGCGTCTGCCTAGCAGACCCGAAAGAAACTCCTGGCTCCTTGCTTCTGATCCACTCAGCTCTGGCTATTGCCGGCACTCGAGGAGTGAACGAATAGATGGAATATTTTTCTCTCTGTATATCTGCATTTTCAATAATAAAAATTAATGCTAATAATAAAATATTAATCTCATATATAAGTTCAGATCTGTGAGTGTTTAGAAAGTGCATGCAAATTGTGTTTAATGAAAAAGCTCCCATTCAAAGCCAGGTAACAGGAGTTTTTTCCAGGTCTCCCACAAGGGGGGGGGATTAGTCCCAAAAACCTGAGCTCTTCACTGTCTCCCCAGGTCATTAATTTGGGAGCTTTCTGGGAGAAGTGCAGAAGCCAGGACACAAAATGGCACCCAAATGAGATGCTGGCACTGCAGGCAGAGGCCCAGCTTACTGCACCTGATGCCTCTCCTATATATGTTCCTTTATTTATTTTTGTTTTTAAAGATTTGTTAAGTTACTTGAAAGTCAGAGAGAGCAGTTCTGTCTGCTGATTCACTCCCCAGATGACAGTGAAAGCCTGGGCCAGGCCAAGACAAAGCCGGCAGACAAGAGCTTTAGTCAGGTCCTCCATGATGATAGCAGGGACTCAAACACTCATACCATCTTTTGCTACTTTTTCTGAGTCATTAGCAGGGAGCAGCTGGGACACAAAGAGATACTCATTAGGGTACCTGAGATGCAGGGGTGTTTTTTATATACCTGAATGCTGACACCATAAATTCTACTTTCAATAGTGAACGTGCCTTATATCAAATTTTTCTAAATTATGTTTTTTAAAATTATAAGAATTAAGTCATTTTAACCATTTTAAGATTATAATTTAAGTCACATTGTGTTTCCAACATAATATAGCCATCACAACCATCTCATTCCAGCATTTATCAACACCTAAAACAAGATTTCTGAACGCATTAAGTAAAAAAGCCTTTTTCTCCTTTTCCATATCCTTTTGTGAAGACTAGAGAGTCTTTTCCTTTTGTAGATATTTCATGTAAATATAACCATACATTTGTTCTGTGTCTGGTTTACTTCAAACGTAGCAGTTACATTCACAGAGGGACAGATACACATCCAAATTAAATGGATTGATACACCGACCATTGCTTGGTATAAATATCTATTTATTTTATTGCAACGATTATTTTTTTTTTTTACTCAGCCATCGCCATTCAGCTAGGTCTTACGTATTTGCATCTACATTTATCCAATCTGCTAACATTACATTTTGAGAGCATGAAGAAGCGATCACTCCAGGTGATGACAGCACTATGAAACCTGTCCTCTCCCTGTTGCTCTGAGTCTACCCTCAGAGGGTCTCCTGGGCAGTGGTCCTACTGTCCCATTTGAAACAAGACACTCTTCACAATGTTGGTATGTGCCTGGTCTGTTTTTCAAAGTGTTTTATACGTCTGTTTTAGGCTCGTTCAGGAAGGATTTTGAAATCACCTTATTAAAACAAATTCCAATGCTTAATTTATTCGTTTATTTATTTATTTACTTAGTGGTTGGTTGGTTGGTGTTTTTCACTCAAAGCCTAGGGCAGGTTTCCGGGCTGTCATCAACTTGTCTTCAGGGCTTCTTTCCAGTCTGAGCAGCCTTTGAAGCTAGCTTTTGTAGTGTTGTGGTTTCCAAGTCCTCATTTTTCATCAACTTTAGCTTTTCATCTTGTAGGCATCAAAAACGCAGTTTCCAACTATATAGCTTTAAGTAGAAGTTCACCATGGAATTGGGCTATTGCAACACAAGCTGAGTTTACTATGTCAAAAGTATTTTTTGGTTTTTTTCAGATTTTACCTAGAAATTAATCTATTTATAAAGGGAGGAGAATCTGGTTTAACTTGGTATCATGTTGAAAGAATTGCAGAAATTAAACCGGGAAATGCAGAGAAGGCTGACTGAATCCACAGACAGGCACAGACAGACACAATGAATTACAGGGTAAATCGGGGTTAACAGCTCTAAGAGCGGAACGTATAGATTGGGAAAGAGACACATGAAAAAGCAAATGAGGCAGTTTGTGCCGAGGGGGAAGGGACGATTGATGGTGATAAATCAAGTTGATCCTAGCATGGGTGTCACCCTGAAGTACCACAATCTCTCGCATGGACATCCTTGTGGCTGACTTGGAGCCACCATAACTTTCAAGTCTTCCAGTTCTTTTTCTTTAATTTGCTGGGGATTATAACTCACCCCTCATTATCTGTGGCAGCACATTTTAGTTTGTTCTTGCAACTGGAGAAACCACTGAACACAGCAGTCAGACCAGGAATAAACACGTGAGAAATAGGGTATCTCAAAGAATGTGGAGATTTTGCAATTAGTTAAGACACCATGGCCGGAGGACATTTAGGATGTTTTTTATATGTTAAGCTTTTTCTTTTCTTGGCATCTGGTCACATGATCAAAAAAGGAAGCGATGGACAATTACTGCAAAGAAACTATTTTAAGGGCGTGAGCAACCCAACTGCAACGTAGCTATATGGTTCTTATTTGTCGTAGTAGGAAATGTACCTTATTCTCAAAAGCAGCTAAAGAAATCTGCTAGAAAAAAGTTTTCTTTTGTCTGACAGCACGGCATACGCTAAAAGTACCTGTTTAGAAACAGTTGAGTCACATGCAGTTCTCATTACTGCAGGCTTCACTATGCCTCTAAGTCTGAATAGCTGCTTCAGAAAAAAACTCACACAACTTCACAGCATCTTTTTTTTTGGGGGGTCAAAGCAAACTATTCAGCAGGAATGAACACAGTGGTGGAAAAGTGGGAGGTATTCCTATTTCCCAAACTCCTCTTTTTGATCAACTGTGATAATCCATCACAAAATATGAAGCAAAAACACTAAAACTAGCACCTTTTTCTCTGGCTGTGTCAATATAACCTAAGAGATTCCTTTTAAAAAAGTCCTTAGGAGAGTATAGGCTACAGATAACAGAAGCTAGTCTCAATTTCC